GCTATAGCTCTGCTATGATGCTAGCTATATATGATGTGCGATTTGCGAGTGCTCCGTTATTATTTAGGCGAAACGGATTTGAAACTATTAGCATGAGGAAGATTAATTTAAATCAAGGAGGGATGTCGCTTAGCATCTAGCCGCAAGTTCGTTAACGCTGGCTGCCCCATACGGCGACGTGCAGCGCACGTTAGTGCAGATGTTGTTCTAGCCTTCCCTAGTGCACATACAACATCCTAGTAACGCTTTCTACCGAGAAAGTTGCTAACCTGCCTTGCGTTTCTACAAAGTACGTACCGTCTGGATGAAGCAGGAGATCGTATCGGGAACCATGAAAAGCGCAATGAATATTGCATACGAATGTGACACTAATCACGTCAAAGGCAATCATTATAATGATTCGCCCAAGCCTTCGCGTATAAATAGGAATATTGTCGTAATGTTGATGAAATATTATTTTGGCGGAAAGATAATGCAGTTGCGGTATTGCCCAATGTTGACAGCAATCAGAATCGTCTGACTCTCGGTATTTGAAAATAAATTGCTCGAATAATGTATGTAGCTACGTTTAGTTTTAGACGAGCCTAACTGACTAAAGTTGAAGATGGACCACGGTTCGCATTTTTTTTACTTTTGCATTTTTATTCTATAAAACATTAGAAATGTGGTTTATATACACGAAAAGAAAACGCAACACTCAACAGCGAAGCGCAGCAGTATTTCTAACAAACATGGCTAGATCCCAAGTGCATTTTAAGCTGATTAATATATCATAATAGGTATATACGATCGCGTTAATGCATGTAACATAATCAGGGCAGTACGTAGCTACCATATAGTATATATATAAGTCTGATGCTAAGGGACATTCGGACAATCGGATTCAGTCATATGCAATACAATTAAGATGCAAGGATTCAGTCATATGCAATACAAGGGCCACTAAGTTATTCTGTTTCAATTTTCGCATGAAAGTCCCATGCATAGCGTGACTGTTTATTATTATCCGGCTGGTCAAATTTTTTTCGTCTTTAATGCGTTCTCAGCGAGAACATCTGAACCGGACGAAAATTGCTTGTGCATCCTATATATAACTTCGTATGCATGCGTCGTCTAAATTACGTGCCGTATAATGTTAAAAAGCTCATGGACCGTAAAAACCCTTTGTAATTTAATGTTGGGCCATCAGTTGAAGCATCGGCAATAATTCTTCGCTACAATGTGCAAAGATCAGATTAGAGAAGTGTAGGTTTTGACAGATTATTTCCAAATCGCATAATGCGATTAAACTACCCTCACCCTGACCTATATATATAAGATCTGTTGACTAGGCATAGGCAGACTGGTAGACTGTACATATAAAAAGTCATACTATTAGGAAGAGAAAGTTAATATTCGGTAGCTCAACTGTGGTAGGACAGAGAAACAAGTGTATAGTCAAGTAATTAAAAATCTGCATGCATGCATGCTCGATTCAGCACAGGTATATTTTTCTATACATTAGTGTATTACATATACATATATATTCTCTATTATATATTATTCCTTTAGCGCTAAATATAAGCTTTGATAGAAAATAAAAAATTGGCCATTTTCACCAAGACTCGGTAAATTTAAAGTGCCACTGTGACGAAAATTCAGTTGCCTTTTTTTACCTTTATTGTAAAGAAATACTAATATAATATCTCGCAAAATATTGGTGTGTCAAGTCATTTTATGACTGCGTTATGTGCGCATAAAGTTCGTAATTTTATGACCGCCCACCGCCATTAAAATCCGCCATATTGGCAAAGTTCATTACCGGCATAATTCGCTCAATTATAGTACGCGTCCCTCATATATATAATTACGATTATTATACACAACTATTCAACCCATATAAGTTGACATCGACATTTTCATAGGAATAGTATCGCATGTTCCTAAAAAAGTAGCAAACTGAGCAGTAGGAAGCCAATATTTTTCCTAGAGCTTACGTCAGTATATTTGTCGTTATTTCATCGAATATTGATCGAAATTGACTATGCAGTAGTTTATGCACTCACACACTCACACTCACATCAGTAAAACCTAGAGCCCAATAAAAATTTTTGGGTAATTTTGCCCCATGCAGGTTATGATAATGCCAAAATTTGTAACGCTGAGAAAGCTTTCGGGAAAATATGTTTCCCCGTGGTGAATTGCAATCTGCCTATGTACTGGATTGGATATACATGGTGTTCATAAATTCAATACAGCATTTCCAAAATATCCATTTCTAAATTGTGTTCCTATGGCAACAGACAACTGTCCATTCTAACGTGCATTATAATTGAACAAAAAAAAACTTTATTAAACTATTTCGACAACATCTGCCGCCCCAAATCATGCCCAGTTGTACACCTGAACGTCTAAAAACTGTATGCAGCCGTCTAAATTATATATATATTTCTATATTAGGTAATTTCGATAGATAAGACGAAACTATAACGATGGAACTACGTTTCCGTTCAAGTAGCTCTATATATACCCGAATTATGTTATCATTCTTTCAATTCTTCCGTAAATGTATAGTGTAAATGTTTAGTGTATTACCGATTCTCTCTAAGGTATAAAAGTACCGATTCCTGAGCGGTATATCTCCGTCGATAGCATATGGCTCAATCAGCTCTAGCTGAGTCCCATTTTTCTCAAAAGCAACGTTTTGCTTTTTGTTTTTAACCGTCCTTATTTTAAAGTGCTGCTCAAACACTTATTGCCGATGATAAAAGCTGGATGAAACTGAATCAAATTGATCAGTTAAATTTCATTTTTCCTCAAAACAGTGATCCGGTTAAAATTAACATCCTATAGCTGCGGGATATTTCGGTAGAGTAGTAGCAGAATCGTTGCTATTCCGGCAGAGTGTGCGGATGTCAAGTGCTTACCCTAACTGTTTAGCATTTTCAGTATATTCACAAATTCACACTACAGAACTGCAACCCGCGTGATCAATGTTCAAAAGAATTGCTGCATGATAGTGCATGCATGCATGCATGTAAGTTAAACTGAATTAATATATGTGTATATATAGTCGTTAAGAAAAGCAATCTTCAGCACGCTTTATACTTACCTTTATTTGTACAGATATCATCTGTTGTTCCTCGCATATTTATATATATATATATATACAACGGAAGCGAAGGCTAAATATTTAATTGTCACTTCGGCTTAAATATGCTGTCGGCCGCCATCCCTTTCCATATGCACTGCACTAATTACAAATTCTAATTTTCTGAAATTTTTAATTGCATTTGGACAGATAAGATTAGAATGACTCGCGATGATGAAGCGTGTCTGCAAACCATGTATACATGCAAATATAACATCATTGTAGATTCAGCAAGACGAAAAAACATGAACTGTTCTAAATAGGCAATCGAAGCCAACATATCAAATCAATGAGCATATACATACTGCCAATAATTGAGCTCGAGTTTATATACAATTTTTCTTGCGAGTGGACCACATTGTTAAACGTCTCCATCAAACAATTATCACCGTGTACGCCGACGTGTGTTCTTTTCATGCAATTAAAATGCATTTCATGCAGCAAGCAAGCCGCTAATCTTGATTAGGAAGCAAAGAACGGCATGAAGTTCAAAGCGAAAACCCAACGCGCCGCGTTATTTCGAAGTTTCCATCCATCTAATGGCCACAGCAGAAGCAAAGAACACCGCATGCAAACTTGAAGCGGGAAATATAAACGATAAACAAGAGTATTAACTCCCGTTAATGTGATAATAATGCAGTTTGTAAAGATATTTTAGCACAGTTATAGATAGTTAGGCTATATTCAGGTGCATGCATGTGTTAAAAACATCATATAGTCGAGTGCATGCTATCTGTATATATACACAATTTGCGGAAATCATGCGCCCAAGTCAACTGCATGGTTTTCGATTCATTTCTGACTAGGACGTCTTGAAATCGTTTTCACCTATATGCAAGCATCTTGTCAGTGGAAACCGAAATCAAAATTACATGAACTAATAATAACTTTTCTATTTCTGTAACTGTATAACCTATTGCTGAAAGGACCTATGCATAATGGGAATATCCGGACCCAAAGTTTTCTATTGAATGCGGCCGCGGCTACAATTCGACTCTAAGTATAGTGGAACAGCAGATAAAAATCCTCGGTAGGTATAAAAAAAACAACATATAAGACCGGTCATTGCGATTGCTGAAATATAGAGTTTACATTTATTACCTCCACGTCAACTATGGGACAAATACTGAATCTAGATCTTTTTACAGAACGTAGAAACATTTCAAGCCAGCCGTTTGTAATCCCATTCGGTTCAGAGTTGCAAAAAGAGTTCAACCTTCCTCCGGTAGGATTTCAAGTTTTGAAAACCTTCCTCAAAATGACGTTACGTCACTGATTCAAGCGGCAACCAGCATAATGAAATTTTGCTTTGTGGTACATATACATCCATGTGATCAATCAGAGTGTTCAACCTTGAACCTTCCTAGCTCACTTTACAAACCTCATTCAAAGCAAACCTTCCTCCGGGTGGTACCCGCAGCTTTTTTGCAACTCTGGTTCGGTTCAAACTGTATAGTTATCGTTCCACCGTAAATTTCAGCGTATATATTACATATATTCTCATTAAATCATTCAACTTGGAAGACATTTTCTTCCAGTGAGCTTGATCCGTGATCTCAATATTCTACGCTATTTAGAATTTTCTGATGTTATGCTTACCCTTTCCTGAAAATATCATATTTACGGTATATACGCGGTTTCCTTCTATACCAAGTTTCCTTCAAAAATCGTCCGTGTTCGCGTTAAAAGACGTCGTTTATCTCTAAACAAATGAAATTCTTTATTCCTTTTTCTTTTAACAATATGAAAAATGAAAAGTTTGAAGTAGATAATCCGATTTTGAGGCTATGTCTGCGTTTTGTATGCTTATCGTTCAATTTTGTCTCAATATAAATTTTGAGGCTATATGTCTGCGTTTTGTATATAGATGTTTATCGTTCAATTTTGTCTCAATACAAAGCAAATCGCATAAGTCTCACTGATACAAGGAAAACGTCTTCGAAATGGCTCTCGAGCCCGCAAGTATCGTCAGAGCTAATCATGATGGATGGAAAATTGCGGGTATGATTTTAATTCATTGCGTTGCGCAGCAATTAAAAACGCTGTGGCATGCATGCATGCGTTCTACAAATGTTGGGCATTTATATATAAGTCATCGTCTTTTGCCTCGAGTCCGCCGGAAGATTTCTCACTCAAACGCTTGCACGCTGAAGGCATGTTGATTTCATAACCGCCTTTGGCATGCATGTAAATTTGGAAAAACAAAACATGGTAAACTTCCAGCGAGACGATATACGTCGTTTTCAAAAGAAATTTGTGCTATTAGCTATAAAAAAGCTATATTATTAGCTACATTATTTGATTAAAAGCTATATTATTAGTACCGTGCTGACATTTTCATATTATGTAAAAATTTTCAATCTATCCTTATTTTGACCGCTCTTTTTGTACGCTCGTATAATACGATAAATATAAACAATACAGCCATGCCCAGCTTACGTTGTTAAGCTATCTCGCGTGAATGTAGCTAACGGGCTTACGTATCCATTATTGTTATTTCGTCATGTGTTTCGTATGCTTGAAGAGCATATACAGATATAAATTTGAACGTGGAAATGTACACGAACTGAAATATAATTTGAGTTTATTATATACATGCACTTTGAGTATATTATATACATGCACTTTGCAGTCAGGAACGCTCGCCTCATAGAGGATGGACAAGGTTCGGTAATTCCCAAATCACTTGTTCCAAAGAGAGATGTTGCTACAACCTCACGAAGGTGAGTATATATATAATAAGTCGTCACACATTGTCGTCATTACCCTTCCCTTTATGTCAAAAATGAACGGCCCCCTTCCCAGGCAGTGTTATTTTAAAACTATTGTCTATTGAACATCCCGTTCTTAAAATCGGTTGTAAAGATACGAAAAAAGACGTACGTATATTGACTGACTATATATAGCCACAAAAATAGCAACCAAACTGGTATATGCTTCTGATTCAATAATAAGGAACCCCATTTTTTATATAATTGGCCTTTCATCGCCTATCAACAATGATCGTTCTCTGCCAGTACGATACACAATCTCTGTTCTAATGTACCATATTACCTAATTGAATATTTTCCAGTTAATTCAAATGTTATATATATACTTGTTTAAGTGACAAGAACGGTGAAATAAAGTTGCCACCACTGGTGTCAAAGACTAAAGACAGGCCTAGTTTTGCACGAAGAATTTTTCATCGAAACAATCCTCATCCTCGTATCAACTTTCCTTTTCTTAATGGAGACAGGGTAAATCTCTTATAAATTCCTTAAAAAGAGACGCTTTTTAGTCACAGTAGAACTACCGAGTTAATATATTACGATAATTTTTGATCAGTGCAATATGATGCGTGTGAAAATTTAACCAAAAAATTATGCGGATAATTAACATCGCTTCTATGGCAACGAGTGCTATTCGTATACACTATACACTAAACATAAACATTGGCATTGCGATCTTCACTGTGATCGTTTGAGGCAAGCAAAGTAGCAAGGTAGGTAAATTCTCGTTAATTTTAGGGCACCTTATTCTTCGCTTTTCGAGACCGGGTGGCAAGACGACTAAGAGTACTTCTTACGATGCTTTTTGTACTAGCGAGGTTTGGTTCCTAGTAACAAATTGTTGTATGACACATACATATAGAGTTATAGAAGCGTCAATAATATCCCATTCTAAAATTGTAATATAAATTTTCCTAATTCTCAGCACTTCTGGCGAGTAATCTGCTCCAAAAATTTAGCTTGGGCGTTTGTTATTACGCAGTATTATTCACACTTCATTTTAAAAGTTTGCATTCCCCGGAAACTATACTGTATATTATTGTATTTCAAAATGACAAAATCACCATGACATCCGATATCATCATGGGCAACCCTTTTTATTTCTTGCATCAGTTGTATCCCAACGTCTCCCCCTCGCTTAATGAAATTAAAGCTTGCTACATGCATGTACAAATGTTTCGCTTAGCTTTAAGAATTGAGACAAATTCTCCTCATTCATAAAGGGAGATAGCAAAAAAAATTGCTTTCCCAGGTATTATACGAGCAGTACTGCCAGTAGTGACAAAATTCGTTCCTTCGTGCACAGAAGTTTAACAATCACAAATATGATTGTCATCTAGGAAATTTACGAGAAAAAATACCTCCTAGCTGCAATCTTATTATTTAACGTTACAACGGGCTAGACTGATTCATTAAAGTCATATTAAGGAACCGAAATATAATTTATTGAAAGCTGTGTTTCCAATTTGTGATGTGATTACAGCAATTGAGAAATTTCTGTGCAATAGTTCGCCTTTCGGCGCTGTTACAATATGCAATTTTCCTTGCAACATGCAATGCAATTATGATTCTGAGGGGATGTTAATTTGTAAAGAGTATTCGAAACTCTAAGAAAAGTTTGCAGATCGTAAATGTATTTGACAACTTTAAACGCCTCAGAAGTAGAATTGCTTTGCAAGTTGCAAGGAAAGTTGCAAATCCTTTCTTTTATTAAACGATGTGACGTTCATTTTGTTACAGTTAAATACCTACAAGGTCTGGAGCGCCGACATAGGCATGGAACCACCACCATTCCTTCGAGAAAAGTTTCCACCTCGTCCAAAACTGAAGCAATCCACGAATGCTCTAAATGAGGGATATAAAACTGTCTATCAGTTAGAAATCTCAGAAATGCCAGCCAGATTGAGATATGGAGGTACGTCCTTTCAACGACTGCATGGCTGTTTACGCCCTCTGCATATGCCCTTTCCTAAGCATTGTACAGGGTACGTGTATCAGGGAAAATTAATACTAAAAAATATTCACTTTGTGAGGTACACAGTTAGAAGTACCATTTTTGTATTATGCTTAATAAAAATATGAATGATAAGTGTTGCCTGTATACAGGTTCTGAGTAATGACCTCAACGTCATCTTTACGTTCGTCGCCTAGCTATGCGGTCAAACGATGCTTTTATGCGCTATATTGTTATAGAGTTTCTATATCCCAGAAATGTGTAAAATATAATTATAGCTATAGGTACATATACATTCAAACTTTCAGCTATTGCATAGCAAGGCGCCTCTGTACGTCTTAACGACCGACATAAACGAAGATAAACCTCAAAAACATAATCTTAATTTTTGGTTTAATAAATTATAGCATTACTTGTTTTGTTCTCAAGCAATGAACTCCCGAATTCGTCGACGTTTGACGGTTTGTTGCCAAATAAGCGTACGTACTCTAAAGCCCGCCGCACACGAAAGCTATCACTGCTCAGCTAACGACCAGTGTTGTCAGTACTGATGAGTTTAATTAATATTGTTTGCTGCGATTTATCCTGTATACAATAGTCTATTCTGTTGTCTCCTGTTGTCGGTACATTCTCGTTCGTTTTTGCCACCTTATCTCGTTCACATGTGCATGCAAAAAGAGCATAAAATTCTGTATAAGAATTAACATTCCTTCATATTCGTTCGTTCTCTACAATGAAAGTTATCTATTAAAAACGACATGTAACGAGGCATCTCGACTCAATTTATTGTTTTAACGCGTTCAGTTCATTAATTAATGGTTCACTAACTGTCCTTTCAAATTTTTAAATGAGGCATTTTTTCATTCAGTGGATGCAGTCAACTATCAGCCACCAGAGTTAATGAAACACTCACCATATGCTACCAAATACGCCTGGGCCACCGAGGGCTGTAAGTATGCTAATCTCAGGCTTCCCTTCTCAGCAAGTTCCCATTGCCATTCATTATACTAGTACAGGGTGAGCAAAAAAACTGACACCTTATAGCGGCTGTAATGTCATAAAAGTTGCCTAAAATATCTCATGGGTATACGAAGCATATCAAATAAGTACCCATTAATTAACCTAAAACATGAAGTTTTCCCTTTGGGAGTTAAAATGCATTCCAAGCTCTGTAAATAAAAAAGAACAGTTTATCAAATCGTTTTTCTAACACACGCGCCACATTGATTAGTTTAATTGGTTTAAACACTTTGGCATTAATTAACCACGTCCTGTTGATTGTACACATATATAGGAATTGTCAAATTCCAGCTATAACTTCGCGGCTAATTTTACTTTCAAAGTGTCAGGTTTTTTTGACTAACCCTGTAGATACGCGCATGACCTAATTTGTATAAGAATTCATTCACTCCCCCCGTGTATAGATTATGCAAACACAAAGTAGCGCAAGGGCAACAACCATAATATTTCTACGTCAAAAATTGTGACATGCGTGTCAAGAAATCTAGACTCTCCCGCCAGGTTTATTTGCAAAGTACGTGTTTTTTATTTGTCGTACACTACTCCAATCGTTGCCCATGATTAGATCCTGGTATGGTAACCTAGTATGCTTACTATTTACCGTGGGGAATCGAAAATTGCGGTCCGAAAAGCAAATGGTACAAGCTAAGGATTTCCGATGAATTTCCTATAGCTGTTGTAGCAATCATTTGCTTTTCCAATTTCCGATTCCACAAGGTACTATAAATCGTAAGCACCGCCCCTGCTTTTCCATGACGCGAAGCAGCTATAATGACCCGCGTTAACACTTGCGACTTTTGCTACTATCTTATATGCGATTTTCGTCTTTTGAAAGATGTGAACGAGTGAATCAGTTACGGATGTTCAAATAAGAGCTCTTATACATTCGTGACTACTAGTCACTAGTTACTAGTTACTCGTTCACATCTATACCAAAATTGATGTGCATGTAAACTGGCCTTAACGCAATTTCAACTGCAAACTGATTCATCGTCTATATATGGGAATATTTTTTTTTCAGTCATGCGCGACACATTTCCTTCCTTCAGACATCATGACGTGCCACCTGTCCCGAGTCGCAGTGACTCGGAAGCAAAAAATACCTGATAATCTCGTCTACTGAAATGAATATTACTTACTGTAAACGCGTCACGATGTGTATTATTTTAATTTATACTTGCTTGTGTGTTGCGACAATTTAGGTCCTTACAATTTAACATATAGCTATTATTACTGTTCATATTGCTTCGTAGAGTTTTTCAAACAAAAGATTACGTCGTAAAGTAATAAAAGAGGTTAATTTTATTACATTTCATTATCACAGAAATTGTTTCTCGCAGAATAGTCGGGTTTGTGTGATATTTATATACACGTTATATGATAGTTGAAGTATATATATCGAAAGGATTTGAATCAACTCCGAACAAGTTTTCGTTTATAAGAAATTAAAAAGATGACGAAAATAAGTACATGAAGCTTCATTGAGAGGAAGTGCGAACTTAAAATGATTAGCTGCATTATCTACACGATTTTCTACATCTTGTTGATAAAAGTCTTCACGAGCTCATTTTAACTTCTCCTTCAGTTGATGGAGTTGTGTGAAATCTAACGAAAGTTTCTTTCGTCTGACCAGCGGGAACGTACCTTAGACATTGTGATACTTGCTCTGTTCTGTTGCAATCTGCAGTCTCGTCCACAATTATGCTGTATTGACCACTGTTCCTGAATTCACTTGTGATCCTCTTTTGCACCATATCCGAGACAATTCCAATGAGTTCATTCTGAATTTTTGGACCAGGAACTGGTCCCTAACCGCTGCTAATCTTCTTCTTCTTCTTCTTGTTAGGGGGCGACGCTCTTTAAAAAAACCCTAAGGCTCTATCATTACTTGTTTGATCGGAATGAAACTTGGCACAATTATTCTAAGCAATATTCCGCATCGATTGACGGAGTTCGAATACTTTTGACCTTTGAAGCAAGTTACAAGCAATTCTTGATATATTTGCAGCAAATAATATATACATATCATTAATATTCAGCCTATACGTATACAGGGTGTCCCAAAAAAACGAAAACTATTGAAATCACTCATTGTTAAAATTTGAATGCCGTGCTAACGAATTTCAGTCCGTGGGGATTTAATGCAACTTATAAAATGCTAAATGCTTTGTGTTGTTAGAGAAAGGGGACATGTCGAAGGTCATAGTCCTTGAGATGCACATCTAAATAATGTTATCCATATTTGTAAATTGTAAATATTGTTAATAAATATCATTTTTGCGAACAAGCAAATTTTACTGCATCATATGCATGCATAAAAATGAGTATGGTATACATTTATACACCTGTGGGTCCCAACAGAGTGCTTAGGCATTCAAACTCTAACAATTGCATTGTTATGGGTGATTTCAATAGTTTTCTTTTTTTTGGGACACCCTGTATAAGTAAACGGAAACGATTAGAAATACATTGTCCTCTCTATTGTTATAAATACAATGCAGTTCAGAAATTAAACTCGGTTACGCAGTTCCTGGTCCCTATAGTACGATCGCACTTGTTTGGGAAGGCCTTTGTGCGTGTGCTTCAAGTTGGCGTTGAAGCTTCAGTTTCAGCAGCATCTAAAGTGCAGTAACTCAAGAAAATTCTCTCCATTGATATCTGAGACTTCCCAAATATTTTTTCTATTCTCTAACATTCTGCATGTTGGGCAGGAAACATGAGGCACTCTATAATAACTTGAAGGAATTGCCGGTTGCTTAATACTTGCTGCTTATGAGCGCTGTTTACTTGCTTCACGACGGATGTGTCTCGTTTCTGAATGGCTATGAAAAACGCGCACTTGATCATCGATGTTATGCAGTGCTTTTCGGATCTTCCATGCATGCTTAGAAAGTTTTTCTGGTTTTCTCCAATTATCGAATACAAATGAATCATCATTCTCGAACTCTTTGCAGGAAAACCACACACACACTGATTGTTCTCGATTTCGTAAGTAATCCATGAATATTTTTTATACAACTCAGCATTAAATCGCCGGGAATATTGTTAATTCCCAAGAATTGTGGCCGGATATTCTGCTAGAATGGGCTGATTGGGACAAAGGAACTTAGACGACATTGTTGATAACTGATAAACTGCTGTTAGGTCAACGACCTTTTCTGGCTTTTCATCTGCGTTTTTGTCCGAGATATTAATTTGTTGCTTTCAGTTGCTTAGTTAGCTCATCAATATTTTCGTCCAGGAGTATACCAGCACTGGCATAGCGTTTTGCTTTGTTAAACCTCTTTCTAAATGTTCGAACGTCCACGAACATTATATCTTCTTCGACTTGGTTTACAGTTGGCTGTTGCATTTCTATAATTTCTATTTATGGCTGGAACCACTGGGCATTTGTGTTATTCGCTTGCAACGCATTAGAACTAACTGCTTCCTTCGACTCACTTGATTTGGAGTCAACTAGACAACCTGTAGACTGGGTACAAGGTTGAGTAATAACCCTATCGATGCTAGCTAGGTACCGGCTCCGATTTATCGTCGGCGTTACCTCCAAAAAGCTTCCCAATTTGAATTGTGATGATTCAAGTAAAGGACTAAACTTTATCTTCTTACCATGATGGATATTTTGTATATGCGGTTCTTTATAGTCACTATTCATTTTTTTCTGGCATTCGTCGCATTTCACCCGATGGCGATAGCGTCGTACTTTTGCAACCACGACTACGAGAGTTAGTCGACATTTCAAATTTGCGATATTCTTACATTCGGTGACTATATAATTGACGTGATGTAATTTCTGTTGCCTCTATAAATTATTTGGACGAATATTTACATTACGCGCTGATCAAGGACAATTACAATTTTAAAACAACTAAATACTCGATGGCCGTGTGCTGCATAAGTTGGCATGCAAGCATTTCCAACATTACTGTAATCTTTTATCAGTATCTTTTATACCTACCTTATATTTTCCGTATTTATAATTAATCAGATTAATTACTTAACAGTTTCAATAAGTATGAAGTCCAGGCTTACGATTTTCAGCATTTAATTATATATAATTTTGTATTTCGGTGTAAAAAACTTTTCAACAAAATGCTACAAACATTGCGATAACATTAATTCGGAGTAAAAATAATAAAAATAAACAACAATTTCCATACTTTCCGACTGCAGCAGCTAGATCACAACGTTCAAAAGGAGAATTTGGTTATCAATATCCCATGGAAAACGCCTTTATATATTTAGATTAAATTTGTTTAGAAAAGTTAAGAAAACTTCATAGATTCTATTTAGGTATTGGGGACGGGTTTTGATTTTTAAATGTTTCAGTCAAGTACATAAATCAGGGTCCAAATTCTTTTGTTAATAATAAGTAAACACTTTTATTTTAATATTACGCACTACGCAGACTCGATTTCTTTGTTTATATTTTGTTTTTTAATTTCCCCCTACCACAATTTTTGCCCGACTTGGGTTGAAAATAGGAAGGGCAGTGCCCCCCCTGCTACCCCCCTTTTTTAGTGCGGTTATAATGGTCTTTGAAGGTCACGTCGAAGGTTCTTCTTAGTTTGTTCTCGTGGCTTCCGCCTTTCGGAATTAGAGACACGCAATATTGACGAGGTCAAGGCCCCACTTGGTTTTGTAGACGACGGCGTTATGTTTTCGTGCTGGCAATCGTAAACGCTTGAGTGAGATCATGTGAAATAGGAAGCGCGGTTGCCGATGATATAGGACTCAATGTGACTATCAGAAGGGAGAATCAGGTGGTTTGCCCAAATGCAATCGTGGTCTGATATAGTGGCAGATGAAGTTTAGGTCATTTGTTTTCTGCATCTCTTTATATGATAGCGCACTATAACGGTCATAATTATGTACTATACGACAATGATAATCAAGGACGAAGTAACGAGGGTAAACTACTGACTTCAAAACACTTTTGTGCTGACCGTATTTTATTAAGCGTGTGCTGTGAAATATGTTGCTGTAAATACAAGTTAAGCATATTATATACACGGATTGTCGTAGGATGCAAAAGGCCGTTAAAGGTCGTTCACAAGATCTAACTTCCAATTCCCTTATGACGTACGGAATGTAGTTTGTTATTGATAAAGAAGTACTGCATTGGCTTTAGTTGACTTCCTGCCAATATACATTGCAAGTAGACAATAAAACATACGTCAGGAGTGATTTGGATACGACGAAATAAGTTCGTGTGAACAGACCTTAAAAGAGTGAATCGAAAGTAATAAACTTTATGCCAGAATGTAAAAACTGAATTATGAAGTACGAGCCAAAAAACAAAAGCTGTGCACTTTTACTACTTCGGTAGCACATTCGAATTGGGAATCAATGTAATGGATAACCATGCAAACGTCACAGGTCACGTGACCGAGGAATTAGGCAATACAGGCGTAGTTGAATGTTCTGACATCTGATTGTGAAATGCGGGCAGACCAACTGTCACCAAAAATGGGCAAAAAGACTCGAAATGTTCAATTAGAAAAATACAGAAAATTCGCACTACTCTATTCACAGCAGTCCCAGCCATCAGCAAGTCATTGGCCTGAAGAATAAAAAATAGAATAGGATAAATGGCATCATAACTTCAATGAGACTATCGTAACTGACCGTTTGGTTTAGCATTCGAGCGGAAGAAGTAAGCATACCTACACTTTGAATAAAATTTGTAAAAAGTTATAAAGCTTTTTTGCTGTACGAATGTAAACGTTTACACGGAAGCCTGGCTGCTAAATTGTAGCTTGCGCTTCAGCGCAATGACGGGGCAATATCCAATGGTTTTGAAAATATACGAAAAATTCACTCGTAAAATTGATTAACATATAAATTAAAAGATGCTTTCGGATAGAAACACTTTGATTCAAGTAGATGGTGAAAAAAATTTTTGGAGTGTTTTTGAACAGGTAAATGGGTAGATTTTGTATTTTAAAGCACGCACGTTTTTTTGTAAGTTTAACTTGTGGATTTATCAACAAACGTACGACACCGTTTTTAACTTATTCGTCAATTTCGTTAAAATGACTTTGATGGGAAAGCATTTATTTTAAAGGTGAATCTGTTTAAAAAGTAATTGAAATTTCGCTAAAAATTGTAGTACAATATTTAAAACTATTCGTAGCACAATTAATGAATTATGATTATAGTTGAATGTGATAGCTCGAGAGTCGACTTTATAATTGTACTTGATATAGGATTTTACTTACACGACTTCGATCATTCAGCAGAAACGAGTATTATAGAATTTCAGTGATGGAAATATATGTTTATTGCTTCAGGCGAAGGGACTTTGCATGCATGTATTTCTAGTCTAATAGAAGACCCCAGTATTTTATTTGGCTGTTTTACCCCCAGGAGCTTGTGCTAATGAAAACCGTAAGTGAAATTCCCTTACCATTACATGTCTTGCAGCAATTTTTTTTCATAAAATTCACGAATGTCCTCTCACAATAGCCCAATCCTTTCCAATATTGGCAATTCCTGGCAGACCCTACATCGCCATTGCAACCTGAAAAATAGTTATTATATGGTTAATATATTTCAAGATTTCGGCTTATTTATTTACTCTCGACGTATAACACCGCTTATAGTTTTCATAAAATTAAGACGATACGTTGCGAGTACATGCAGAACCGGACGAATTTGGAAGCGTGTTCGAATTCGTTTAGTTTGCTTTGCAAATACATAGAACCAGTCCATTTTTATCCAATTTTACCCGGTGTAAACATCTAAGTGGGCGAATTGGAGTACGGTTCCAAATTCGTCTGGTCCTGCATGTGTGAACGTATAGCATAAATTCGTGTGCAGAACTCGTACATAATAGTGACAATGCATGGTTACTAACTCACTTACTGATCCTAAAGATGGAAAAATTTTCATCCGTTTACTATAAGAATTATACAATTACTTACTGATAGTTTCCGTGTTTGGATGGCCTGATCCAAACACGCGGGAATGTTGCGAGAGTTAAGAAAATTGCGCGAAACACAAGCGGAAGGCGAGTGTTTTGCGAGCTTTTCTTAACTCTAGCAACATTCCCAAGTAACAACGACAAGGCCTGAATATAAATTTAAATTCTTTAAAACTTTAAATTTCCGTGTTTGCATGGATAGCCTGATCCAAACACGGGCTTCGACGAATCAGAACACGCGTTATATACATGTTTTTTTATAATACTAATTACTACAGCCTGCATTTGAGTCGGTTATTCAAATCCAGGAGCTTGTAACGAAAATCGCGTAGATGAAATTCCTCTTACCACTGCATGTCTTGCAGCAGCTTCACATATTGCTTCAAAATATCTGTAAAATTGCATTCATATGGAACCGGACTAGCCCGGCTTTGGCGAGATCACGCCTGAACGTAGCGAGATCACCTTAAACGGGCTCATATGAAAACATGCTAAACCGGGCTGGCCCGTCTCATATGAACAGGCCCTAAAATCTTTCAATAAAAAAAGAAGAAAATCATCTAATTACCAGTGACAGAGCTAATGCATGTCTTGCAGCAGTTTTTCTTCATATAACTCACGTATGTCGTCTCACAATAGCCCAATCCCTTCCAATATTGGCAATTCCTAGCAGACTGCAAATCGCTTTCGCAACCTAAAATTCCGGAAAATTATAGTTAAATCAGTTGTAAATATATATCTAGCTCAGTTTTGACTTTATACTTAACACGTATTGATTAAATTATAAAAAACTTTGCTTTTCCAACTCGCCGCTCAGTTAGCACAGAAGAAGAGATAGTAGGCATGGCCACAAAATTGGCAATGTGAAATACACTAGTAATTTAATAATTCAGTTATTTATCTATTCAAGTGTTCAGTATGTGGATGACAGTGCGATTAATATAGCTACAGGCTTTGATGTTGCACATTTGAGTATTCATACTGCCATATACAGTGCGTCCCAAAAAGTACCCTTAATTAACAACAAAAGAGGGATTTCAATAGAGGGTATTATTTTTGGGACAAGGCACGAAAAAGTAGCTATACAGGTAAATAGATGTATCATGACATAGAACTTGTAAGCCTATTGAGTTTGGTATTTATGTGATGTTTTCTTATACCTGATGGGTTTGGTTTTCTTGTAGGCGTCGTTGAGCATTGCGATCGATAAAGAAGCTGAACTTGTTTCTTATCTTTTGGACTTAGCCCATTTCGTTGTCCTAATCGTCTCCCACTAGGATTTTTGCTATCAATTGTTTTCCGCCGGTTGCTTGAGAAAGCATATGATCCATAATGCATAACGCTACCATAGTCATATCCCACGCCAAGGCTGTCAACTCCGTTACTGGAATGTTTCTGGAAGTTGAATCTCATCCCTACAAATGTAATTTGGCGGTAATGTTACACTAGGATAAGCATTTCTATATAGCATTACTAAATTATGCATGCAAATAGCGACACGGCTATAATTAATGCACGCATAAATTATTCTCTAATTGGATTCGGATAAATTTATTTCCTAACATATAAAGTTCTTTAATCTTTATCATAAAAAAATACATTACTTGGTATAATGTTGTTCCAAAAAATTTCGACGTATGCGTCTCTGTCTGGACGGGATTGTTCATGCCAAAGTCCCATTGCATGACCTTGTGAAAATATAATCTATGTATTACGCTATCTACTTCTTTCCAATTAGATTGGTTTATAATGACTATGCATGGAATAAAGTCAATTAAAGTGATGTGATTCGGAGTTTGGTCGGTTCAATGTACTTAGATATATAACATGATTACGATGATGTCGTTTGGTTTACCAATTTCGTGAACAACCACTCCATGCTGTTGACAACCATTACCAATTGAAATTCTCTGTGCACCACCTACGCGGCCAACCTGTGAGTAGCATCTGAAAAAAGAAATTTCCCAAATCATTTCTTGAACTGAGTGCCGTATAATATTTTTTAGAAAACTAAGGACAGTTTTAATGCATGCATTTGGCGCATGCAGGTGGACTAAATGGTGATTCCCCAAGGGAATGTGTGTTTAGCCTAACGCTATGCATCCTGCATCGCCTTAACCTTACGATTATCTTCTTGTGGCACTTGTATAACTTATTCCGTGTTGCCTCAAAAGGCATAATCAGACATCGACTCGACTTCTGCATGCTGTCCAATCATGAACTCTAAGAATACTGCGGGACAACTTACCCGTTGCCGCGGAAAAAGTACATGTAATCTTTTGGTCTACTCTGTCTCGTCACATCCCGCCATCCACCCATACAAGAAGGTAACGTTGCTTCCCATTCTTGAATCCCGCGTTTGATGTTGGACTCAACACCTCCTAGAAAAAGATGTGCGTAAATTTAAATATGCTGTCCGTTTAATCCAGTTTAACTGTTAAGTTTTTAGTTTGAATATTTAGTTTCTGTTTGTACATGAATCATGCTACTTGTCTACCACCTGGAGATTCCTATACGGATAAACAGACTGTAGTGAACGATTTTTGGTAGGCGATACTTTTATATCTGCTCTATTTAGATGATATTATTTCCGTATTGAGCACTCTCTAGTAGCTATTTCGCGCAGGTGCTATTTGTCTACCACCTGGAGTCTGGAGATTCCTATAGCGATGAAACAGACTGCATATTGTACTGCATTGTATATATATAAGTAAAAGTTAGGCCCATGCCTAATACTTTGAGCCTGTAACACGCAAATGACGCTGAATATCAATTTTGGAAACTTTTCAACCTCGACGATAAGAAAATTAAAATGTATTTTAAAACTCACGTAAACTTCCGTCGATGGCGTAAGCTATGGCGTTTTCTCGCCATAACCTTCCACGATTACGTATGATTGCCCGTCTCTGGCGCGATGTTCCAGCATTTTCCTTGATTATTCTTATCGCTTCGTTTTTATTCTTCGTATTAATATCACCTTCGAACAAGAAGGTTTCCTGACTTTCCTCATCGCTTCTTCCTATCTCACCGTTGCCTAAAGGTGTAGAGGGAATGAATTATATCAAAATATGTCGTATATTACAGTGCACTCTCGCTTTAATAAGCACCCTCGGTATATGTATCAATATTCAATTTTCAAGTTACTTCAGTTTCATTTCTGGAATTAATCTGCATGCATGTATATATACCAATTAAGTCCTAAGTACTCTAATGATTTAGTGTTGGTAAGGCTGGATTTCATATGGCATAATTCGTCATAATTCATGATAATTCGTTGTTATGCGAAATCCGTCAGATGAAAACCGAATTACAACAAATTACGACATGTGAATAACGACGAATTATATCACATAAAAACTGGCGTTTACTCAAATACAATGCATATCGAACTGAAATATACGAGAACGGGCTATACATATGCCCACTTGTCATTTGCATATGTGTTTGCGGTTATAAAGTTCACACTTGAATATAATATCTATAATGTAAATGATATGTTCTTCCAGGTGCCAAATGACCGCATAAGTTTAAAAAGCAGCCTTAGCTTAAGGCTTTTCATGTTTACCCGACGAAACTTGGAGTGCCGTGCCTAAAAAGGTTTCACAGACTAAATATTATATTTCGTAACCCTATAGATGCATGACTAGATTTAGAAGGTGGTTATATTGCACCTTGTCTGACCTCAGTCATGAAAATTTTAATTTTCTTGGCCTTGCCAAGGAGCGTGCATCTAAACAACGGCTGTAACATCAAATTCAGTAAAAAGGCCATTCCTCCTGACCATGTTTCACAAGCCACATGCGCAATAATCACAAATAGGAGTTGTCGAATGATAATAAATTTATTTTTTGATATGTGTATTGTATTTATATAATCCCAGAGTGACGGAAGTGTATTTCTACTTATATATGGCCTACATCCGCCACAGGTTTGAATAAAGAAAAATCGGCGATATATATATCACTAAGACTTACTGTCTAAGATCGTTAGGGGGTTGTTATAAGGACTCCTCCTATATTGCATTTAAACAGCATGCTTATATATTTATTATAAAGTCAACAAATAGAGAAATATTTCAGTAAGGCAGGTTTGGTCGTGCTCAAAGAATAAACGACAATTCATGAAGTATACATTCACGCTACCTCTTTCTTTGGCATTTATGCTTAGAATCATATCGAATATACTCGAATCATCAGATCTTGACACGTCAGGATTATCTTTTGTCGCCTTCCATAGTGCTTCCCAATTGGTTTTATCGTCCCCTGGCTCTGGTAAATATATATTGTTTTCCTCCTGTACAGAATTTGCTAAAAATGGAATAACGAAATGTTATTCATATTTAATCCATCATGCAGTTACTTTTTTTCGCAGAAATACGCGCATATTTGTCAAATTAACACCCCTCCCGTTGAAGATTACTTGCATTTTTCTACTTTAATATTATTTATATTATATTTTTATACATAAGCTCCAATTATTTATAGTATATAAATATATAAATATTGCTTAGTTTGTGCATACTACTCTGTTGCTATACAGCTGTGAAAGCTTGATCATGACTTTTCCAAAACAAAAACATGCAAACAGAGATGCCTGCAATCATTGTATACGAAGCTACTGAAAACCCGTTTTAATGCAGCGGTGCCATATTATGAAGTAGCCTTCAGGATCGACCAAACAATCATACAGTCGCATATCTCAGGATCGACCCGTCAAATAATCATATAGTCGAGTTAACCCGAGTGAAGTGTTATAGCCGAGTGAAGTAAATTAATTGAGCATCACTGCTGCTCCATTCACCATCACTACAAGATACCAAATTTTCTTTGGTGATATAAAATCATTGTAAACAGTCATGTTGTAATAATTGTATCGAGACAGTCAGGAACCAATTTATGGTTAATACATATATATATAGCTATATTATTCAGCAACGTGCATGATATCAGCTCCACAAGTTCATTCCCAAATACCATTTCCAAATAGTTTTAGCTGAATAATAAATGCGCACTGATTAGTGAGGTCAATCAGGATACGAGAATTTAGTTATCATATTATTTGACGTAGACAACTGTATGCGACGCAAGCGCAAGAGTGTAACCCTGTAGTACAACGGCACTAACCTGGCGTGAATATAATTCCGCAAAGGGTGACAGCTGCAATGATGAACTTCGTAGACATGATTTTCCTCTTGACTTTTGTTCACTGGCACAGCGTTCGAATGAAGTGTTTCGTGCAGCGCATTGCTGTCGCCTTTATACCATCTCAAAGCGGGCTTGGCGCGCAATGTGTTCCCAGCTTGGCTTTGACGCAGGACCACGCATTGCGTGGGACGAACCAAAAACACATAAATTAGGCGAGGATGTTAATATGCGATTTCCGCTTCATTTGCAAACCAAATTTGGAAATTTCGATGTGTAAATCCGGCGTAATCAACGCCATTAGTAAGGGCGAGATATTGCGAAATAACCTGAAAATTACCTAATACAAAGAACCCATCCTTGTATATACGTTTGATTACTGTGTAGATGTTGCATGTGATTGACAACGTAACCTTAGCTCAAAAAGTTTTGTATTTTGTTATATGTCTTGTTTGAAAGCCATTTGCTGGGTTTTGATTTTCATTATCAAATTAAAACACCTCGTTTCAAGGTCCGGCTGCTGTGCTAAATATCCTTTTGTACCTGACGCCTAACAGGATATCCTTTGCGAAACGGCATAGTACAAAACATGGACTGGACTGAACCGGTCCATATTTTTTTCTCTGGACTCAAAATTGGACTCCAAGTTGCGCACTATTTACTTATAAATATAACTTCGCTACCTTGCTTTCGCGCCCAGCAGCGACCTCTAGTGCAGCCTTTTCATCTACAACTTGGTAGGCCTCGTAATTTGGGCTCATCGATATTGTTGATGAAAACGATTCCGCGCTTGATTGTCTACCATCAACAACCCTCGAGTACAGTATTTTCGCCATTTTTCCAAAAAGATTGCGTAAGTAAGAGGCATGTTTGATTTCTTGACTCAAAAGATATCAAAACGCAATGTCGGTTCTAGCCTGCAACGCAGACTATATATTGGGGTATATATAGTCTGCTAATCAGCGGCACAAAGCTTGTATGGTCACGTGGGTTTCCCGAGAAATTGTGGGACTCATTTTGATTGGTTAGCTTATAATTATGCAAAATAATCAAAATTTCAGAATATTTATTATTTTCACAAACAACATGGCGTCCTTCATCGAACCATCTTTGCTTGAAGAAGAGCACTTTTCGGAAGCTATTCGGATTGTATGCTGTTTTTTTCAAGTGGAAAGTCTTCATCGAGAGCAAGTCGAGGCACTCAAAGCCTTCTTACTCGGTAAGAATATCTTCTTTAGTGCTGACACGGCTACGGGAAGTCTCTAGTCTTCCAAGCGGTTCCTCTCCTCGCTGACCTTCTTGAAGAACAAGTCGTTGGAACCAGCATTGTAATCGTAATATGTCGGCCGCAATGTCGAGAGAACGCTTTCCTTTTACAAGATTTATATCTAACTTCTTTTCCAGAACAGAGAAACACAGCACGCACATCGGCGCGGCCATGTGGCAAATAACTATGCAATTTGCGCGCAAATCATATACATAATCATAATTATAATACCGGAAATAATTCGAATATTCATGTGACCATACAAGCTTTGTGTCGCTGATTAGCAGACTATATATACCCCAATATATAGTCTGCGTTGCAGGCTATGTCGGTTCGAGATGGCGCCACAGTCGGTCCGCCACAAACTACACTTCGATCATCGTGGCCTTTCGGTTTCAAGTAACATTGTTTTTAAGTTAAAATTTAAACACAATGTTACGTGGAAGACTTTCGGTTTAATCAATGCTTGTGCATGCGACTTACGATATATTATGCATGTGGTGATCATTTGCTTCACATCAAAATTTGACACCTGCATATACAGTATTCGTATTAAACAAAGAGGTATTATTTTTATTATTTGAGGTTTTTAAATGAACAATTGCAAGAGTGCCTAGACGGATAATTGCTCGGAATATGTCCATTTCTGAAATCTGAATCGAACAGTATAATGATAATAAGTCTGAAAGAGCGGTACATTCCTTTGAAGAATCAGGGAAATAGCTGTTTCATATATAACAGTTTTTTTTTACTCCATGCAGTTGCAGTCCAGGCTTTATCGAAATTTTTGCTGAGTCCAGAGAAACAAAATATGGACCGGTCCAGTCCAGTCCATACTTTGAACCATGCGTTGCGTCTTGCGAAACGGATATTAAATTAAACCATGCTCCCTGCTAGAACTGGTCAGAAAATTAGGTAACCGGCGTTAAACGTACGGTGTGAAAAATTAGTTGCAACCGAGGCAGTACCTTAAACTGTATGTGTGACTATTAGGGCAACCTGCATTTCATTTCACAGATATTTTTGGAACACTATCAATATCAAGTGTTTTCTATGTGCGTGCGATAACATTGTTTATTCGACTTTTATGAACTCGCATTTCGGGCATATCAGTGCGGCATAAAAGTTCATGAAAGACTATATTAATTGGACAGGATGCAAGCCAAGTCTGCGCCATGCCGTATTGCTTCACGACTGCGTCTAAACTTGACCAGTTGGCTACTTGGCTATGTCCTATGGCCAGAAGTTAGATTTAAAGTTCCTAGCTAATTGTATTCAGAATGAATTACAGGAATATCGATCATTCTCACGATTTAGTTCGTCATGCCATAAGAGCACGCGTTATTCATTTACCAATCTAGTTCGTTCTTGCACTCGCGCGAGACCAGAATGTGGTTTCAGACTTAATTGATACGCGCCTTTGTTTGAAATCGTGGAAAATATTCTCTTCCAAGTTCCAAACAGCGAAAGTTGATAGGATTCGTGAAGGTGCATCCATAAGAAAAATACTGAATAATTTCAAGGGCTCTTAAAACTATCATGCGGAAGTGCGGTGTCATTATCACACGCCCAATGTGAAAAAAAAAGAAATGTTCAAGTGCTTATGGTCAGATTTTGAACAAGGAATTGACAATTCTGATGAGCAATGTTACTTCTCCAAACATGTAATAGCACCTTCAATGACAATGCCAAATTCTAACACCTCTACAATAATTTTGCTTTCAAATCATGTTGCACAGATATGCAGTATCACCTAGCTAATAATACATATATGTATGTATTATATGTCTACGTGTTGACACTTGAGACCGCATTTTTATCTATTCGATGCAAGTCATTGTAGCGACACCATGCTGGTAGGAATAACGCCCAGCGAGGCCTGGATAGCCCTTATCAGTCGCCGAAGATTGATTTTTTCCATCCTTTGTGTTTGAAGATTGATTTTTTCCATCCTTTGAAGAGTTTTAAAAACTACAGAAACTGCAACAACCCATGAAGAGAGACTCGAGTTTCATTAACATAATCTAAGACCGATTTAAGAAACACTATCCGATGGTAAGCCCTATCGAGCTTTCGTACAAACGGCGCCAGATAATTAAAATGTTGCTCTAATTATTAAGTCATATTGTGAACGTCGAAACGTTGCGTTAATTAATTTTTTTAGTGCGGGTATAATGGTCTTTGAAGGTCACGTCGAAGATTCTTCTTAGTTTGTTCTCGTGGCTTCCGCTTTTCTGAATTAGAGACTCGCAATATTGACGAGGTCAAGCCCCCACTTGGTTTTGTAGACGGCGTTATGTTTTCGTGCTGCCAATCGTAAACGCTTGAATGAGATCATATGAAATATAGGAAGCGCGGTTGCCGATGATATAGGACTCAATGTGACTATCAGAAGCGAGAATCAGGTGGTTTGCGCAAATGCAATCGTGGTCTGATATAGTGGCAGATGAAGTTTAGGTCATTTGTTTTCTGCATCTCTTTATATGATAGAGCACTATAAGGGCCAAGTAACGAGGGTAAACTACAAGACTTCAAAACACTTTTGTGCCGACCGTATTTTATTAAGCGAGTGCTGTGAAAAATTTTGCTGTAATGTATACAAGTTAAGCATATTATATACACGATTGTCGTAGGAATGCAAAAGGCCGTTAAGGGTCGTTCACAGGATCTAACTTTCAATTCCCTTATGACGTACGGAATGTAGTTTGTTATTGATAAAGAAGTACTGCATTGGCTTTAGTTGACTTCCTGCCAATATACATTGTAAGTCAACAGACTATAAAACATACGTCAGGAGTGATTTAGATACGACGAAATAGGATCGTTTGAACAGACCTTTTGAGGGTAAATCGAAAGTAATAAACTTTATGCAAAAATGTAAAAACTAAATTATGAAGTACGAGCCAAAGAAACCCAAGTCAAATATAAATGCCTAATATAAATACAAAAGAGATGCCTGCGGAGGAGGCTACAAAAAATTATACCTGTGCACTTTTATTGCTTTGATACCGCATTCGAATTGGGAATCAATGTAATAAATAACCATGCAAACGTCACAGGTCACGTGACCGAGGAATTAGGCGATACGGGCGTGGTCTAGTGGTCTGACATCCGATTGTGAAATGGGGTTACCAAAAATTGGCAAAAATATACAGGAAATTTCGCATAGCAGTCCCAGCCATCAGCAAGTCATTGGTCTGAAGAATAAAAAAAAATAGAATAGGATAAATGGCATCATAACTTCAATGAGACTATCGAACTGACCGTTTGGTTTAGCATTCGAACGGAAGAAGTAAGCATACCTGCACTTTACATAAAATTTGTAAAAAGTTATAAAGCTTTTTTGCTGTACGAAAGTAAATGTTTACACGGAAGCCTGGCTGCTTAATTGTAGCTTGCGCTTCAGCCTTCAGCGCAATGATGGGGTAATATTGGGGCCTTTTTGTCCCCATATTTGCATTTTCATTTAGACTTTCATATATTATACAGTATATAATATATATTGTAATAATTTATAATAATTTATAATATATATTATAATACATTATCTAATATATTATCGGAGACCCCTGTATTTTTTGGCTGTTTTACCCCCAGGAGCTGAAATTCCCTTACCATTGCATGTCTTGCAGCAATTTTTTTCCATATAACTCACGTATGTCTTCTCACAATAGCCCAATCCCTTCCAATATTGGCAATTCCTAGCAGACTGCACATCGCTATTGCAACCTGAAAAGTAGTTATTATATAGTTAATATATCTCAAGCTTTCGGCTTATTTATCTACCGTCTCCACGTAATTTAGCCTATAAAGTATAATTCTATTTATATTTTAATTAAGTTAATAATACAACTCGTTTTTTCCATACTCGCATGCGGTCATACCACATAGCAATAAGAGATATAGCTAACGACTGATAACATTTTCATCCCATTCTGCTTTTTTTTAACTGGAGCAAATAGCGAAAAACAATGTGGTGCACCGTGTATAGTTTTCATGAAATTAAGGCGATACGTTGCGAGTACATGCCGGACCGGAGGAATTTGGAAGCGTGTTCGAATTGGTTTAGTTTGCTTTGCAAATACATAGAACCAGTCCATTTTCATCCAATTTTACCGTGTAAACATCTAAGTGGGCGAATTCGAGTACGGTTCTAAATTCGTCTGGTCCTGCATGTGTGAACGATAGCATAAATTCGCGTGCAGAACTCGTACATAATAGTGACAATGCATGGTTATACAAACTCACTTACTGATCATTAAGATGGTAATTGTCATCTGTTTACAATATAGAAATACCAATTACTACAAATGTGTTTTTGGCACTTCCGCGCGACTCGATGCATGCGAATTCTAGGGGTAACCACGCTTAACCACGCTTGCTCTGTCAGCTACCTCTCTCGTAAAAAGCGTAAGTTCGATTCCTGCCGGAGGACCTATAGTAGACTCATTTTCCCATCAACTGTTCCTGGCTTGAATTTGAAACGTGTATAATTTTACTCGAAATTAGGACCCTTTAACCCCTAGAAATTACTGACCACTATACAGCCAGCATTTGAGTCGGTTATTCAAATCCAGGAGCTTGTAACGAAAATCGCGTAGATGAAGTTCTCTTACCATTGCATGTTTTGCAGCAGTTTTTTTCCATATAACTCACGTATGTCTTCTCACAATAGCCCAATCCCTTCCAATATTGGCAATTCCTAGCAGACTGCACATCGCTTTCGCAACCTAAAATTCCAGAAAATTAGTTAAATTTATGTGAATGACAGTGCAATTAATATAGCTATAGAGGCTTTGACGTTGCACATGTGAGTATTCATAATGCCATATACAGGGTGTCTCAACTGATTTCAATATAGTGGGTACTATTTTGGGGACACAAGGCATCAAAAAGTAGCTATACAGGTAAATAAATGCATCATGAAATAAAACTTGTAAGCCTATTGAGTGTGGCCTAGCTAGTTAAAGTTAGCAAGGTAGATAATAAATTTCACTATCCCCGAAAAAGGGAGTATTTCCATCATTAAATATACATTACAACGCGAATTATGCAGCCCGTATTTGCGTGGGTCGTTTTACCCCCAAGAGCTTTGCGTGGGGCGTTTTAACCCCAGGAGCTTCCATGCTGGGCGCTTATATATTCTAGGAAATTCCTCTTACCTGTATCACTACATGTCTTGCAACAGTTTTTCTCCATATAACTCTCGAATGTTTTCTGACAGTAGCCCAAACCCTTCCAATATTGGCAATTCCTAGCAGACTGCACATCGCCATTACAACCTTAATAAATGAAAAAAACAGTTGTTGAATAGAGTGAACATATGTAGCCTGCTTTCTTGGTACTTTCCACTTATACGTATATTAATATAATACCCAAAACCTTACGTGAATAAGGGACAACAACAATTTGGTGCATCGCGTACTGTTAGGATATGTATGTCCAAATTTGAAAATAGTAGGACTGTAAGTATATGCGTGGTATATTTCTTTAGTTTGATATTTTTGGGAGCAAAAATAGTTGAGGGGACAATATCACGAGTTGTTTCCCATGTCATAGGCCTATATGCATGCAAGCCGCGGTATGCGTGGAATAACCTTTTTACCACTTCATTTCATCTTAGTAGCTATCGTTTCGCCATGACAAGACATGTCAGACACGCATTTGTCACTTATTAATTGCTACATGCATGTTCCGACCCCTCTGTGTCACAAACTTCCTAGGATATGAACTCCCCCATGTACCCGTCGATATACCTGATGGCGTTTCACATCCATAAAGAAGTCGGACTTGCTTTTTATCCAGCTCACTAAGCCCTTCTTCCTGTCCTATTGGTTTCCCCGCAACAGGTTTAGTCTCGATAGTTTTCAGATTGTTCTTTGAAAAAGCATATGCTCCGTAATGCATGACGCTCTCATAGTCATACTGGACGCCAAGACTATCGACCGTGTCCTCGCTTTGCTTTTCAAAGTTGAATTTTAAATCTGAAAAGGAAATTTATCGGTAATACTGTATCATGCAGTGTGTCATGCAGAATATGCGAATAACTTACTCATGCCTGCGGGCAATCAATTTTGACACTGGTCATGTCCACTGTCCACGCGGGGTAGGGCGTATGAACCTGGGCGGCAGGAGGCCTTTTCAAAAATTTTCGAAAGAAAGGGAAAGTGACCTTTTGTGTGGTTAAAAGAAACCTTTTTGATAAAACATATGTCGCTGTATATATAATTTTACCTTCGACAGGTCCTTCACATGCAGTGTTTTAAGCAGTTTTACGTGGTACATATATTTACAGTTTAAGACAACCTAAAGGTCGACACAGAGAAGTCAAAATGTCAGTATTTTCAAGTTAAGTAATTCGCAAGAATATTATGATAGGTTGAAATCTATTTGCTTTTAGAAAATTTCATAAATTCCCCTGAAGGCTATCCCCCCCTAAATTCTTCCACTTATGCATGAAAGCACTCTGCTTTAAACTCCCAGCTATACTCCGTCGGAACATAATATTAGAGAGGTTAAGATACCCCGGTTCCGGTGTAGGGGTACGGGTAGCCTTATTTTGTTCAGTGAATTTCCATCAGTGTTTCTCAATTTTTTCGACGCCATAACTCGACAACACCTTTCCAGTAGACTTTAGCCTCTTGAGGTAAGCATGATTTGTATCACGAAACGTGCAAACAACAAGAAATTCCAATGAACAAATTATGGCTGCCTGTACCCGTACAACGAAACCGGGGTATCTTAATCTAATATATACGCCTTTCGGGGGTTAGCAACCCATCTTGGTGAGTTGTACAAATAATTATACAGATACATTCAGGATGAAGTCGCGTGAATCCCGGACAGGGGTGAAGAAGAAACAGATGGAAACGTCAAGATGAGTAAGATGCGTGCGTACTAATATCATGCTATGTACACCTACATGGTATAATGTTGCATATACTGATATCAATGTACCTGGTATAATGTTATCCCAAAGAATGTCTACATAATTGTCCCTGTCCGGGCGGGATTGCTCGTGCCAAAGTCCCATTGCATGACCTGATAAAAGTAGTTAAATGCAAGAATATGAGTCGGCATTGTGCGACATGCATAATACCAGAATATGATCACTAAACATACTGAAATACCAATGTCTTGGGTATGCCGACATAATTACCAATTTCGTGAATTATTATTCCATGATCCTCACAACCACGACCAATTGATATTCCCTGCTTTCCACCTACTCGTCCAACGTCTGAGTAACATCTATAAAACAACAAATAATACATTTCTTTAAGCATGAACCCACGAACCAATATAATTATATCAGTATATGTTTCAATGAGACGTGGGCAACGCCGTGTGAGTATATTTCACATTGGCACACTTTCAGTATAAGAACACTCAATTAGTTAAGTGTACGTCAGTAAATATACCCTCAATCTTAGTTTCCAGATTTAGCGACTGTTTCTATATATCAAGCCCGTATATTATAATGCGGCTAGCTGTTGTTTGCAATGCATCGATCATTGCTGCATGAAATATTTGTATAAGTAACTTGTTATATTTTGTCACTGACACTGGTTTGTTAGCAAGCAGTCGACATGAGTTTGATATTAAAAAAAAATTATACACTTCTTCGAAAGTATTGCACCTCTTCGAAAGTATTGCATGCATGCGCATGGCTTAAGGCTAATTAAAGGTAAACTCAAGAAAATTGACCAACCCATCGCCACTGAAGAAGTACATGAAATCTCTTGGTTTATTCTCGTTTGTTACATCTCGCCATTCACCCATGCAAGGCAATGTTGTTTCCCATTCTGCAATCGCTTTTCTGATGTTTGATTGAACATCATCTACAAAAAGATCACAACAAACATCAGGTTTTCGCCACCGTTTGGGCACAGCAAGAAACGAAAGTACAAGCAACACATTTTTGCCTTGATGTTTGCATCATTGGCGTGTAACCATGCAATCATGATTCCCTTTGTGTCCCATTGTTGTCAGAAAACAATTCAATCCCCGACAATTCAATCCCCGACTTGCGAGTGCGCGAGCTTTTGTAAATCAGGCCTTAGACAGCTTGCAGTTAGGTGTTCCTATTTAAGGGGGTCTTTCTTATTGCATGTGTCGTGTTTATAATGAAAAAGGGCTGAGCCTGAGGGTTAAAAATTTACACTTGGGACGAAATCTCCTAACTGAGTGAGATTCTAGTCATTCTAGAGATTCTTATTGCTATGATTTAGTAAAAGTATTATTGGAAAGAAAATTTTGAATTTGATCTCTCATTACTTTTGAAAACGTTTTACTCGATGGGTTTTTGAAGACCATAGAAAGTTGTACCGCATGCGATAAACTTACTTAAACTAGTGTCGATAGCATAAGGAATATTTTTTGGCCATAAAATACCACGATTTTTTGTAATCGCCCGTCTTTGACGAGACGTGACGGCGTGATGCGTTATTATATTTATCGCCTCTTGTTTGCTCATCTTAATGTCACCTTCAAACAAAAAGTCACTCCCATTGCCTTTTCGTGTTCCGCTTCCTACAGAAGGGTAAAATTAAGAAACATGAAAATAGAACAAGTGCGAAAGGAAAATATTTGTTTATAATTATGTAAGCTCATCAGCACGTTGTTATCCATCTTGAATCCACTTTACCTCCCGCAGTGAAAAGAATTCGGTGTGATGTTGTTTGCGTGCGGACAAGGCATGTCCCTGATTGGTCAACTGGGCACGATGTTAAATGAGAAACGTACTTTTTACGTCATAATTAAGACATTCTACAAAGGCCAAGTATATCTCTGCGGTCGGCCCTGTGGTGTATGCATAGGCTACTTTTTTAAAGTTCAGGGAAGCTAGACAATGTATAGTGACAATTTTTAGAACCTAGATATCATGCAGTTGAATTCTTTTGTATTGTAATAACATTTGAATGCCACAAGATCCAGAATCCAGATAGATATACGGCTGGGTAATTTGTGTAAATCTGGGTCGCAAATTCAAGACATAAATATATAGCGCCATACCAGGGTTGTAAACGTTTAACTTTATCATATACGTTTTTACTGTCCATAAACTTTCATCCCTTATATACAGAGGATGTTCAGAAACAGTCTTGAAGCACGCTGTATAAATGGGCACCATATCCTAGCTATATATTGCTTACATATATAAAAGTTGTCAATAAAGGAATATAAACCTCTTTCTCTGGCGTTTATTTTGACAATTTCGTCAAATGCACTACTCTGATCACCGGGTCCATGAGTTCCTGACGACCGAGTATCATTTTTCATCGCATTCCACAATGCTTCCCAATTTGCTCTATCATCTCCTGGGATATACACATTCGTCTTCGAAGAAACAGGGTTTGCTAAACAGATGCGGAAAACTGCAAGTTATTGTGCCGTAAATTCGGTTAAAACTTTTGGTAAAATAAAACTCAGTGAGTGCACCTGAGATGGTGAACTAGTGCATTTTTCGTATATAGTAAGTTGGCTATATTTTGTTTGCAAAAGTCTAGTTTGCGTATATAAAGCTAGACCATGGCATTAATGAAAATATTATCTAATCTGACAATTTAGCTACTTATTCAATTTCTCACTAAAGTGAATGCTGCGCTTACATATATGACCATCACAATATTTAAAAAGCCAAAATACTTAAAAGGTGCTCTAGTCAACAAATGCATAACACGATTCAACACTGACCTGAACTGAAAAAGATTTCGCAAAGGAAGACAGCTGCTGCGATAAATTTTGTAGACATATTCATATTCGTGTCTTTAATCCTTCTTCTTGATTAGTATACTGACACTGCGTCTAAAAAGATTGTGCTGTGCCGGGCTTTGCCCCTTGCTTTTATACCATCTCGAAGTGGACTTGGCATGCACACATTGCAGGTCCAAACTTTGAGTCAATATCACGAAAAGAAAGAATGAGAAAATTGAATACCGATTAGCGAAATATTGAGTCAAGGATTAAGTGTCAAATGGTTTTCTGGAACTGACGAAATTGATATAAAATTATTAATATAAAATTATATCAGGGAGTTTATAGTCATGTTTTTTAACACAGCATTGATAAGAACAGCCTAAAAATTACTTATTAAGCTGTTAAACATACTTCATACTTCTTCACTGTTATATATAGGCATACACCCAGCTGCTTTTAAAATGTTTAAAGTATATTGGTGCACTAATGTATTGCGAGTTATATTTTTCAGTTTAAGTGATAAGTGTTTTGTTTGAACCATTATATAAATAGAGCTTTGGAATCAGTGTCAGAATGCAACCTTTGGTTTTGTTTTGAAACTTGTCTTCGAGTTTGACTTGCGGTTTGTATACATGAATAATAATATATTATATATTAAATAATATTTGCAATTTTTATATATAGCGCAGAATTCATGCACGCTTGATTCCATACACAAACATGAATTTTATCTTCCTGTGGTTATCTTCGTAAAAAAATATTTTTCTCTGATTCGCTTCGCTAAATACTATTTTTCATGCACCAGTCGAATTAGATGTTATATATAGGTCATATCGCAACCTCGTTTCACTGAAATCCTGCATGGGGACGAGGTTGGTCATATCTGGTCGAAAACCAAATTACGAACAGTCAGACTATCATAGTATCACACTAAAATTACGTCGTATAACAAAAATTGCATTTTCATGTAAACACGCTCGACGCGACGGTCAATCGTTTAACGCGAGATGGTATAATTAACTTTAACCGAGATTATACCGATACGATCTTGTTTATTAGTAAGAACAAGTGATGGGCGCACGGCCAGGTTATATTAGAAGCTTAGTTCCGTTCGTCTACTGCTGCGGTTTCTATAAAGTCTCGATCGGAAATGTTTAAGTGATAAGTGTTTTTGTTTGAACCATTATAGAAAGAGAGTTTTTTTCATCGCTATCGGCTCTTCATCGATGAGAGTCATGAAAGTAAATCAGTATGGTTCACTTGTTTCAAAAACCTATTTCAGTGTTTTAACTGTACTTGCGTGGATAAAATATGATATCATTTGCTAAATATACAAAAGGTATATAATGACGTTCACTGGCTGATTGCATGTGGGGTATAATCACGTAGACCGCAACAATGTTATTTTTTCACAATGCCAACGTATTACAAATCACTCTGCATGCACATGATCACATCTAATAAGGAACCGTCGTCATTTATGGTAGAGGTGGAGAATGAAGTGAAAATGTTTCAAACAATTTTCCCACCCCACCTTCTTCTCGCTGAAATAAATTACCCCACTGGCACTTCTAGACTGTGAAAAGAACTATCCTGCCAAATCAACACCAATCACACACAATAACAACCATTATTATATACACAAGCGCCAGATATGAGGTATGCTGCAATCTCATTGGTGGGCTACTAGACAGATATTAGCTCATATCTGTCTAGTAGAGAAAGTAAACAAAATGGCGGAAAGATTTGGGGAGTTGAGTGAAATAGAAATCCAAGCCTAGTTGATAATAGCACACCAAAATGCACCGAAAGGGCGACAAAGTTTGTGTGGTCTATCAGCTCATACGACTCGAGTTCGCAAAATAACTGTTAATTATATAATACAGATTCGTAAGCTTTGACAGTCACCGACTGGCAAAAAGTTGTTCAATTGAAGGATGATAACGGAATATGTTCATGTTTGACATCATAGTTTTATAAGTAAATATTTTTATTGTGCGGTTGATTTGGATTCTACAAAAACACATCTAGATCTCGACGTTTCGACCTAGCCAGGGGACCTTCATCATGTTCACACATTAAACCGGGGCGGGGCTATACTAATTAAAGTCTAGAAATCTTTGCTTTTGCCTTAAATTACCTTTAAATTACCTTCGCAGTATAAAAGTTGTATAAAGGCTAGTTTTCATACGACATAATTCGTCGTAATGCACATGTTCAGTTTTCGCATAACAATAACGAATTGCAACGAATATGTGAAAATTATAAAGAGGGAGAATTATGTGAAAACTGCCTCAAGAAATTCTTTTGTTGTAAAAGCGAATATATTCATTAATATCTAGTGTTGCGTTATTTTTCACCCGGTATATTTTAAGTGTAGTGATTTCTGAAGGTCATGTCGGTTATTAGCTGACGGGTTTGGGCAGGTTTGTTTGCGTGCATGGAATATATGTAGAGGTTTCTGATATGCACTACATTTTACGCACTTCGAGATTACAGAAAGTGTATGAAGTTTCGAGAAATTTTACCAAAGGAAACACAAGAAACATGCACTTATTTTTAAGTATCTGAGGTCACAAAAATCAGGATTTTAATTTCCTTGCGCGACCAGTCGACAATCCCACGAAGGACCGCGCATTCGGTTGGAACTTGGAATCGCTTTCGAGTGATATATTTGATTAAATAAACAAGGATAACACTTCATTTATTGACCGTTTCACAATTGAACTCACATTTCTTATTACTTACCAAACTTACCAGCAGAGTATAGAGCATACATACATGATTGTCCCCAATAAAAAAAATATTGAATCATTGAAGTGTTCTCTTGTCACAAATATAGTCATTCTCAAAACAAGAGCAATAAAATTTCCTATTTGCTCATCAACTGTTATCGATAATCGATGATCGCAGCTCGCTCTAGATTCCCGAAAGTTAGAGCATTCGAAGGATCCAATAAAAGCTCAGTTTCGTTCAACTTATAATAGTCGGTTCTAAACGCCTCTAAATCAGGCTTGCTCTTTTGGTCTCTTGAAGGACGACGTATTGAATTAAAGCCTATCAAATGCAATTCAAATTCGCTGCAATTCAAACAATAGATAATGAAATGATAATGAAGCTTTAATAAAGTTTATCATCTCATTATCTATTGTTTGAATTCGACGCGACCAAAATGCCCTAGGCCTTTATTAACATCACATGTATCAGCACTCACATTGTGTACGTTTGACTATAGCATGTCACAGACAATCTTCATTGAAAAACAGCTATACAGGGTGTCCCTATACTGAAAAACCAAAACTAGTGAAATCACCTGTTGTTGAGATTCGAATGGCCTGTTCGCGAATTCTTGCCCGTGGGGATTTAACGCATCTTATAAAAATGCATAGCATTCTGCATAAAAATCTTTATATCAAAGTTTTATACACTTGCAGGTCCCAACAGGGTGTTTATGCATTCAAACTCTATTATTACAGTGTTAATTATGTGTGATTTCAATGTCTCGGGTTTTTTGGGACACCCAATTCATATTTTCATGTTCACATATATAGGGTACAATTAAATACAATAGTACAATTATATTACAAGTTGATATTTTTTTGAGTATTTTTTTGTGTAGCTCACAAAGTAAGTTAATATTCTTTTGAATTTTATGAGGTATAAGACGTTGAAAACATTAGGTTTATGCTGGCGACCAATTCAATTGAGCCATTAATTTGGGGTAGCGCTCGCTACGCCCTGAAATGCAGAATTTCTACATACGTATACCAAAAATAATCCTAATGACCCCTTGTATTGATAGCCGCCGTCGTCGTGTTTCCGTCCTACATCTGTAAAGCTTGATTCATATATATCACCGACGGTCGGCGATGTATTGTTTGTGTTCGTTGACGAAGAAAATTTATACAAAATAACAAAGCATTTTATTCTCCAGTGATCACCGACAATAGCCATCGCCGACCGTCGGTGACATATAAGCATCAGGCTTAGGGTCCCTACTGTAGAAACAAATGCTGAAGAATTAGTCAGGCATTTGTGCATTCATTTCATTCATTATAGTCAGGACTATGTGATTTCACAAATCGAAATCGGCAATCCGATTGGCTGTAGCAGCGTTCGCAAAACTCTTTTACGAAGGTCCGGAATCTAAATTCTTGTATAATCTGTTGTTTTGTTTTCCTAAACAATATTTATCAACTTTGTAAAGTTTTAGTATGTGAAAATCTGATAGTTTTCTAGTGTGTCTCCTTTTAATCTCCGCGCTATTTCCGTTGCTAAATCAGTATTTGAGCGCCAGTGTGTGGAATCCTTTCTCGGACTTATTTAGTTGTCAATAACTTTTGGTTGTCGATCACAAATAGTTGTCGACAACTAAATCGCTGTTACACTATATGCAATTTCCTTGCAACTCGCATCTCAAATGTAAATATGACGAATACTGATATCTTTATTGTTGAAATTAGGCAACATCCAAACATTTTACAAATTATTATAATTATATAAGGTGCTTCATTTAGAAGTAATTTTTTTATTTACATTAAAAATTTTATTTTAGTATAAAAGTTTAATTTACTGTTCTGTTGTTTTGCCGGCTGAGAATATTATATTAAAAAGAAATATAGTATAACAGATCTGAAGAAGATTTTAATCTAAAGAAAGAGAAATAGTAGAGAATAAATAACATGAACGAAATTGGAGTAATTATTTAAATATATTTCAATGACCTCAATGGCCGCTGTTGCGTTTGGTCCGACAAACACTCGGGCGAATAAAGAGGTTCTAGTAAAATTCACACGTTTTTGCACAGTTATACGACCGATTATACGAGAGAAGGAGCTTTTAATGAATGAAAACCGTGAATGAAATCCTCTTACCATTACATGTCTTGCAACAATTTTTCTTCATATAATTCACGTGCGTCTTCTGACAGAAGCCCAATCTCTTCCAATATTGGCAGTTGCGGGTAGACTGCACATCGCTATTACAACCTTCAATGCATGACATTGGGTAAAATATGGTAAATAAAGTACTCAGATTTTGGCCAATTTTTACTTTCCACATGATCGCCTCTCCTGTGCTAATTAATATACATGACAATCGTCTTTAGGATATAGGAAATATACACTTGCTACGGCTTAGAAGCAATTGCGGTGAGCATGATATTGTCACATACATAACAACCAGCTATCAACGAGCGCGTTATGCTATATAAATCTAACCGTCTAAACCGCAGGCTGGCCCGTCTCATATGAACAGGCCCTAAAATCTTTCAATTAAAACAGAAGAAAATCATCTTACCAGTGACAGGGCTACTGCATGTCTTGCAGCATTTTTTCTTCATATAACTCACGTATGTCTTCTCACAATAGCCCAATCCCTTCCATGATTGGCAATTCCTAGCAGACTGCACATCTCTTTCGCAACCTTAAATGGGTAAATATTTAAATATAATATGTATCCTACTTATATTATACTTTCCTTGTAAATACGTATATAATTATGTAATTAGTATATAGTAATAACACTTAATAACTAATAATAATATATATATATATAATAACGATAAACTTGTTTTTTCTCGTCTGACCGATGATTTAAGATGAATGCGTGAATAATTACAAAAAATCATGCATGTATATTGTTTTCATATGAGGTCGTAAAATAGTTATATCTATGTGTGTGGCTCTAATTATATTAATTTCAATTTTTTATCAAATTATGGCCGTGGTTTTCGATGTCATCCATGTATAAGCCACAGTAGAAAAGCTTGTTTTACTGTTATTTTACTTCTGCACCTTTCGATTTTTTATTGCTGTTCTGTCCTTGCTGTGATGCAGACAATCGAAACTTCCCATGGGTATACGAACTCCCCTTCCTCCCTGTCTTTCTGATATACCCTCACCTGCTTCGTTTACACAACCATAAAGGAGTTGAACTTGTTTTTTATCTAAGTCACTAAGCCTCTGTCGCTGCCCTATCGATTTCCCCCCATCAGGTTTAGTCTCGATAGTTTTCAGTCTGCGGCGGTCTTTTGAAAAAGAATATGCTCCATAATGCATAATGCTTTCATAGTCATATTGGACGCCACGACTATCGATTCGGCCATCGTCGTGCTTTCGAAAGTTAAATTTAAACTCTGCAATGAAAATTTTTCATCATTATCATAGGATATCTATAGGCATGCACAAGCTATGGCGTTATAATTAAGATAGTCAATCATGTTTACTGCATTCACAGGCATGCACGATTGTTCTAGTAGATTAACCATATCTTATGAGACTTTCTTTAGCTACTACGTCGCTATTCAATATGTCAACACCCAAGTAGGGGAAATACAATTATGTATTCTCGTGTTAACCCCGAAGAAGTATGAACAAGAAATCGATTACAATTCCTAGAGACGTTTTTTGCCTATTTACGTTCTTTTGCAATACTTGATAATAATAAAATATAATTACGTGATGATAATAATAAAAATAATAATAATAATATGAATGTACCTGATATGATGTTATCCCAAAGAATGTCTACGTAATTGTCCCTGTCCGGGCGGGATTGCTCGTGCCAAAGTCCCATTGCATGACCTGTTAAAAGTAGATTGATCGAAGACTATGACTGAGCATCGTGCGAAAAATTACAAGAACAAGTATCACGGAACAGATTGAACTATCAAAATCTTGTATGCCCGACATAATTACCAATTTCGTGAAGTATTATACCATGACGCTGACAACCACGACCAATTGAAATTTTCTGCCTCCCACCTACTCGTCCAACCTTTGAGTAACATCTGAAAACAAGAAGCAATTTCTCTTGACGTTCTTTACAAAAAGTCACAGAATAAATATAAAACTCGCCCACTTCAATTCTTGGAAATTATTAAACAAGGCTCTGATAAGGTTTGTGAACTCAAATAAATCTGCTTCGGCATAGGATGTATTTAGTGGCTAACGTAGTATCTCTAGGCGGAAAATATGTGAAAAAAATTTTCACGCTATAGATTTCTTATTATTTCATGCAATTTGCGACGACATAGAATAATGCACTTCTGAAGGACGACCAAGCACGTCTTTGCGTGATTATATTTATTTATGATGCCTTACTGTGAAAATTGCTCTCTGAAAATTATTATACAAACTCTCGAAAACTTTCTGCAGATTAATTTCAAACAATCTTTCGTCGAAAAAAATCTTGGCATGTTTCGTTAAAATTTGAAACAAATTGGCAATTGACATTCATGCATATACACTATATATATATGATACTGATATATGTATATATATATATTATATATATTATATATATATTATATATATATATATATATATATATATATATATAGGTTATCACATGAGGGGCGAGGTGATATCAGTTTTATCGCTTGAGGGACGATATCATAAATGTCACGAGTGAGCGCAGCGAACGAGGGTCATTTATGATATCGTCCTGAAAGCGATAAAACTGATATCACCTCGTCCCGATTGTGATAACCTGTTTATCACATACTTCCTTTTTTTCTATAAAGCAATCGACATCGACTGAAACAAACCTCGAACTGCTCGAGTCAGCCATCTTTGTTTTGACAGCGGCAAATGCAGCGGGACAAAAAGCGATATCAGTGACAAAAAGCGATATCAGTGACAAAAAGCGATATCAGTGACGATATCGTTTTTATGTCACCCTGTTATCGCCCTGATAAAGGCACAAGTATGTGATAATAATATATATATTATATTATATATATATATATATATATATATTTATTATATATTATATATATATATATTATATATATATATTATATTATATATTATATATATTATATATATAAGTTCCAAGTTTTAGCAGCCGCGAATCTATATTAAGCAGGCTTATAATAGCTTGCTATAGCGCTGTTGTCTACGGTGCGTCTTTGCTCTTGGAATACTTGTCAGTAAATTCGTCGTCAAAGTTCCATTAACAAGCAGTTGACATGGGTTTTGATATTAGCAAAATATACTTATATATAGGCGCAGCCCAATGCTCAATGGAAAGTGAAAACCTACCCATCACCACGGAAGAAGTGAATAAAATTTTTTGGCTTTTTCCTGTTAGTTACATCTTGCCATTTACCCATACAAGGCAAAGTTGTTTCCCACTCCGTAATCGCATTTCTGATTTCTGATTTAATACTATCTACAAAAAAATGTCCACAAATATCACTTTATAAACAGAAAAAAACGCCACTCTGAAACAGCAACTTTATTCTCTGGTGGCGCCGGCCCTCTTGAAATTAAAGTACTTTAATTAAAGCGGGAGTGTTTTTGTCTGGGGTCACGAGCTTGTGCTAACTAGGCCTTCGACACTTTTCCTTATGTCTTGGAGTGAACTTTGAATAGTACGTGTCAAAAGATTCACTTTAAAAAATTCACAATGGGACGAAAAATTCATAATGGGATGAAGCACAACACACAGACTCACAGTGCACAGCACCAATATATATATTTAGCTGCAAGGCCTCACTATAATATTCCACAACACTTAATGTACTTGAATTCTGGTTAAAAGATCACAGACCACTGTAATGAGAATTTGCATATTGCCTATTGGTTAGCTTTATTATATCCTTTTCGATTCAACTAAATAAGGAATATTAAAAAATTTATTTATAACAGCGGATGTTTTTAAAAATCTGTTGGATTCTACTGCTCGATCTCGCCATTTATTCGAATTTGTATTTTTATTTTACCAAATGGCATTTTATTGTAACGATTTGAGGTTCCTGCAAGGCCCAATACAACTGTATATTTGAGCGTGGCTCTGTATTACTATTAGCATATATTTGCAGTCGCCCGTCGTCGTTCGGTCATAAGGTCGATTATTGTATTGTTTATTTGTATCAAGTATAAACCAAGATTTACTGTATGAATTTACGTCTAACAAACTGATTTAATACGTATATTTCATAGTTTGAGTCCTTAAACAGCCCATGAGCGAAAAGAAGATTTATATATTTGTAAAATCATGTCTATGCATGTCAAACAGTACAACGTAATCATGACTACCACCAAACAAATATGGCAATAACTAATAAGAGCATTTAATATAAACAAATTGCCCAACTGTGACACTTACTGTAAAGTGTAAGCAGAATTAAGCAATAGGCACATAATATTTGGCCTGTAGCATAGCTTGGAGCAATACTAGCTTATGCTGTAACAGTTATGAATATTACTCAGTCTATACAAATTGACCGCATCCATGTTTTTATTCAATGGATGTAATTTCCCAGTTGGAGGCTCAGTAAACATTTAAACATTTTCATTGCGTACTTTTTTCTCGCGTATAATTTTTGTATAAATTTCGGGTTCAGTTGATAAGTTAATGATTTTTGAAATTTCATTATTCCGGAAGGGAGTTAATTGACCACCTCCCCGTTTTCACTTCCGATAATTTTGACTAACGTGCGAAAAATCCTAGACCTGTCCCTGAGACCACTGTTATGAGAGTTTGTACTTTAAGTTATTAACTTACTTAAACTAGCGTGGATGGTATAAGGAATATTCTTTGGCCATAATCTATCACTGTTTTTTGCACTCGCCCTTCTTTGACGCGATGTCCCGACATGAGACGTTATTATATTTATCGCCTCTCGTTTGCTCACATCAATGTCACCTTCGAACAAAAACTCGCTCCCATCGTTCTTTCGTGCCCCGCTACCTATGGAGGAGAATAAAATTTGTATAGTGTGAGAATTAAGTTCAAGACATGGTTTTAATATATGTATTAAATATCAATGTAGTTAATTACGTTCCAATACGCGTCCACCGGTCGCCAGCTGTTGTCAACAAGAAGGAAATAATCATTATCGATCTATACCGTTACCTTGTGAATAAAAAAGTACCCTCTAATAAAATCATAATTTTGTTGTTAAGGGTTTTTTTGGGAAACACTGTATAGATCGACGTATACCTCTCTCTTTAGCGTTTACTTTGACAATTTCGTCAAATACGCCCAGACCATTAGCTCCTGATCTTAATACTTGAGGATCATTTTTCAACGCATTCCACATTGCTTCCCAGTTTGCTCTATCATCTCCTGGTATAGCCACATTCGTCTTCAAAGATACAGGGTTTGCTAAACAAATGCAGAAAAACTACATATTATCGTGTATTATTCATACATATTATTCTGTTAAACTTTTTGTAAAATGAAATTAGTGAGTGAGCGATTGAATGAGTTAGTCACGTATAGATATAGTTCGTTGGTTGGTTGGTGATTGGTTTGTTTGTTATATAGTTTGATGGTACGTTATAGTTAGTTTGTTAGTTTGTCAGTTAGCTGTTATTATATCGACGGCTATTAAGTGGTTCATATATTTACATTTATGTCCACGCACAATATCTAAAATGCAATCAAAAATCTAAATAGTCAACAAAATTAATGTAAACACGATCCATCACTAACCAGAACTGAAAAAGATTTCGCAAAAGAGGACAGCTGCTATGATCAATTTCGTAGACATATTCGTGTCGAAACACTGTCTCCTCACCTCTTTTTTAGCATTCGCTAGCGCGCGTCCAATAAATTGTGACGTTAAGGCCTCTGCTTTTATACAATCTCAAACTGCGCTTGGCACACATTTTTTGTTCCTATAACCTTGACACAATATAACGTATATCCCAAATAGGAAGATTAAAAAAAATTGAATACATTTGAATACATATATATGCATAAGCGAGATATTGAGTCAAGAATTAGGTATATGGGCGGAATAATTATGTATAGAGAGTTTATGGCCCATTTTAAAGCAACTTTTACACGCTATTGCCCTCATAGTAAAATCTGAAGGGAATCTATCGAGTAAGAATTATGTATGTTTCTAATACTTGGCTAATCTACGCTGTTAATATTAATTTTTTATAAATTAATACGAAACATCCTTGATTTGTTTATCATAAAAGTTAGAAGTCAAGTTCAAATCCATGTATACATATATAGCATTGCCCTTATATAGTAAAGACGAACATGTTAGAATAACCTATATAATTATGGGTTATACATATATCTTAAGCTAAATTTGGTAGAAAAGGAACAGACTTAATAGGCCAAAGCAGACAAACTGGTTGAAAGATATATTTTCAGCAAACACGTTGGGGCACGTCGGAGAAGTTGGGGGGAGGTGATCAATTGTTGGATTTACGAAATCATATATGTGTCTTGTTTGCGAGTAAGAACTTGTCATGGAGCACGCCCAAGTTATATTAGAAGCTTTGTTCCATTCGCCCTTGCACGACACTAAGGCGGTTTCCGTAAGGCGTAAACATGCCAACCTCAGTCGACGGAAACGTTTAAGTGATAAGTGTTTTTGTTTGAAGAATTTTAGAAAGGAGTTTTTTTAATTCCATTGCTATATGCATGCCAAATTTAATTCCATTGCTATATGTATGCATTTACATGCCAAATATAGGTTCACGGGATGGTTCATCGTGTGAAAGGTTTGGCTACATTTTAAGTGGTTCATTTATTTGTTCTGCGTTATCAGTTTGCTTAGCTTATAGACTTCCATCAAATATTTAAGAAACTCTTTAGCCATTTTCCTTCACATTGTTTAATTAAAAGAGAAATATAAGAAAGTTTATCGGCATTATTCCGACTTGATAGACCAAAATTGCGCCGCAACAAATTTGCATTTTCAGCAAACACAAGATGTTTGCATGATATGCGAGTAACATTGATATTTAACATTGATGCATTGATATAGGGACTGTTATCCACTTGAAAATGGCTGAATGACTGCTGTTGCATAGTTGAAGGCATTGTTCAAGCCTCAAAATACGCGCATTTCGCTTCATTCCTCCTAAATTCACATGGACAATGTCATTCACAAACGTGACTCCAATGGCAATGCGTTTTTCCATAGATTTCCTTGTCATCGGAAGGAAAACGGTGGAAACCGAGGAAAAACTTTGAGGAAATGGTCCTTCCGAGGCTTTGATGATTTGTCATGCAAGATAGCCCAAATCAGTGAACTAATTAATATGGATTTCAAGATGTCTGATGAAATAGACACGTCAGGGGTGTAGAGAAAGCGAGAAACCGGGGAAAAAAGAGTTTGGCTAAAATCATAAGTTCACTCTTCCAAAATTCTGGCTCTGTCTTTTCGTATAATTCAAAAACAACCCTTGTGACACTTGATAAAATTTTGCACAGCATGCATGGATCAAAACGATCAAATACACTGGCGGTCAGAGACTAAATCTATAGGATGACAAACAATAACAGGGAATTTAATATAAAAGACAATTTTCAGACCTTTTTTAAAAATGCTAAACATGGTAAAGAATTAGGCAGGGGTTAAAGTGTGTGCTTGCCACCCTACAACCGTATCAAGATTACATTCCAATAGCAAGTGACTGCATGAGAACGAGTTTGAAATTTTACATATACTAACAGGATCTTCGCCTCATTTTGTCAATTATCAAATCAACAAACATTTTATTAACAAATATTTTATCACTGCACATTTTTAATTTTATCACGGCACATTTCACTTTATCACTAGCTGCCCAAACTGCATGCATGGTTATCACTTATCACGGCACAATAAAAAAGGTATGTCCCCCTACCACTGGGATAAACTTCATTTGACTAAATCTAATTAGGTATCATTGAAACAATTTCAAAACAGCACTTTAGTAAACTGGTTATATTAAGAAGCTACGTCCTGCATTCCAGCGTTTTGGATAAATTAATCCATTTTAAGGCGACGCTACTTTGTCGTATCTCCCTTCAAAAATGTTTGATTATAAAGCAAACTATATGTTTTGATCAGGACTATAACTTATGACCAACAATATTGCACATTTAAATTTTGGTGAATGCACTTTTCAGTGAATTTGAGGTGAATTTCTTTGACCAAAAATAGAGATAGCACCCCGAAAATGCGAGTTCTAGACAATGCAGTGCTAGAATGATATGATATCATATTTCATATCTCTGAGGACACGGTTCTGACCAAGATTAGCGAATGTCAAATTATGATGTTTTAAATAAACAATGTACAAAAAGAGAGATTCCATAATAAGTGCTAAATAAATTAGCTCCTCTGAAAGCAATCAAATGCGTGGTAGTTCATTTGTTTGTTCGAGAAATGGTATCCGCATTGTGCAGTTAAGTTATTCCAATTGCCTAAGAAAAAAGCCAAGGCTATATACACTATACATGCAGGGTCACGGTCCCCTAAAACCCACAAACTGTCGCCTGCATGCAGGGTGTCCACAAATTTACACTATAGAAAAATTAAGTATGTTCTAATATAAAAAAGGGGGGAAACGTACAAAACATATAGGATCAGACGAAGGAAATAAACGATCAGATCTGCATTCCAGCTGGTTACATAGCTATAGTATAGAGCAACCATGCAGTATAACTAATAGTTAGTTCACAACAACACCACACGCAACTTAAACTCTAAAATGCATATAACTGTTGCATCTTATGCAGACTCCATGAAATTTTACATGTACTGCTAGGTCATGCAACAAGATAATTCCTATACATATTTGACCAAGGAGAAGCGTTGCGAGCAACTTCTTATTAAATGTAGTATAACAACCACCTAAAATAGACAAAATGAATTCTCGACATTTCAACGTTTCCTGACCTTTAAGTTGAAGCGCGGTCGGAACTTTTTTTGTCAAACTTTTTATAGCTACATATATATTTATATAGCGCACATTTTTTGGCGACACCATGTACATACTGATGGAATACTACCAGAGAACGGGAAAACTACGGTGTCCCAAGAAAGGAAAACTATTAAAATTACCTATTATTATAGAATTCCCTAACAAGACCCTAACCGAGGCTGAACACAAGTTCGCGCAAAATAGTCTACTGACACTGAGCATTGATATATGAACTATTCATTCCGATAAAATTTAAATAATTCAAAATATTCAACTTCGCCCACGGGTTTTTTTCATTCCTATACGGTTTAGACGTCGCATTTCGTTCGCATGCAACTAAGAAGGTCAATGAGGCTTACATTCCATCATGAGACGAGCGAACTAGCTGCGATGTACTATCAGCCACATTTAACGTTTGCGCGCCACTTAGCGCGCGTCATGTCAACTGGATGGTCATGCATGCACGGGGGGTGTTTGTTCGTTCAAAAAGAGTGAGACTAGAAAGACATGGGTACAAAACATTTATTAATAAAAAACAAAATATTTATTAATAAAAAGTTTTCAATTCATTTATGCGAAGTCTACATTATTACACACCTTCAAGTCCTCGTTTCTCTTAAACAAAGCAATAATGCATTTTAAGCATTTTAAAACAAGGTTGCTTTGTTTGTAATGTTTGTAATATAGCTTCTATGTGTTTAAGTGAGGCTTGTTTTTGTTTTATTTTTTACAATTTGCCGGAATGTAATTCAGTTTAATAACGAATCAGCGACGCTGGAACTGGAGGCTGGAGGTAGAAAGCAGGGGAAGCTCCCCTTTTACCCGGCTTTAACTAGCGGTGGCGAGGGAATGGATGATTTAAAGCATTACATTGCAATTCGTCCATGAATAGATCTGCTTTGGGCATGTCTCAACACTAGCAATACAGCTAACAAAGTTTCAAGAATAGTGCAATGTCTGACCGAAAACCCTCACAGAAGTATACACTTAACAAAAATCCCCCCCCCCCGTTGATTTTGTATCGTTCCGGCGTCGCTGATTGGATAAATTGCGTCGAAATGAAATCACAGCACGAGAAAACTACCTCTCGGGTGAAGGACTGAACTACAAAACACCAATTACAAGTTTAATCTTAAAACCGATGCTTTGTTTTCAAAACAGTTGGAAGAAAAATTTTATACAAAGAAGTAGCTACTTATATACAAAATATATATATTATACAGAAACCACTTGAATTTCATTCGATGAGAGATTGACGGCTTAAAAGGTGGGAGAATCAAAATAGCGATAAGGGGTGCCAAGCAAAATGCATCATTCCCAAAAAACGTACGAAATTTCTGGAATTTAGACAATTACATCTTGGAATTTTGATGTGGTTGGAAAGGATATTTTAGGAATTTGGCAGAAATTTGCTAATACTCTGTTAACGTTTATAAAGAGCATTGATTGGTATTCAAAAATACAGAGTTTAAAACCCCAGGCGAGTAGCGTTACATTATCCAACATTTTTTTCAGTTTAGGGCCTCTTATCAGCCATGCAAGGCCCACCAGTTAAGTACTTTCCCCGCCTCAGTAAAAATCCTCTTTTTAAAGGATATTGAGAAAAATAAGGATTACTTTAATTCAAGATAATGTATTAGCATTTTTGCATTCTGTGAGCCAACCTTAATTTGTTGAATTTTACTAATGTCATCTGCAGAGCCCGAAAGCATTTTATTTTGCATATTCTTTTACATCAAACAACTGATTTCCCTTCACTGTCAATTTCTTCCACCCTTATCAAATATTTCTTTTCCCCTCACTCGAGTTTTTCCCCACTCAAAATTTCCTAAGAGGCCCGTCCCAGGTGCTTATATGCTTGAATATTAGCTAGGACCGATTTCTGCTTGTTCCAAAATGCCGAAAGTCTACTGTAAATAGCCGAGAATGTCTAGGCAAAGCACGAACAGAATGCCCGAACAATACACAAAAAATATTTGAATAAAATAACGCCTCCCGCAACGGTAGACCGGAACAGTGATATATAAAGCCTGTTTATCTTAAGCGAAAGTTCAATACTTCGCATTTGTATATTGAGCAAAAATAATATATACATACTGAGCCATCAGTAAAAGTTGCATCGCTAACAAAATAAATTTAATGGAACTTACAAGTATGTTGTCAAGCGATCGTCGTATGGATGACTGGGTAAGTCAAAGGAGGCATCATCGGCCTGGGTAAACTTGCCATTTGAGTGCGTTCCACATTAGCGTTCGCCTGATCACGCATCGTATGTGTCCTTACGTGTTTTCGAAGCGAGCTCGGATGAGTGTAACACTTGTTACAGCCGTGAAACTTACAGCGATACGGTTTCTCGAGGGTATGAACGTGGATGTGCTTACGTCGATCACTCGAGTTCGCGAACCTTCGACTGCATCCGGGGTACTCGCAGAGGAACGGCTTCTCGCCCGTGTGCGTGCGAATGTGGATTTTCAGGTTTTCTGTTCGCGCAAATACCTTCTTACAGCCCGGGTACGTGCACACGAACGGCCGTTCGCCGGTGTGAACGCGTAAATGATTCACCAGCTTGTACTTCGCCTTGAACGGAACGCCGAGCCGTGGGCAATCCCGCCAAAAACACGAATAGTTGCCCAGCGCGTTCGTCAAGTGTTCGTCTCGTAAATGGTCCACGACGTTCTGAAGCGTCTCGTATTCCTTTCCGCAAACGTCGTCATCCGTCCCGAGCACGGGCTCTTGCCATTCGCAAACGAAAGTTGTATGAATTGTTTCGTCTCTTACCCCCTCCTGCGTCTTCCGCGATTTGTAAGGAGTCGTTGCCGAGGACAACGTTGTCGATGTCGAAGATGAATAAATGTGCGGGATCATGCTCGGTGCACCTTCGGGTAGCCCAAGCGACACGCTCGTCTCCATGACCTCGCTTGCGTCGACCTGCTGTCCTTCGAGGCCATGGAATTGATCTTCGACGCGGATCGGCGTTTGGGGAAATCTGCGATTGAACTGACGGTTATACTGGCTGTCTTTGAAGTAGATAACGCTGATGTTCTTGTCAGTGTTTTGCGGCGAACATGGGCTGCCAGGACATGCACGACTCGCACCCGAGCTAGTGTGACCGTCCTCGTATATTACTCGCGAATTTACCGCAACCAATGTACTTTGCTCGCTTTCCCTATGTTCATGGCGCCGGCCAGTGGGGGGCGAACGCTTATTGTCCGGTTCTGAACTCCCATGAACGTATTGCGTTTCTTCGTCGCTTGATTCTACCGTTCGTTCTTCGTGAAAATTGGCGCTTTCGCGATTCGGAGAAGAAGGGTTCGAATGATACGCAGGGAACGAGAAATAACTCGACCCCATCTCACCAGCGCTTGGCTGCCGCTTGTCAAAATTTACCCGACTAGTCGCTTGTGAACTTGAACTTCCTGGCGAATATGTTTTGGCGCAGGATTTGCCGAATTCCAAGTCGCGATGATATTCAATTCCCGCGTCCATTTTATTACCCGTTAGATCTGCAAACCTCGAGAGCGTGTCATTAAACGTCGATTCGATCTGCTTTCTTTCCATATTTGCAAGCGCGATTCGTTCACCGTGCTTGTTGGCATGAAAACTTCTCGCGGTCTTTTGAAATTGAGTCATCAATCGCACATCACAATATGTCGGCTCCCCACAGCTGTTTGAAATGGATAACATTGAGTTCATACCCCTGGTGTCAAATAATTCCCCGTTGCCCTTTTTTACCGCCGCTGCGACGAAGGGCCGTATTCCAACACCGTATTGGTCTGTGTTACAAGCTTATATTCCAACCTGAAGGCTGCCCACGCTTGGTTGAGCTACGTTTATCTGTTGTGAAATAGCGTTGTAAAAAAACACCCCGCAATGCACGTGGTGCATTCTCCCTTTATCTTGACACCCGGAGATGAACGAATTGTTTTTATTAAATAGCGAAAGGAATAATCTCCCGCCACGATCTAGATCCCTATGGCGGACTTGATCGCGCCCCCTGGACGCATCGCGTGGTCTCGTCGTATTGCGGTTTTGATCAAACTTTGCCTCGGCGCGATGATTCTTGCCGCTCAAGTACGGCTCAAGCTTGTAGCCCCGCTTTCAGATGAGCAAGCCGGGCCGATGTCATGTTTGTGAAATGGCGATTTTCATTTCGAGACAGTTTGTACACAGTTTAGGTTTACCTCCTGCGGTTATCCATCAACATGGATTTCCTTTATTAGATTAGCAAGCACTGTGAATGCAACCCCAGGGGATATTTTAAATGAATCCTTTCAAGTGCCATAATAATAACGTTTGTCCCTGCCGCGCGCATTCCGCTTGTATTGGATGGCTTCCTCTCGAACGACGGCACAGGTTTCGGCCGAGATTTCAATGCGATTGATAGCAACTGCGTACAGTTCGGAAAAAAGAAACTATTTTTGAAGCTTTAAGTACGTGGGCTGTGTTTTAATAGGCGAGATGTTATCTACGCCATCGCTGTGTTTATGGACCGTGCAGCTGGGTAGTGCGTTTCAGTGTTTAATTTCACGCTCTGGGGTGCAATGTCGGTGGCCACTTTCATAATAAGATCTCACGGCGTGCGAACCACCAGTTCAAACGCAGTCGGCAATCTCTATATTGAATATTAATCATGAAAAACACACGCGGTTCGTCGACGGGTTGCCGTGAAGCTCATTTCGATCCGAAGCAGATGTTTGTTGCCACTGAGCTCACCCGGGGTGAGCTATACCTTTCGTTTCATTTCAAATATGTTGGATATTTTCATGTGGTCGATCAATAATGCAATTCCTGACCTCCCGAAGGTCGAGAGCAAAGCGTGGTCGTTTTTGATCGATATTTCCCAGCCCACAAATGCGCGAAGTATTTTTAAATTCAAAATTGCGACGATAAAATCGTCGTCGTATGATTGCTAAATATAATTACTATATTGCCTAGCTTCTCCGGATCTGCCTTTCTTTAACCACAGTTTTCACTCCTGATAATGAATTGTATTATCATATATGCAATATATCACTGCCTGTAATGTTGTCTACGGTCAAATACAAAGAAGTGCAAGACACAACGGGTGTACACGAGTCGAAAGTTTCTTCTTTGACTTGTTTGATATTGTTATAATCAAATAGAAAATGTTAACTAGCTATATAGCTCGGGCAAAATTAACCTGTTATAACAGAAGATTTTCAAATATTTCATATCCGACAATTTAAAATCATATTTGCATGTAAGCCACCGTATGACATTAGACGCGACGACCACTGAATATCATCTTGAAAGTATTATGATTTCAATACGTATACTAAACTTTATATTAACTAACTCCTATAAATATCATCCCATTTTAAGCCATGAAAGTCGAGATTTTACCCTAAGAATAGGCATTTAGTATATAATTTTTAACAGAAAATGTCAAGTAGTAGCGAGAATTCATCCTACTTGAACAGCAGTCACATGCATGTAGAATTTGAATATATGAGATAAAGAGAGTGACATCTTTTCACAAAATAGGTTCAGTCACTGCTTTAATGACTCGTCATTTTTAACGTGAGGAAAAGATGCATGTACGTTTTACCTGAATTGTTTACAAAAGCAAACAGACGACCTTGAAGGGGCAAACATAAAAACACGAGGTTATTTCTTTCGGCTTTGTTATGCTATGTTATATAGGAATAAGACCAGTGATGAGACATAGCGCAGTCTGCAGGCAGACATAGAACAGGCAGACATAGAACAGTCTGCAGGCAATAAATTTAATATTAGCTACTTCCTACATGACGACATACTGCGGCCGGCGTTTTTCACTACCACCAACCACAGCAATATAGAACAGAAAATAATTGTACGCTTTGATTAGCAAAATTAGCTTTGTCTATCTAATCATTAATGTTTATTGAATGTTGATATATTGGACACAATGTAATATGCAGCGGACGTTTCCAAGAATAACCCTGTATGTTGGTCTTTGCAATGTAGTTATTCACGTCTCTGCTGAGTGCTGACCTTTCAATTTGTTGTATGAAAATTGGCGCGATTGATCATGATATTGTAAAATGGCGTGTATAATCGTACTCGATTGTAGGGATGACAGCCTGTACAAATTTGAGAAATATCAAAAGATACCTGGACCATAGTCAAGGAAAGATGTATATATATATATATATTTGGAAAGATGAATAAAGAGGACCAAACAATTGCAAATATCTTCTCATGCATAAAATTCCGGTTCAGCAAACGCCACGTTAAAGTCTCGAAATTTCCATATATACGTGTTTTATCAGGGATACACGTCTATAACACAAGTCTATCGGCCGATACCAACAAAGGCCTATATCCTATCTCATGGACAATCGCAGACTATAGAGCACCTAAAAACATGAAAGAAACCTGCGACGTTTCCAAGAAACGCCCTTTGTCTGGAGGCATACTGCGACAGTCCAATTGATAACCTAATTACAGCAGTCATTACAATAATATTCTCCGATTAAAAACGACTTATTAGCTACAAAAGTTGCAATGTAACAACAATATAATGCATTAATCTATGGACTGTTTGGAGGGACAGGAAATATAAGTCTGAAATTTTTTGTCCCTCCAAACAGTCCATAGATGCTTTGCGGTTCGCGACTAGACCCAGTACCCTGTTCGATTGAGAAATTAATTTACAGTATAGCTCATATTATACAGTGAGTAGTTATATTATAAAGAGCTATATGAGGAATTTTCTGAACAATTAAGGATACATATGAACTCCGAGTTCTCCTCCACCTTCGGCAACAGTTTCAATTATTTTCTTCATCACGTCAGCATGCCTAGCCAAAATAACATCAAGTTAATAAATAAGCTTGTAGGTACACCATGTAAGTATTTAATACTGAACAATATTTTGCGAATAGCAAAACATTTTGGTAGAAACAATAACTATTACAGAAACAAACATAGCTATATTGTCCTTGTCCAGAGTGACTTGTCCTAAAATTTAAACGGCTTGAATTTTTAAATGGGAATATGGGAAGTTATTCGGGCCATTCGGCCGTGAAATTTGTTACAAGTTCTTAAAGCCAAATATCAAACACACACACACGGTTTAAATTATTAATTCCAAGGTTTATTGACGAAACTGCAAAAGTCTTGAGATCGTTTTATATATTTGGACTCACGTTATCAAAATAGATATCAATATAATTTTGTATCTATTTTCTGAAAGTCTCAAGCACCTTCTAGCCCTTTCTCTGTCTTAGGAATTTTCAAGTGCCCTTGAAATTGATTTCTCCTCAATCATTTAAGCATTTTTCAAGGGTTTCAAGCACCTGCACGTACTCTATCCATTCTCTTCGGACAGTTTGCTATCAACAAGTCTCAGATAATATAGGTAGTTGAAGATGTTTTAAATTCACAACAAGGATCGGAAATGATAGAGATTGAACGAATTAAAATATTTAACTCATACAATGAATTCGCATCAATACGCTACAAGAACTGCTTCTCGATATTTTTTTGACCTTCAAAATAAGAAAATTAATAGAGATAGTATGAAGATAAACAAGGCAGGTGTTTTGTATGGGGGAAAAAGGCCATCACTCCCTTAAGACGAAACGTTGAGAAATTTTTCGACGTTGTTATACTAAACTTATAACAATTGGGTTATCTTAATTGAGGGGAACAAAATAGAGCATAATACTATTCTTGCTACACCCATTGAACCTGGGCTCTAACTTTCATTGTTTACTATCATTCGTTTACGAATCCATCATTTGTTTATCATTCGTAAACGAATGATACGAATGATGTATTTGTATTGTCCTGCACAACTATTCAATAAAGTGAGCACTTCGTGAAATAGACTCATGCAAGTCTTATTTAAAGTGTTTTGTTATGGTCATCTCTCGACTAGCCGTTTGTTTGCTTCGTTGTGGAGTCCCACAGGGAGCTATATTAAGCCATAATTTGTACACGTGTGCATATTTTTCTTGTATTCTAATTTTATCTCGAAAGCCTGCCGAGTTTACCGTGATTAAATAAAAGGTTCAGTTCAGTTACAGTTCACATTTGACGCGAAGTTGTGTCAGTGAAGACGCTAGCCCGACCTAAACTTATACTATGTGTGACTCGAAGCATACTATAGCTAACGTTTCTATCATTTGGTGCATTTACGGACTCTTATACGGTTTAATCCAACCTTAATTGAAACAATCAGAACAGTACAAAATCTTCAAAAACTGAGACTAAACGTCAAATGCTATCTTTCGAATATGTATTCAGTGATTGCAGTCAACTCCAAATTTTTGTGGTGACATTTGTTTTGTCAAAATTCAAATTGCACTTTCAAAAACACTTTTTGAAGTTAAACAGATGGTGTAAAATGATTATTAGATTAAGATAACATGCAAGCTTAATTAAAATTATACAAAATTTAAACTGCGTGTGCCTCCCCAGGAAGCAAATACAAAAAAAACAAAGTAAATATCCACGCTTAAAAACACTTATAAACTTACAGAATATGATTTTTTTCTCTTTCACATGTCTCCTTCATATAGTTATCTGTTAGCCTCTATATCGTTTTCCCGACATTTCATTTTGCAAAGTTTATAAAACGCTTGTAGAACTGAAGAGTTTACGAAACGACTGTTAAATTGCGGACATCATTAAAATATAAACTTTCAAAACTCTTTATTCGTTATTAATTCGCGCACGCGCATAACTGACAAAACGGTTGAACGTCGACCGTCCACCGTTTATGACAATCATAGAATTGGACAACTTTGGATTCCGTTATGTTCTGTCACAATACCTGGCAGTAATTCTAAAACTCTGAGCGGAATTAGTACCCGAGCCGGCGAGTATCCACCATGATTTTCAACTTCGCAAACAATGTTTTCATGCAATAAACAGAAATCAACGCAGAAATTCACGCGCAACATGTGATATATAATATACGTAGCCTATAAAATTATATCGTTGTTGGTTTTGTGTACTTAAAGCTGCTTTGAAATGCAACGTTTATCAGACGTGCATGTATGCACGGGTGCAATCGTTAATAGTTTACTGCATCATAAATGCGCCCAATTAAGGTATTTTAGCACTTAGCAGTAATATCAAATCTAAAAGGATTTGAATTTTCCTGTGCGAAAACGCACGTGTGAAAAACGCTCAAGTGGATGCGGTCTTAACACAACAGGGACAACACAAAGAAACCGCTGTGTGCGGTTTGTTAATGAAGTATTTTCTCAACACCAGACATTAACACCAGACATTAACAGATTAACATCAAGTATACAACACTAGACAGAATGATGTATTATACGCAAGCTTTTCTTCTGATTGATATGAATGACGACGAGGAAGACAAGCCGAATGATAAAGTGCATTTATGCATGAGAAATTGCAGTTCTACACTGGCGAGTAACTTAGCTAAATGTACAATCAGATAAATATAAGACAAGTCAGAAATAGGCAGCTTTCGCACGAACAGTGAGACAGGACGGCCCGCCCGGGTTGGGTTTGAAGATGCAACTGATTGTTAAGTGTTATGCTCAGAGTATGAATACATTTAGACACCGTCTATATTTACTGCATGCTGATTCACATGCAGTTTTATTTTAAACGTTATGCGTAAAAGTCGGCGAAAAAAGCGCGCACCTCAATCAAGTGCCTCCAAAATATTATGTAGTACATGCATGCATGCATGATCAATGCATGTTTTGTAGATCAACCCGTCATTGCAAATTGACATGGGACAATCTTATCAATGACTAATATAATCTTGTAAGGGTTCCCAGATAAAACCCTCCTTACAATTGCAATTTGTGGAGTTAACGATATGGGACGGAGATTATGTTCCACGTTCTAGGTGGAATAATTTTCGGTATCGGCGAGACAACTAATAACTTGAGTATCTCTGGGATTTTTCCTTCATTCAGAGTACTATTGTAGATTTCGGATAGAATTCTAATGCTCAGAGTACGACTATTTCCTGCATGCTGATTCACATGCATGTAAATCATTCCCTCGAGAGATTCACTCACCTGCACGGATGGACGGAAGCCATTGTCGTTGGGAGGTGAGGATGCGATTCAATTGTTACTGTTTTCTTAGCGTGATCCTGAAAATGAAAAACGCACAAATCTTAAAATCAATGTATATATATGAATATTAGTTGTATACGATACGTCACGTAGTACTACTACTACATAGAGACCAAACTATTAGCTATAACATTAATATCCGATGCCATGTAATCTTTCGAACTGTATTTAAAGCCCTGTCCATTTTAATCACTTTATCTATACGATACAAGAAATTATCTATTTACCCGTCTTCACCGCCAAGTCGACCTAAATCACAAGACCCCTTGCCCTTCTACTAGCTATATGTGTTTTAATGTGTAATGAGTAGTGGCACATGATACAGTGGGTATAAATAATTTCAAAAATAAGCAAGTGCACTTTATGCGCGCACTTTCAACAGATGAAAAACTATTGCACGTATAGTATTGCAAGTAAAAACGAGATTATATTCGTCGTGATAGGCTAATAATAACGGTTTTACTGAATAAAACTATCGCGGGGTTTAACTATACTCATCAACTAGTATTTACATGACAGAAAATTTAAGAATCTCTCAGTCATTATTCTGCCTGTATAAATTTAGTTCAGTCGAATGTCTTGATTCAATGGTACTACAATTACAACTGATTATTTTTAAAAAAAGTTCCCGATAGAGGGCCTGTCTTTCGTAACATGCGCAAGATGTATAATCTTCTATTCGCCTTCTTGACAATGTACTTAATATGTTGCATAACAGGTCACAACTTAAGGACACACCAATTTATGTGACGTTCAGTACTCACTAGATCTGTTGTTGAATCAATAAATAAGACATTCTCCTACGGTAAGTTTATAATGAAGAAAGTCAACCATCATTTCCTTACATTTATTAGGGTTCAAGTGCATACCCCCTAGATTCAACGTATAGTTCAACATCGTTAACCAGGAGCGGTGTTAAACTTAATGAGCATGCATGCATCTCGGAATGATTTCAATAGTCGCCAAATCATCGACGAATTTGACTCTCAGGTTCCAATCCTGAACTAATCGATTTACCAAAACCGCAATTGAGGTATAGCTCGTATCCATCTAACGATAGAGGCACGTTATATTTTACTGAACGCTATGCATGATTGACCAAATCGAAACCTGTACTATGTGAAGCGAAAAAAGCACGTAGCTGAATCAAGCGCCTCGAAAATATTACGTCGTATATACATGATCAATGCGTATGTTGTAGATCAACCCTTCATTGCAAATTGACATGAGACAATCTTATCAGTGACAAATATCATCTTGCATGTAAGGGTTCCAAGATAAAACCCTCCATTACTTTTGCAATTTGTGGGCGATATCGGACGGAGATTGTGTTCTATGTTCTAGGTTGAATTATATAATTCTAAAGCAAAATTGCGGTATACTCTATCCATTGGAAACCATCCGGGTCAGGCGTCTTATGAGATTTAACTATCTTCAGAACATGGAACATTTTGTATTGGTTGATGAACATCTCTGATGGGATTTCGTCTAAGCGATTAATAGTGTCCGGGTCCAGAGGTTGATATTCTGCGGACAGATTGACAAAATAGCTATAGTTGTTCATATTTTCCACCAGTTCATTTAATGATGAAGCGAATACCCAAAAGTTGCTCCAGTCATTTCACTTTGGTTTATCGCAAGGACTTATTTTCAGTTTTCCCAATAGCAAAAAAACTATTAATAGCTTTCATTATAACAACACAAGAGTTCAAAATTAGTTTACTATAGCATGGTCGGTTTGTTGCGAAACGTATGCCATGCATCTTTTAATACCTATAGCCTGCTTTCCACTGTCGCGTTTTTTGCACGTACGTACACGCACGTAAAAGTTATAAAAGCTTCTAAGCTGTTGTATAATTAACTTTATTGCCAAAAAAACAAGCGAAATCTTCAACAGAATCAAACCCTATGCATGTATGCAATCGTAGATTTTATATAAGTATCATTTAAATGATTTTAAACTTTTACGTGCGTGTACGTACGTACAAAAACGGGACCGTGGAAAGCAGCCTTAACTAACGAAACGTAAAAAACAGTTGAATGTACAAACCCTACCTGACTCATGTCTTCGTACATTTCCTCCACAGATAGAGGTTTACGGTTCTAGTAAGAAATAATAAAATTGAATTAGGAGGATTTCATACTTACTGCCCTGACGTAGCTATACTGTGTTATTATACCATGGGTAGCCTGGTGAATGTGGTTACACGTCACACTATCTTATGTATATATTTATATTAAGACTGGCAACTTCGTCGACAAATTCCTCATTGGCTGTTCAAATTTCGAAAAAGTTGGCCCTTTTTTTTCTATGCATGTATGAAACCAATACTGCAAATTCTATAGCAATGGTATATACCATAATTTACACAATTTGCAAGTAGATTTGAAATAACACATTGCAAGTTAGAATACAGACGATAGAATGTGAATTGCTAGGTTGTACTTATATTCCACTCTTCACCTCGTTATAACCAAAAAGCCATAATCTCGGAGTTTGATAATACTTGTCATACGTCACATACATATCGTATGTACGCGTTTGCAATATTCCATCGGTTGCTGGGCTGTTTTCAGTTTCTGTACTGGCTTTGGACGTTTTCTCCACTTCCAGAGTGCCCTAGTGAAATGCAAATCTTGTGTTTCAGTATTATATACCTACATCACACCTAGTCACCTACAGTGGGGTAGAGAGCTGAGAAAGATAATGATCGCGGGATGATCTTGATGCTAATCGCAACCTTGATATATTTACTTAAATCCCAGAAGCCCTTGGCTAAACATATTATATCCCTATTTTGCGAAATATAGCTCTAAAATGGAAACGACATACGGTACCTCGTCGGTATCAAGTTGCCCACTTTCTTCAAATGCTAAAACAAATTGAAATGATATAGCATTTGTCGATATTAAACATCGAACATCCTGTTGCACAATACGAGCAGCGTATGTACTTGCCCAAACTTGCAATATATTTGTTCTAGTTTTTAAATTATTTATTAAAAACAAAGATTTGGCTTTTAGGTAAAAAGGTTCACGATTCTGTTCGATGTAAAAAAACAATTTTCCTAAACGTCTCTAAAAATCTCAGTCTTTCCCTAGTGAAAGGGTATTGTCCAGATCACCTGTTCCAAATTTCATTATAATATATTGCAGGTTGAGAAGGTTTTAAATGGTTCTGAAGGTTCCGAATTCTTGCAATTACCAACATTAAACTTAAAACCCCCCAAAACTGGGAATGGGGATAACATTTGAATACAAACATTACTTAGAGGCCGCGATCACGAAATAATGCAGTTAATTTAATTTAAACGAAACCGGGCTATGAAGATGCAGGAGTACTTATTTCGTAAGTAACGAATCCAGTGAATGGGTGATTTTCCGGTCACACAAACATTCACATACACGTTAGCTACATCGATGTTTCTCAGGCTTCATATTTTGGGTGTAACAAAATAAAATAACGGTGTCACATGTTCGACCAGAGGACCATCTAAATGCTTCAGGCGATCTCAGAACATTGCTTACGATATTGTACTGCACTGCACTACATTGTACTATTAAGGTAACATAGCTACGGTTGAATTAATAAAAAATATTAACCTGCCATATCTTCAGCCTCTTCATCATCATCATCTTCGTCGTCATCGTCATCGTCGCCGGAAACAGGTACACCCTTCTTCTGGAATAAAAGCATAGAAAATTACCTAATGTACACATTGTTTCAGCGGTTGGGAGAGCAGTCTGGAGTCCACTCCTCTACAATCTTATCCCTCAGTAGGTACCACTCCAAATACATGCAAGGCTAATATATTGCATACATCATGTATATCACCGGCAAATTTTGCTTGTTAAACTTGCTAGTTTAAAAGTCTCGTTGTCATCGTAGTAATTTTGAGTATCAGTTCGCTGTGTAGTTCATAGAAGAGGGTTTTGCATGCTTATTCTTCACCACATGGTTTGACAATTCAATTGCTAGAGCATAGGCCCAGAAAGTGAAACATAGTTACAACTTCTTACCTTGTCTGAATCAAGTTGAATTTCTGCTGTTTTTTCATCCTGAGCAGTTGTTGACTGCTGATTTGCTGTACTATCTGTATTGTGGGTACTGACCCATCCCCCATCTTCATCCTCAGGTTCCACAATTGTTTCGTTCTCATCAACATATTCCATTTGTTTACACCTTTTGTAGCATGGTACTAAATTGTAAAAAAACATGCATGCATGTAGAATACAGCATGATACTAAATTGTACAAAAGATGCCCAGATATAGAGATTTAGAGGATATCATGGAATACTGAATGATTAACTCACCATTTTTTGTGACTAAGAACTGTTTATCTTTCGGAAGATAGGTCTTAACTTTAGTCTCATCTCCCGTGGACCTTGTTGAATCAAAATAGAATGGATTACATGTTACTTTGGTACGATAGCACATCATCTTTGGCATCATACCATAACACTCAAAATTATAAAACAATGTTTTGGCATAGTTTATGGAATTCTATCAAACACAAAATGAATTTTAATACCATACAGAAACTTACCATTGCCATGTTGGACAGTGGTGAACAAGATGGTCACCAGCAGCAACAAACTAGACAGGAAGAGTAACATCTTTTGTGAGCAGACAAATATAATTGAGAAATATAGCAATGCATATGTTCACCCTTGATTTATTTCTTTCAATACAACAAATTTGGAATTAGTTGGGTTTATTGTGGAGAACTAGAAGACTGAAGGAGTAAGCCTCATATAACTGGTTATTCTTTATTTCTTGTCTTGGATTTTTCATTTATTCAAAGGTAATAGAGATTGAGCAAACACCTTGGGTAAATTTTTGATATGGTGATACACAGCTGGCATAACTGTTGCATGGTTTTATATATACCCATATTTTATTTTTTCCTTGTCATTCAGGCATCTTATTGGTAATCCTCCATGGTAATTTTCTCTCTTTGAATTATTTTACATATAGTTGTTTTTATACTTCATATATCAAGATAATTTCTTTTACTTGGATTTTGTACATTTTTAAAAGTTTTTTTAGGTTGCTTAGTTTCCTTAATGAAATAAGTTTCCTCAGATCCCTGTTAGACATATGAAGTTTTGAAAGGACTTGAACAAAATTTGTCAACAAATAACAAACATACACATCTTCCCATGACATTGTTAAGTTTTTAAGCCTTGGGTCTATTTATTCAGAGGCCAAGAAAAACCAGGGCCAGTTGAGAAAAAAAGTAAAAGAACTATAAGGAATTTGGCTGTCTAAAAACAGATTTTGTGGTGGAATTTTTGAACTTTCATCTTGATAGGCTAGCAATAAGTATTGAAAGTAATTTTTTAAAGAGAAAGCAATGGGTTTGAGACTTCAGCCAATTTTAGGACGGTGGTAATGGCACACTAAGATTTTTACGTTTGAAATTATTTAATTAATCTACATGCATGGTAGCCGCTTGCATCATAACGAAAGGACCTTTATAGCCTGGGTGTAATTATTGTGGCATGCTGAACAACTTACTAACTATAAAAAAAACACCTGTTCATTTAGTACTTTGGGTGCTGTATTTTAAAAATTACTTGTGAAGTCATATCATTACTGCAGATTTTCTGGACACTGCGTTTAACATGCAAAAGATGGTAATTTATAAGGATTTGACACATGCTAAATGTTTCCATTTGACGATTTTATCCAGTGGACGTGTTTACTATTAATAAACAACTTACACAATTCGCGGCCATTGGCCTTTTGCAGTCTGTACCTACCTCTTCTGGTGTAATGACGCCAGTTTCTTGAAATTTAGATTCCTTAAAAGTAGTTTAAAAGATCGTGTATGTGGCATGGTCAAATATTGATACTTTGGTCTTTACACAACATCATACGGATGTCTATTATTATACAAAATATTGAAATACATTATATGTATTACCTTTAGGACTGGTGTAAGATACTCTGCAACTCCTAAGGCTGTGCCTTTCATTTTATTAAGTACATCTTGCATCGCCATTCTGCTTTAATAATATTCGGCCCAAGAAAACGCTAAGAAATTTATACCGATCGTGGCCAGAGGTTTTAAATATTGTGAAATCGAAAATACAATTACAATGTTTTAAAGTTCCGTACCGAAGCTTCCAAGAACCAAGAACGTGTCTAATCGGAACAAGAGTAACAAGGGGGACTAGGACGAGTTCTTCAGGAAAGCGCGGGATTGCGCGGGAATGTAGAAACTCGAACACTCAATATGTCTTAGCCAATACTTGTGAGAATACAAGTATAAGAAAATACAAAATTCAGCATTATGGACGCGTTTTTAAAAGGATCTACATCTTCTACAGCATCCCTGAAGAGCAAAGTGCAGCCCACAAAGGAACCGAGGGCCGTACCATGGGTGGAGAAATAGTAAGTTTAAAACTATATTCTTCTGCTCTAGGTTCAACTTCATACACACATTTTTATAGTTATCGATGTTTGATTGGTGATCATATGATTGATGAACATATAATTGGTGAACATATAATTAATGAACATATAATTGATGAACTGAACATGCTTTGGCGACATAAAAAAATCAGTAGACTAGAATGGTGAAGACGAGGATTTGGTGGAAGCCACATTCTCAAGGTCATACCTAGTCCCTAAAATGTTGGGGGCGGGAGGATGTTGCCAAGCTAAAATTTCTTAATAAAAGATTAAAAGTTAAACGTTTCCATCAAGGAACTGAACTGTTTAATAATATATTTCATTTATCTAAATAAGACTGCTTCTCTCTGTATATCAATTTCAATATTAAAACAAATGTGAGGGGGTGCCTGCTGCTGCACTCCTAATCTCCCTTTTAATATGGTCCTGCACATTCTACAATCCTGGGTAAAGCACTTTGGTTTTTTCATTTGATTGCTAAGAAATCATTAAATGATATATTCTCATATATATATATATATATATATATATATATATATATATATATATATATATATATATATATATATATATATATATATATATATACTGAGTGTGTCTTATTGTGTGCAACACCAAAAAATTTTGAATTCAAGAATTTCAAAAAAAATCATATTTGTAACGACTAATGACTTTCAAGTCTTGCAGTATTTCAATATCTAATGTTCTCTCTTCTCGTTCTATCTACATTATCTAATTTAAAAAGGAAATTTTAAAATATAACCCAAGTAACTCAACAGTCATCATTGTTATGCAAAATGTAGAAGTGATAGAACTACTTATGCAATGCCTCCTCTTGATTGTAAAAACATAAACATACAGGATTACAAAATCTTAATTCCTATAACATAAAATTTACTTGTTATATGATATTGACATATTCTTTAACTTAGAATCAGATTAGTAGGCTCCTATAGTTTATGTTGTTTATTAATAGTTTCAATATGTGTATAATTTTTGTGAGTGAACTTGAATACAAAAGATTTCAGTTTAAAACCTTTACCATTCAACAGTGTTTATGATCTCATCAACCCCTTCTCATCTCATCAACCCCTTGTGCCAGGATGTGACCTACTACTTTCAATTAGGCCAAAGTCATGTCAAAGACAGTGCTACTGGAACCTACAATTGACTGTGGCACTTGATAATTTCATGAAAAATCCTAAATCAGTGCAAGTGCTTGGAAAGTTCTACATTACAAAGTGTTTATTTACATCAATTTCTTTTCAATTATCTGCCAACATACAGTAATAACACAAAATATTTATGTTGCTTAATCCACAATATTTCCAGTTCTGGTTCTAATTTTCCTATTATACCGTACTACTTACTTAGTCGTCCAAAATCTGTTGATGAAGTCGCTTACCAAGACGAGGTCGTAAACGTTCTGAAAAGAACACTTGAGCTGGATCAAGCAGCTGAACTTCCCAATCTTCTATTCTATGGACCACCAGGCACTGGTAAAACGTCAACAATATTGGCAATAGCAAGACAGTTGTATGGGTTAGTAATGTTTACTTATAAAGTTGAATAGGTTATTTCAGAAATCTCACGTGGTTCAATAGGAGATTTTTCCAAAGTTTTGAGCAGGACAGCTATCCCTTTTTCGGCCGATTTACCCCTGGCCTGGGCCTGATTGTTTAACGCCCGATTAACGCTAACCTGTCAGATTTTCAAAGCAATCGCTGGATGCCTACAAAACAGTTTTTCGCATGTCATTGAAATTTTGTTAGATATTTTTCTTATCTTGTTAGTTCATGCACGTACCATTTTGCCCCCAAAACTTTAAATAGTTTCCACAGTTATAGGGAAATATTGCTTACCGTTTGTTCACTGGTTAGTGGCCCAAATGTCGTGTTATATAGGTTTCTGAAAATTAGTCGTACATTTGCTCGTTGCTTACCTTACTTGTCTTAGCTCGGTCTCCGAAGTTCGCCTTCCAATATCTTTCCCTATATCTTAGACCAGAGCTGATGAAGGATCGTGTGCTAGAGTTAAACGCTTCAGATGAAAGGGGTATCGAGGTACAGTACTGTCGATTTCACATTACCAGGGAAAGAGGATCTGCGTAAAAAACAGTTTTATAAAACTTTTTAATACATTTTGTTATTGGGAAACTTTGTTTTGATGGGTTTATTAGCCTTTAAAGTTACGAGGCATGATGTAAATTGAAAATTTCTTGCCAACTTAGAAAACTGATTTGCAATTCTCGATTTGACGTCATGTTCGGTAACTTTATCAAGGCTAATAAATTTATCAAGACAAAATCTTTCAATAACAAAATGTATTGCAAAGTTTCTTAAAATACCTCAAACTTTTGATAAATATATTCAAAATACGCAACCATGGTATTAATATTCGCCTCACATTTGAAAAATAACGCGTGATTTAAAATGCAGACAATCAGATAAAGTTATCATTATTTCCGTAGATTTTAAGAGATATGTTTATATATAATATTTAACTAATTCTTCAATCTTAAAATAAAGCCATCGCTACACGTTGTTTCACGCTAAGCTATAAAAGCAAAGCGATCATCATTCCCTTTTATTCTTTGATTTTACAGGTTGTTCGAAACAAAGTGAAGAAGTTTTCTCAAAGAGCTATTTCCTCTACCACGCCCAGGTATGTCGCGATGCATATGAATTATGTATGCATGTCGTATATAAGCGTTTCGCCTTTTTTCGGAGATTTTTCGGAGAGCTGTCGTATATAAGCTACAGTATATATATATATATATATATATATATATATATATATATATATATATATATATATATATATATATATATATATATATATATATATATATGCATGCATGCATGCCTATGACGTTCCATCTGCACGGATAAACATACGTTTTTCGATCTTATCTATAAGTATAGCGGCAACTGCCAAGATTTAAAACACTGATCGTTTTGCTGAACTGAAATTCTTTGTGCGACCCCTATCTTCAAGAGCCAGAATATCCGTGACCGTGGCTGTTTGCAAATCGTGTGCGAGTTTGCGCATATTGTATTCCATGTTTTCTAACGGCGGCAGATATACATTTAAAGAAGTGCTATATATAAATAAAGAAAATATAAACTGTAAAAATTTAACTAAAGCGACGACGCATTTTGCGAGGAATTAAAAAAACATGGTATAAAATGCTTGTAACGGTCCGAACTCGTTATGTCATGTACAATCGTGCCAAGGTCAAAGAGTTTGCCGACGTGTCGTATATCGTATCACAATTTTATGAGCGGTAATAACTTCATTTGACGGACGGACGATAAATTTTTTGCGTGACTTGCGGAAATGTATAACAATTAACAACGATTACGGTATTGTTGTTCACGGGCATATAGTTAAACATATATTTACATGCCCAAGGTTTAAAACGACATGCAGGTACTTTACTGAGTCTGGGAGCGTTTTATTGTGTTTTCTTTTTAATCTCAAATAAAGCAAATATAGAATTGGGCAAAATTACTTTGCACGTCAAACTATATAGCTGCAGGCGATAAAAGTTTGACCTATAGATAAGACAAGGGGGAATGATAAAACTGTAATGTTAATATTATGACTTTGAGATACGAATGAGAAATCTTTATTACTTTAATATTATTACTTTGAGATAAGAATAAGAAAGACTAAAGTAGTTAGAGTAAACAAAAATTCTCGCGAAAAAGATCAATATTCATCAAAGTGAAGCAAAATTCGTTATGTCAGAATCTCGTTGAGCCATCTTTTTTAAACATCTCACGTGTGTTTATTTCGGCTTTATCGTGGAAGGCAATATTAGCAAACCATGTCGAATTTTGCGCGCGTCAAATGCAATTAATTAAGACAATAGATAATGATGTGATAACCTTCATTAAGCTTCATTATACGTACTGTTTAGATTGCATTTGACGCGACGGAAATTCGACGTTGAAAACGGACCTCTGTTATCGGTTATTTTGCAAAATAGAACGAACGTGTCGTTAACTATGAATTTAAGCCACTTCATTGTATAGGCGTGACGCAGTTAACGTTTCGCAGATTTTGAATCCTGAAAATGGCGCTTCATACAGCAGACCTTGTGTCATTTGCCTTCGAATTGTGTTCGAAAAGTACCGTTGAGATGATCACTTCAGAGTTGGCCATCTCGATTGTCAATGGCGTCCTCTGTGTTCTCGGAACTGTGGCAAACGCCATGATCATCACGGCGTACCACCGCAACCGCCGTCTACAAACAACTGAAAATTTCATTTTCCTTGTCCTTGCCTTCACGGATATAACGGTGACATCGTATGTGCAACCTTTGTTCATTGTTATAGACACGATTCGTTTTTTTCCGGGAACGTGTGTTAAATGGCTTGTCACGCTCGGTGTGTCGTCCTTCTTCGTGTGTTGTGTGTTATCACTATCAATCATTCTCGTTCTCAGCGTGGTCAATTTTGTTTCCCTAGCATATCCGTACCGTTATCCGAGCATCGTAACGAAGCCTCGTTTGAAAGCCACACTTCTCGCTCATTTTCTGCTTGTTTTTCTAGCATCGCTCATAGCAGTTCGCGTCGCGCTTAAGATATTTCATTATGTGATCGTATGTGCCGCTTCGGTCACCATCCTTTTTGTCATCTATAATTGGAACTGGACGTTACACGTTGTTCGTCACCATCGCATCGCGATCCACGCCGCCCAGCCTTCGTCGTTTCGTCAAATTGCGAAAAAAAAGAAGATCAAGCGATCGACGGCGACTGCTTTTTTCGTTATCTCAAGCTTGCTGATTTCGTATCTGCCATTGATGGGATTTTTGGTTTATTTTTCATTCGCTGCTGAAATCTCGCTGATCGTAGGAGATATTTCGTTTCAGGTGGCGATGACGATGGCCTTCATGAACTCTGTGTTCAATCCTCTCCTTGTGTTCTGGAGGTGCAGCCTTTTTAGAGGAACTGTGGCCAATTTGTGCCAGGCAAGGTCTTCTTCATGCTATGCGCGTTGACAATTTGGACTTATTTCGATTCATGTGAAGTGAATTGATGTTTACACCTTGTAATAAGGGAATGCACAAATATGGACGTGCCTGATGAACCGTTATACTTAGAAATACACTGTCCTCTGCATAAGAAGAAACGAGTTCGATTAATGTGATTGGTTCCAGCGCGTGCTGGGATGAATCTCCAGTAAAGATCGAATTAAGGAGTATGTCCATCCCGATCTGTTGGATCATTGTCCATGGTTGGATAAAATATTTCGCCGTGCAGCCAATCCTGACAAACCTCGATATTTAAGTCGAGCTAGTATAACTGAAAGTAAACTTGCATTGGTAAAAGCTGTATTACAATATAATAAAGTACCAAACTAAATAACTACAATCTTGTGCGAATGGTACACTCTTTGGCCGTCGCGTCAGTGATACAAATTGATTCTGACAATATATATCATTTTCGGAGAATGCTAGCGAGACCGTCAGGAAAAACGTGCCTTGGTGAAGGTAGAGATAGTGAACTCATTCAACTCCTGGTTAGAAATATTCCTGTAACTGATGACTGCTAGAATAGTCATGGTGGTGGTGTTTTGTATATAATATATACTGAGTGGGACATGCGCGCGTATGACCCTGAAAAGGTCTTCTTTTTGTAGTTACGATAGTTTACCCAGAAGATCTCTTTAGGAAATCATTCATATGATATGTTTACATGAATTTTGGGAGATGGTCATATGGCAAATGTTATTATGGTCATATGGCCAATGTTTTTTTCATCGTGCTTTGCTGCACGTAATGTACTTCGGAATATCCGCGCGAAGTAAACATTCACGGCAGCCGTTCAGATCGAACGAAATCACCACTTAAATTAGTGGAAAACTAGGTCGGCGCAAAATGTTTGACCCTAAAACTACATTTTCATTGATTAACACGCACGATCAGGTGTATTTACTATTCGTGTAAACCGCCTGTCATCATTTTAATCATGCAATTCTATCATGTTATTAGTAAACTATTGATTCCTCTTGAAATGTATAGCTTAATAATATATTAAACAATTATTGAATGAGGTTGAGCAGGATATGAGGAATTATTAAGGCCGAGGTTTGTGTTATCTGCCGAAGCCGAAGGCTGAGGCGGATAACACAAACCGAGGCCTTGATAATTCCTCATATCCTGCGAGAACCGAATTCAATAATTGTTTTATTATTTATTTGCAAAAATTGAACCTTTTCTTTGATGAAGCCATTCGTATTTTCCCGCTTTTAGGTTTTGGCACAAGCCGCATAAATTAGCGTGACGTCATACCGTGCAATAATTTTTTTCATATCTGACGAAGTGACGTCAAACGTGCAATAATTTTTTTCATATCCGACGAAGTGACGTCACTGTCCAAATTTGGGCAGCTGCCGAGCGGATATGACGATTTCGCCAACAGCTGCTGGCCAATCAAAACTCTTGACTCATTTTCAATAAATAATAATGTCACATATATAATACCTTTTTTAGAAATCAATTTGTCATGATTAAATGATGCTGCTTTCTATTTACATTTTTGTACGCTTCTATGTGTGTAAAAATATGAAACGTAAATATTGTCAAAATCAGTAACGTTACTTTTGTCAGTAACGGAACATTTGTGCATAATGATCAAGTTTTTGTAATTTTGCGAACAACAATATTGATTGCATGTATGTCATATTAGACACGATCAATATATTTAATATTAGTTATTATTATTTATTGAAAATGAGTCAAGAGTTTTGATTGGCCAGCAGCTGTTGGCGAAATCGTCATATCCGCTCGGCAGCTGCCCAAATTTGGACAGTGACGTCACTTCGTCGGATATGAAAAAAATTATTGCACGTTTGACGTCACTTCGTCAGATATGAAAAAAATTATTGCACGGTATGACGTCACGCTAATTTATGCGGCTTGTGCCAAAACCTAAAAGCGGGAAAATACGAATGGCTTCATCAAAGAAAAGGTTCAATTTTTGCAAATAAATAATAAAACAATTATTGAATTCGGTTCTCGCAGGATATGAGGAATTATCAAGGCCTCGGTTTGTGTTATCCGCCTCAGCCTTCGGCTTCGGCAGATAACACAAACCTCGGCCTTAATAATTCCTCATATCCTGCTCAACCTCATTCAATAATTGTTTAATGTAAACTGTCTTTCAAGATTTTAGTCTGTTCATGCAATCAAGTTATTTTAAAATAGTAATACAGTTTTGATTTTATCTCGAAATAACTTAATAATATACAGGTTTCGTTTCATATATTCTTCAGTATTAACTGTGGTATTATTATATGGCAAGCGTCACTTCCGGTGAAATGGAGCTCAATCAGGACAGGCGTTACCCCTGATCCATTACGAGATGAAAAACAGAGAAATTCTGTGAAAATGAAAAATGAAAAATGCACAAATAAATGTTCGAGAGAAAATTTAATTGCTTTTGAAATGAATAAGACGTCCCTAGACAGTTTAGGTAAACTAAACAATTCAATATTTTGTTTTTGTTTTTATCAAATGCGTACCAGGCTACTAATACGAATTCATGCATTTCTTGTTTATTTCAAGTGCAAATACATGCCTTATGCCATATAATAAACTTTTTATTAACCTCGCTTGCTCGGTCTTTACCGAGAAATATCGGACCTCGATTTTTTTGTACAAACCTCGCTCTTCCACCTCGGTCTGCTTGATATTTCTCGGTAAAGACCTCGCGCTCGGTTAATAAGAAGTTATCATTATTATATTTATCATAATAACTATATATAGCTACAATTGGTACCCGTACCCAATTTTATTAGTCCGGTTCAGGCTACCAAAACAAAAGCCGAGCACAGATGAAATGAGTAGGGGTAGCCGTGCCGTTCCATTAAATCGAGTTTAGTGTAAAGAGGCTTTAACCATCCCGTTCCTGGTTCCTGGACTGCATGGGGCTTTATATACGAACTGCGACCATGCATCGTGTCTAACTTCTTCCCTCTCTTTTAGTGGGAAGAAATGCCCTCCTTTTAAGATAGTCATCTTGGATGAAGCAGATTCTATGACGAGAAATGCTCAGGTGAGTGTTCAGTCCGTGACGTTTTCCACCGTTTGTTCGAGTCGCAATGGGGACAACTCTTGATAATTACATATCCCTTAAGAGAAATTCCTGTGGATATTATCAGACGCGCAAACATCATGTCATCGGGAGCCCAATTACGCGATACCAGATTCGCATCACGTATCATCAGGGGCCAGTTGTAACACTAGTTAATTTTTACTGTAGTTAAGGCCGGAATTGGCCGGTGCAGAATAGCGAATTTCTGAGTTAACTAGCATTTAACCATGCATGCAACATGTAGTCAAAGAGTTTTATACGACCGGCCCCAGGACATCAGGTTTAACCACCTCGCAATACTGAGTTTAGGACGTTGAACGTGATGTCCTGATAGTGGGAATTAATCTGAAGGCTCTAAAATGTACACATTTATATTTAGGCGGCACTTCGAAGGACCATGGAGAAACAAAACAAAACGACAAGGTTCTGCCTTATCTGCAACTATGTGAGCCGGTGAGCATAATAATGATATAATTAACAATTATACCACGAGCTCGAGTCGTATATGAGCTGATAGCCGACGAGGTGCGTAAAACCGAGTTGGCTATCAGCCATATACGACGAGAGCGAGTGGTATAATTGTTTTATAATATAGCCAAATACCATTTCTATTCTCCACTCTCCAGACAGCACTCTCCAGAATTCTGCCAGGTGGAAAAAATCTGTTCCTTCAAACTAGGGAATTTAGTATAATTATTATGCTTATAACTATAGTGGACGATGAGTTTTTTTCATCAATTATAGAATTATTGAGCCCCTCACTTCACGATGTTCCAAATTTCGTTTTAAACCTCTACATGATGACATTCTGGTAAAAAGACTAAAGGAAATTTGTGGCAAAGAAAGCGTTCAATATGAATCTGGAGTAAGACATTTATTAAATTATTATAATAGATTTAATTACCGCGTCATATATACAAAGTTGATATAAATTTGGCCAAACGACTTCGCCCGAAAGCATTGTGGATGGCAACTGCAGCTAACTGTATAAAAAGCTGTATGATACATTGATTTCAGATTTTAGGGCTTTTGCAATATTGTAAAATATTTACCTAAAATTTTATCTTACCTAAAGGCAAGATTGATAAGGCAAAGTTGTCCAGGTCCGAAAGGTTTCCAGTGAACTCTATATAGAAGTGTGAAATCACTGAAATGCCAACTCCACAGACTGTTCTGTGATTGCATGTTTGAATATTCGGCGAATATCGTGCTTATATGGGGCAAAAATTTAAAAGAATCAGGTATTTCAGTATGTTTTTGTCCTTCAACCGTCTCTTCAACCAATTTCTCCTCAAGACGACCGAAAACTACGTAGAGTTCACTGGGAAATTCAGGTCCTGCAAATGAGTAATCAACGCAGGCAATTTAGCTACGAAAGGCCCGTGTCGTAGCTGTATATTTTTCCCCCAATGTATTTCTTTCTCCACATTTCAAAGGTCATAGAAGAACTTGTAAAAGTATCCGAAGGTGACATGCGAAAGGTAAACAATGATATGTGTTAACATTGATGTATACACTTGCGTTACAAGTTTTTAATTATAAATTAATATCGATTAGCTAGTCAATATGTTTGGAGATGCATTTATTTCTACATGAATTGGGAAACATTGAACGATATTCAGTCGGTTTCGTTTTTAAAACGTTATTAATCACGATAAGAAAGCTGAAAAGTATTACTGGCAATTTTCTGTATTGTATGACAACATGCCATACGGCGTCAACGATCAATCTGAATTTTTTTTCGATTATCCCAGAGCCTTAATTTATGACAAGATATTCAGCTCCGTTTTCGCGAACCCGAAGCCATGAACCCGGAGCTGAATATCCTGTCATAAATGACATATGTCCCTCCGCTATAGAGGATCGCGGGCTTGGAAAACACGATTGTGTCGGTGATAGGCAGATGAGACAAAGTGGTGTCATATACTTCTTAACATGCACCTGCATGTCTCTTTGTGCGCAATACAGGACATCAATGCACTCTTTGTTAAATATTTTGACCACGACTTTTTTCGAACGCGACTATATAAAAAAAGGCCGGGCGATTTTTTTTAATTCAAGCAACATTCCCAAGTGTGTGGATCAGGCCACTCAAACACTGATTCAAACACTTTTTAAACACAGAAACCATAAAGTAATTGTTTTTAGAATAACATCAACAAGGTAGTCTTCTATTTTTATTTCAAAAAGCGAATAAAGTTCCGTGTTTGGATAGTCCGATGATGACATCGAGCAATCAGAATACGCGTTATATACATGTTATTAGGGACCTTAAGCATGTAAAACGGGAACACGACGACGGCAGCCATCAACACAATGCATGCTTTATTCAAAAGAAATGAATTATTAAATACCTATGGGAGTTTTATACGTGATCTACGTTGTTTACAATAGCAAACGTCGTTTATTACGTCCTATGTAGAACGTCTGCATTTCAGGACCCAGTGAGCGCTACCGCGAATTAGGCTCTATATAGAATTGTCCCTAAACGTAAAAACAGTGTTTTCAAGGTCTTATATCTCATTAAATTGGTACAATTGATAATATACAACAACGCTTTACCATAACACTAATTTAAAAGAGTATTCCAACCACGTCGTCCCTATTAATTTATAACACTTGACTACATACATTTAAGTTGCAAGCGTGCGTCACTGACTACAATGTATATAATTCAATTGAAAGAGGTTAAAATTAATTTCGTTACTTCATTTGGTTAGAACAATTAACGTTTGCATGCAACTTCTTATAGCTATATTCAGTTCAATCACGTGAGATTTAAATTCTCCTGGGGTCGGTTGTACAAAAACGTAGTTAACTTTTAACCATATATAGTTAGTGACAGAATTGTCCAATCGAGGTATGTATATTTCTGAATTAACTACGATTTAATTACGCAAAATGTAGTTAAAAGTTTTATACAACCGGCCCCTGACAACGTTTATTGAACAGCTGGTGCCATATTGATCTTTATACTTTACACGCACTCAAGTGGTTTTCGTTGATGGCTGCATTTAAGTATAAATTATAAAAGTATGCGAAGTCTCTGGTTTGGTTCAGTGATATTGCATGGGGTGTTTCGTCTCATAAAATAAAGTTCATTCCGTATTTTCATCATCAAGTTCTTCGTTGTTTTAAGGTCTGCCCACACGATCCAATTTTCTTGGAACCAATTCACGACTGATGGATGTTTTGTAGTGTGTTGACTGCTTCATTTGCAATGTATACGGGCAGCAAATCATGCAATGCAGTACTTTTTTTACGATAGCACATTATAGCTATATAAATTCCATTTGTCAGAAATGATTTAGATCCAACAAAATTGGATCATGAGGACCAAGGCCAAAGCAAACCTATATTCGCACCCCAACAGCTGCTATTTTATTCAGAAAGGTCCAAAAAAATGAGGGTTATTGATAGTCAGTCACACTGACGTGTAACTCACAAACGTCAGACTACATTCCTTCGAATTTCAGTTCAAATGAAAACAAACGCCTGCTTAAAACTGTACGTATATTGCACTATTTTGCTCGTACTCCATTTTCACCGTGATTGCCAGCATTCTGTGCCGGCGTATGTGCGCGACTTTCATTGCTGCGGCGTCTGAACTTCAGTTGAAAATATTCGGTGAACATTTTTCTGTTTCTTTCCATACCGAAGAAATACACGAAAGGGTTGCAGCAGGAATTGATGAATGTGCAAGCGGTTAACCAGCGCCAGACCGTGTTTTTTTCGTGATCCGTTAAGCTTTTGTTCACGGTTGAATATATTCGGTAGATGCAGAAGGGAAGAAACACCACATAGAACAGGACCGTGATCGTGAAGGTTGTGAGTACACTTTTTCGAAAAGAGTCGTGTCCGCCTCGAAATCTTTCTCCCATCATCGCTATCATCGATACCACCACTCCGGTCTTTTTTTTCGCTATCCTAAGTAAAACGCCATAAATGATCGAAAGCACTATGAGCTGAGCGAAGGATATTGATGCCAGAAATATTTCGTAGTCCTCGTGAATTAAGAGATCGTAGCTGAAGTAGTGAATTATTCCCAAAACGAAAGATGACAGCCACGATATGCCAATGAAAGTCGAACACATGTTAGATGTTATCAACAAGTTATACCTCAGCGGCCAAACGACAGCCGTGAACCGGTCCAACGCAATGCAAATAATGGCATTGCCGGTTTGAAAAATACACACGACATATAAGGACGCGTATATGCGGTACTCATTGGTGCTTTCGCGCAATGCCAGCAGATATGTGCGCCAAGGGAGATACGTTGTTAATGCAACGAAGTCCGATATCGCTAAGTTCAAAGTCAATCTGTCGGACGGGGACATCCTTCTGCCGCGACGCGAGAGAAAGTAAATTATCTCACATAAATTTGCCGAAGTTCCAATAACTATTTGAATGGAAGTGAAAATCACGAGCCCTGTTGCAGCTTCAGAACTTAGATACCTCTTAGTCTTCGACATATTCCTTTTTCACACTGGACGCATTTAAAAATTATATTCCGTAATCATTTTTAATAGTCTGCACAGCACGTGGTATTATCACCAGTCACCACAATTTTTATAGGAGTCCCTGTAGCTATATAGGAAGCGTTCCTTACTGAGCTATATACGAGAAAATCTTCTTTGACGTGAAATGCTATAAAATTATTATATAGCTTTTCATCGTTTTTCTGAGTGCATTATAGCAGGAGCAAAGACAAAGTTCTCACAAATCCTCGTTTCGTTCAAATGCTTGCATGTTCAAAATGTACTTGCCACTTGTCAAAGAAAATTTGCCTATATGCAAATCGGGCTTGCAAATGTGTGTTTTCCCGGCCTTTCATTGGACAAGAGATCCACACGTGGCGGTATTAAAGACTCCATATTTACGCGTGATCAACAGTGTGGACAACATAAGCGGACAATACTAAGTAAAAGCCTGGTAAAAGGCATAGTTTTCAGCAACATTCTAATTGGCTAACGAGCAGTTTGTATTTTTTTGTTTCTATTTTTGGATTTTGCATTAAGTTTGCATTTTTGTTTTGTTAATATTAAGCTTAATTTATTACTCTGTCAGTTTACATGCGGTATACAATTTATTGATCGTTAGACGTTACAGCTTAAATAACAGTTAAAAATTTCACCTTTAAAGCGTCAAACTGACAATAAATGAGCGAATATTTCTTTATAATTAAGCTTTGGATTGACATGCATTTTTTTTGTTAAAATATCAATTTACAGTTTTGTTTTTGAGTTTTGTCTTTGAAAACACTTAAAGTTGAAACAATGGTGTGATAGCTTTTTGTAGTCGGGTATGTTTTTGCAGACCGACATTTCAAGCAAATTTACAAATAAACTCCATTTTTTAACAAAGCAAATACGAAATAAACAAAATTGACACCTACCTGTTTAAAACATGCGGTAGCTTATAGTTATATAGATTACATATTAAACCGTTCCTCTTTCCTCTTTCATCGCTTATAGCCTTAAACTGCATCCGTGCATGTTCTTTAAAAATTATCGATGTGTTTGCTCATATGAACAAATAAATTTGCTCACTTTAAGCATTTTAATAGCCACATTTTAAGCTGCATGAAAGCTTTGAGCCTTCGTATATCGAGCTTATGAACTGAATTCAGCCCGCGAACTCGCTTTTTTTCGGATATAGGCTGATTGAATATTTATGTACACTACATCACAAAAACTAGATGCTCCTGACTTCATGGCAGATCTAAAAAATTAGGAAGCAAACGAAATCTATCAAGTTTTCAAATAACTCTAGCACTTCAACTTTTTTATTCATTTTCACGCATGCATATGGTGCGATGAAACTCAGTGGCAGTGCTTTTTCATTTATTAATTATAATTATTATTTTATTGTGTTTTCTATATATCAACTTCAACATAATTGCAATTTGGAACACGTTAATAAATGTTCATGTTTCCTACCGGTGCGGCCTTTGCTGAAACTTCGCCTAATAGTTCCAAAAAAATTTGTTCGATGCCTTTCCATCTGGAAGAAATACACGAAAGGGTTAAACGAGAAAGCGGTCAGCCACCGCCAAGTTTTGTTCGACGTTGAATATACCCTGTAGATGCAATAAGGCAGAAATGTGCTGTTGAACCATAACATGATTTTAAAGGATGTGAATACACTTTTCCTCAAGTGAGAGAATTGCGCTTGAAGTCTTCCTTGCAACTTTGAAAGGTTTCTTGCCTGCGTGTTCTTGCTGCTCTTACTATGGCACCATAGATGGATGAAAGTACGATCAGTTGAGCGAATGATATTGTTATCAAAAATAGTTTATATTTCTGATGTACATCGAAATCGTAGCTGGAACGATGCAAGATCCCGAGAATGACAGCCGACTTCCACGATATGCATGGCTATGAGACCTGAACATGCTTGAGATATATCAAGAGTTTATACCTCAATGGACGTACGGCCGTAAGCCAATCTAGCGCAACACATATGACAGCATTGCCAGTTACAAAAATGCACACCACATACAAGGAAGTGTATATACCGTAATCATGCACCAGTCCTTTTTCGGAGTACCAGCAAATATGCGCGCCAAAGAGGATATACGTTGTTAATGCAATGAGTCAGATATATGGCAAAGTTTAATATCAGTTTATCGTAATAGACAATCGTTTGCCGCGACGTTAGATGAGATAATTTCCCATAAATTTGACGGAGCTCCGATTACCATTTGAAAAGAAATGAAAATCTTCTTGTGAACTGAGAAACGTCGTTGACGTTGTTGCCGCCATTCTTGCTTTATGATATTAAATAAATTTATTGTTTGAAAATTTTCTTCACTCAAATACCATGCACGCATTTGTACTATTAAGCCCAAATTGTATCCGCGTTACACGATTGTATACTTAAAGAAATATGTGATTTTAGGCAATAACCTACCTCCAAAGTGCTTCGAGATTGAAAGGAGATGAACAGGTCGCAGTTCAAGATATTGTCGAAATCTCTGGTGTATGTATATCCCAGGCTTCTTTTCGAGTTTTTAATAACAATTTAACAATCCTTCAGACATGGTACCGCAGTCAGGATTATCTGATAGCGCATGATACTCATGCAGAATACTAAGTTGTAAAAATCAACAAACCATTTGTAGACTATAGTTATTAAAAAACCATGCTAAAAAGTCTTTCTTTTAGATTGTTCCTGAAAATGTCATAGACGCTATTCTTGATTCGGCTACTTCTAATTCGTTTGAAAGATTAGATTCTTCTGTAAAGGTAAAATACTATATATGGAAATAATACCAACTTCAAAGTACAGAATTGGGAAAAACTGTCTACGTTTGTTGTGATTTCAACAACCAATTTTCATTTGATTATCAAACTCATTTACTCCCCTTTGGATACCAAGTGCGGTGAAATCAATTTTACTGGTATAAGCTGTATAAACGTACGGTAGCAGGCAGATCTTTAATCAAATTTTACACATAGGACATTATATTGGAAGGCTATCCTGGAGCTCAAATCATTAGTCAGGTAAGATCATGTGCGTGTCTACCAAATTTTTGCGGGGAAAAGGTCATGACATATGGCAGCTTCATTTTCAACACCTTTAGACCAACTGCATAGTGACCGCTTTATTCACGATTTTGCCGAAATCAATTCGCAAGCTTGTTTTTTATACCTCATGCAGGCTTGTATATTGACTTCTTTGTTGCCTCCGCATTTTGTTTCGCTATAAGTTCCATCGATCGCGTTTCATTCTTCCTATTTTTCTCTTCCTGAGTAGTCTAGGTTGTCATTTTTGGTGTGCGGATCTCGGTTTTGGACGTTGTTTTTCTTATAGCTTTCTCCGCATTTCTTTAGTGTTATGCTTATGTTTACTAAGGGGGGATGTAAACTAGTAAAATCGACATAATCTTCAACTTTGCGATAAATGTGAAGTTGAAACATGATTTATGGCACTATAATATAATTGTGAAATAATGAATAATAATTTAATCATCTTTTAGATCCATGACCGCATAGTTGAAATAGACCATATTACTGATAAACAAAAGTCCGTGATCACAGAAAGGCTAGCGGTTTGTACCACACTATAACAAGTATTTTATAATAATATGAGAAAATGTCACTTCATTGTAAATGCAGCTGACAGCTCAACCCGAAGATGAAGGCCACATGCAGGACAGAAATCTAACAATTTGAATTCCATTCTCAGCCTTTTGGAGGTAGTCTGCAGGCGAGAATAAAATTGACTGCAACTAAATTGAGTGCAGCGTAAACGGGACTAAAGTAGTACAAAATGGTGATTGGGACTTTAGAATAAAGTGTATATAATTATAGCTCTGCCAAGAGAGAGAAGGTGGAGATAAATCTGATCTATATTTTACATTTATCTACTTTTCAGATCGTCGACAAATGCCTGTCTGACGGCGCAGATGAATACCTCCAATTGTTAGATTTGTGCTCCACCATAATGACCCAGTTTTGTAAGGATAGGTCGAGTTAGAACTATAAAAGTGTAACTTGTTGCTTCTCGTAGAACCTGCATGCATGCTTGCTACAGATTACGAAAACGGATACATATTAAATTTACAAAATATTGCGTATATTTGTAGCATACGAAATATTAAAGTCTCGGTAAATTTTTTTGTATATAGATCTCACGTTATAATACAGTAGCTAAATCCAATTTGTCGACGTGTTCGTCCCTCTAACAAGCTCAATTATTGTATGCCATGAGTTTAATTTCACCATTGGTGAGGTACGTTGTGTGTTAGCTTTACGCTTGGAAACAAAAAACAGGTATATTGTGTTGTTGATACTTAATTGGAATTAATCGCACGTTGAATGATTTACTTGTTTTGCAAATTCTAATAGGACGAAAACATTAATCATGAAATTTATTAAGAATACTACAATTATAGTCTTTATTGCTACTCTAAAAAAATATTTTCAAGTTCATAAAACCCAACTTTTCTAAAACTCGAACTGTCCGACTGCCACTGATCAATACTGTATTTAGGTTTAGACCATTATTAATAGTAAAATTTGACCAGAAAACGTATTTCCTAACATGGAATTCCTGATGCTCCATGCACTAATTAAAAAAAAGGTGGGAAACTTTAAAGTACAAGCTACAGGAAAGTTTGCCTGACGATTTGCGTTAACCCAGGGTTTACTGAGGCGAACTTTTGAAATACTGAGTGGTGAGGAGCCTTAAATCAATATAATTCTATACATTCGTTTATCGCACTAACGTGGAATGCTAAGCGCCAATGACCTCCACGTATGCATGCATGTTAAAATATTACTTTATACAGGCATAAAATGAATCCGAAACGATGTAATAATTCCTTTAACGAATAACTTATAGTTAATTTCTCCACTTGACTATTGCTTTCAAAACAAGGATCGTGTAGCGTGTAGCAAAAATTTCAGCGTCAAAAACGTCGCAGGAATCACTACCACTCGTACACCAGTTGTGTGATTGCGTAAAACCGGGATGTGCGGTAGTGTAAATACTGTCGCTGTATCTGCTGGAATGGAACGCTGTTCTGAAACGTTCGCAGTCTCTATATACTCGTACGTCTACTCGATATATCATATATAGTTACGAATGAGTGATTGTCCTTCATTTTTAATGAGTCTTCTCCTCCATGTGGCCCACGTGGAAACGGTGTAGACCCTGCCACTGGGAGAATGGTGGGAACAATCTTTCTACGGACGATAGTCTTGCAGACTAACAGTGGAAATTTTTGAAGCTCTTGCTCAGCGTCATGTAATACACTTGAGAGCTTGCGCTGGTCTTCGAGGCGAAGAAAATCTGAAGAAAACAGAGAACACGTAAAATTCTCCTAGATCCAAATTCGAAAATTCTCTTTGGTGAAATTGATTCAATGTTAGCAGGATACAATGATCAGTGCTGAAGCACAAAGAAACTGAGATCTCAAGATGTATTCTCAGTCCATGAGGGTCTTTACTGCTCAATATTGTTCTTTACTGATCAATATGTATTATATATATATTGTTGGAATATCATATTCGAATGGTGTACTAGAGTAAAACATTTCATCATGCATGGTTACGTTTTTTACTATTACATTTCCGGAGATGTGAACCGCTTTAAAATGTTCACCACGACAGGATTTTATGCTCCACAATGTTGTAAACTATACCTTTTCGTTTCTTTCGCACAGAAATGTGAATGCTTGTACTCTTTTATGCATAAAAACCCCATCTAGCTGTCCTGTTTGCACGGAGCGAACTTCGATTGCTTTCTCTCCCCAGCCCATCACTTGACCGGTGCCAACATGAGCTATATGAGAAAATTTTAAATAGTCAGTTTTAAACTAAGACAGAAGACTTTTCTGACGAAAGCCCTTAAATCAAACCTTAAATAGGATCAGGCGTCTTACCAACAGCATAAGGAGTTTCACCCCACTGCATCACGGCATGTTTTACTAAACTACCAGAATTGTTGACGTAAACACCTTCGTCTGCAAAAAGGATCGAGGCACAGGATTAAAAAACAATACAAACAAAAGGAATAGCAATAAGCAATTCATATAAAATCTCAAGATTTGTACTTACTGTTGAAGCAAACAAGTAACTCTCGTCCGTTTGATTCTATATATGGGAAAACAAAAGACAGATGGTGAAAAACGAGTTCGATAATACTGTACTGTTCCCCCCTTTCCTTCTCATGAACATCCGCAGAGGTTTTCACTTTATCCATACAAGATCATGTGATTTGCAAGGCGCATCTTGCTGCGTATTACCTGGAAGAGGGATAATGGCATGTGCCTCGAAGCGCTCTGTCAACTGAAAGAAATGAAGATATTGGAGAATAAGTAATTGGGATGTGTTCGACGAAGTTACATTTGGAATCTAAATACGTCGCTGATGCTTATTGTGAAATACTGTATAAGATGAAAAATTACAAAATAGCACTACACTACGAACACTAAAACTACATCTATGGCTCGAGGGCCGCATCGATAGTGGCAATTGGCATATCGAGTAATACTATTATCGAGCGATATGAGGGCAAGTGATCACTTGAGAGGGTATGGTAAGACTTTCGTTCATTCCTTAAATCATCTAACAGATTAATTTTGTATATTTCGAAATCGTAACACAGTTTAAACTTACGTGCGATGGAATGTACAGATCATAGACAGACGCAGAGTCCAGATCCACACCATGGAAACCTGAAGTTAAAATATTTTAATCAGTTCGAGTTTCGACACGGATACACATACAACCGGTTCCAGTTTAACATAATTTAATATTAACGTAATTTACTAAAAGATTATTGTGTTTTACTGTTCGTGATTTATGCAATAGCTTGATTTTTAAAGCAATATAAATTTTAGATGCGATCTCGATTTTCATAACTGATAAGATTGGAACGGAACACCATTCCCAAGGCAAATTACTCGAAAACTAAATTTTTTCAATCAAAACATTTGAATTTACCTGGAAAACTTGAGAACATAAAGGTGATAAAGCTTTTAGGTATGCAGGTGATGTGGTGAATGGCATTTGTACCGAACAAAATTGCACCCTTGTACCGAACTTTGATTGATTGGTCCGCATTTACGGTGTTTTCTGATTCACATCAATTTGCGCCCCAACATGCATTGAAAACGCTACTTGGAATAAGAACTCCATTTCGGGAAAATGTAGAAAGATATACTGTACTCACCACTCTCTGAGGCATAGATAACTTTTAGCCTGCTTTGGTCATTTTCAACCGTCATATTTACTTTCACAGGTCTGGGAACAAGATTCGTGAACGACTAAGAAATGGAGAACGACTTTAGTTGGTGATAGTTGGTGAAATATACAACACGAAGACTGCGGAAGATGGATCGGTTTCGGTTGTTGACTCACACCAACGCTCATAAGTTTGTGTATAACGGCATCTTGATGTACGGGGATTTCGTAAAAAAATAATATGCATTCTTTACCTTGAAAGCCATAAACTTGTGATACGGTTTTGGCGCCCATGCGTACACCTCGATTCTGTCTTGCACAGCAATGGACAAGAACTTTATCCGGTGGAAGTTTACTGCAATTGCAAAAAAAATGTGAACTCTCTGCTTCAAAGTAGTAATTATAGAGAATACGAATACAATTTTAGAATCCTCAAAGATATGAAATGTTAATTTCCTATTAGTTTTAATATATATATCTATATATAGATTTAAAATTTTAGTAGGAAGTTCCCGATTTGGTATATCCATATTGCCTGTATATAGGGCTGTCAAACCTTGACTCACACATTATATAAGTATATACATTTCCGAATGGTCAAAAAAATTATGCTAGAACACTTACCAACTTTGTAATGAGTGCAGCCTTCAAATTCACCGACGGTAACATACCCACGCAGTTTACTTTTATCCGCCTATAACAACAAGATTCAACATTAACATTATCAATAAATATATATATTCTTCTATTATTATTCCTAGAGAACTAACAAGGTAATGGAAGCAATACTAAGTAAAATTAAGGTGAATCTTTCAATTACACGAAGTCAACATACCTCATCCCCTTTGACAATCTTGTTTTTCAGCCATGATAAATAATATACTCGTAACTTGTTTGTCTTTCCTTCAAAGAGGGGAAGTTAAGGTTTAAACATAAATTGAAGATAAAATGAACCCGACTAATAATTAAAACTAATGAACCAACAAATTTTGGGCGTCTAAATGAGTTATTAATTCAATATCTGTTAAATTACCGCTTATGCTCGTCAAAACGTTAATGCCTTCCAACACATCGATCTGCTCGAATCTTCTTCTAGACACCATTGTGAAAACTAAACAAGGCAAATTTATACAATGTGAAATATACTGTCGTCAAATACTAAACCCTTGCTGCAGTACATAGATCGCCCGCACCTGCCCAGCGAGATCACATGCAATCACCCGGTTACACGGTTATATCTTATATTTTCTTCGATTGTATATACGGTTCACAAACCTTTGCCGTTGCCGCTTCGGTCGAGCAAATATAGGCCATTTTCCGTACCGATCAGTAGGTTGACACCTGAATAAAAAACATTTGAAATACAAACTCGTCTTAATGACTTATCGTACACGTACTACATGCGGTGTGTCGATAATTAAGAGAACCAAATAAGCAGGTGCTAAAATTATCTCACCCCACAGCGCGCCACAAAGAATTTCGGTTCGGAACTTGTATTTATATTTACCAATTTGTGGCATCTACGGAGATAAGGAGAATCAGTGAGATTACGATGACATCAAACAGAAAATCTGCCCAGATATGTTCACGAACTCGATGCCCAGCGTATAATTAGTGTTTTATTTAAAATTAGTAATAATACCAAAACAGGTATAATTCAAATTACAAGTTTTATTGCAAAAAATTCCGGTTGAAGTATATCGTATCCATTCTTTACAGAGAAAATGGGCAACTATCCAACCCTTCGACAGTCAGTAGATATTCCCGGTACGCTTTGCCCATGCATCAAAATGATATTTACGAAGCCATTTGAGAGGAAGAGAGAGCTCATTTCATATATGCTGTATAATACCATACTCACTGTTGAGTCGTCGTACTGGGATAGCGTTCTCTCGGGTGTGACATTCACGGAGACCTCTGCTGGAACTTGTTGTTTGCTACCAAAGACGAACGATTTGGAGGCCTTTCTGCCTTTCTTGTCGTCCAGATTCACGGATGATGACGTAATAGATTCATCCGATATAGAATTATTATCAGCGTCATCTTTCGCCTTCGACTTTTTCAACTTCTTCTCTTTTTCCTGGAAGTTACAAGACAGTAGTTGTTAGAAAAATTCTAGTGTAGTCTAACTATTCGGTAGACTACAAGCAGATACACACTGTTCTATCCAATAGGCTACTGTTCGTAAATTTATGTATCGGTGTATAATAAATACATGTACGTACTGTATTACCACTGATCAGGAATCTGGCTTATTCATATATGAATATCAGAATGTCTTAGTTCGGTAAGCCGTACCTTTAGTTCTTTTTGTTGTCTTTCTGGCAGAACGTCAGGCAAACTACCAACAAACGAACTTCGAGATGGTCCGCTGCTTGTCTCTCCGAAGCTTGTCGACGACGAACCAGACTGGGGGGAAACAAATCAACGTTTAGTTGTACTGTAACACTATTAGCTAAATAAATTTCAGCTTGTCCAACGAAATATATTATACCGGCAGGATACTTATTCGGAATCAGCATGCGGTTTTTATAAAACTATACTGCTACGATGATGAAGTCGAAGTTAAAGTTGTCAAGGTGTTGAACTCCAGACTCAAGTCCACATATTAATTGTACACTTATATACGGCATTATTCTATGTCGGACTATAATTTCAAACGATTACGCCTATTTCAAACAATTTTCTGCCTAGTTCATGCTTTGTGGATTTTTTCCATCCATTTTTTTCATATATATATTCATGGTTGTTGCCAGAGTCCATGGTGAGAGAAATTTCTTCAATTAACCAATCACGGAAAGATGTACTGTACGGTATTTATGTACCCTGTGTGGCAATCACCATGCATTAACTTACTATTGAATCGTCATCTCCATCTTTAATCACTAGTGTAGGATCATCCAGGCGTGTACCTACAAAATATGAAGTTGGGAAACTTTTCGTCAAACTCATTACTGGATTGTATATATACGACTATTGGTGCATGCAATAAAACAGCTTCTTCTTTACTGTATAGGTACACTATATGTCGTATATATTTTGAACTATTGTAGGAAATGTACTATGTTATGTATAGCATTACGGTTTCAACATACTTTGAAGTTTTCTCGTGATTGTTAAGGTATCGTCTGAGTATTCCTCTCTAAAATAATAATAATACACTTCTTCAGAAGGAAAATTCCATGAGTTTTTCGCTAACTTGTATCTCCAGGGTTCATCATATTTTTATTTGTATAAAACGAGTTACTACATTTCACAAAAATAAAAAAATATATAACACCTTGTACCGCATTCAAGGACCAACGGCTGGCTTGAAACAAAGTTACTGCATGTACAAGCCGAGCAATAACACTCGATAATTTATCGAAATACTGTACCTGGTGTCCTTTGATCTCTTGCCATCTAACGTCCTGTCGTTATAATCCATGCCACTGTCTTCATCTTGATCAATCTAAACGAAAAACACGTTATCGCAACGTTCGTTGGAATCACTTGCCACTGTACGAGGACATGGAATAAGTTATATTAAAATACAAAGCAATGGTAACTTCGAATAAAGAAAACATTTTGATTCAATTTTCGATTTTAATTAGTTATCAAGAATTAAAAAAGTAGCTTCATGTGACTAGCGAGTAGTAATTAATTAACTTGCATGGTAATGTAAGTAAAACCGATTCTGTATATGTTGTCGCTATTGTGGACGCAAGATTATATTTGCATGCATGGTTATCTTAAGAGTTTTCTGCAGGAAATCCTGGGTTCAATTATCTGGATAAGAATGATATAGTAATCACTAAAATACAAAATGCTAAACTTACTTGTGCACTGCTGCTTCCGTGTCTTGAGTGACGCCGCGGTTCAGCTTGAAGACCTAAATAAACAATCGAATAGAAACTAAGGAGACTAGCAACTGATACCGGCACTCTGATTGTTTGAAAGCCAATATCTAAAAATCCGTGTTCTAGTGAAAACAGACGAAGTCGTTGTTTGAGCCCAGTCTTAAGCAAACGCATATCGCCGTAAAATTCAACGTTATGCAAAAAACGGTTACGTATAGTGATTATACGATTATGGTTATAAGTTATGGGTTATGCCGTAATGAAGTTTATATACATACCTGGAACATCCACGTTATAACTTCCACCTTGCATTAACGTCAAATTCCGTCGCAACGTCGATGACTCAGCGCCGGTCCTAATTCTAGAAATAATTCAAACGCTGAAACTTTAGTGCAAGTAGGTATATATGGATACTTTCATGTCCCTATCACGTAATAGGTTCTACCAAACACCGATTCATCACATTGTATAATTTCTATTCAGTAGATCATCAACTACCCCATAAAATCTCTCTCAGAAACCAGGTTAATATAGACATAAATGTTTTACACACTCATGCATGGGGAAAGACCCCATGAAACTGAAAACAATATACATGTTCACCATCTCTTCCAGGGGCAAGATCTTACCACAGTTATCTTTTAAGTAGGTGTGGATAAGATATGTTATATAGATCTCCAGGTACTGTACCTAACGTAAATGTACATACAACATACCCCATGTCATCAGCAATCGCTCTTGCTAGTTGTGTGTCATCTTCTTCGTCGCTTGCTGAGAAAGTGAAGTCATCCTCGGGATCAACTGGAATATGAACACAAAAGATACTTGGGTATGGATAGAGGGAACATACATGAACATACGCTAAGAATGGTGAAAGATACTGTAGGATTTTACAATACGAAATGAGACGCCCAAAATACATCTAATAGTGGGGAGAGTGGTCTTTCATGCGTCGGACTTTCATGCGTTGAAACGATGTCAATGAAGTATCTTCCACCAAAACCTTCCCTCGTAATGCATGGAGACGAGCCTTAGAAAGAGGCACATGGTCCACTTACTTCGCCTCTTTCTCATTCTGTCAATGAAGTCTTTCAGTTCGATTCGAATCTTTCTCTCGTTGCTTTTCATATCCCGAACAAATTCATGCTGGAAAAAGAATATGAACACGCATGAGAAATAAATCAGGTTCGGGGATGTGGCATTAAGTACATCGATTTACTATGCTTTTTACCTCGTTTTCATATACTTTCTATATACAGTTTGATTTGAAATAAGTCGAAAAACAAAATTTAATAACTTGAACACACGTTTGACGTGGTTCCGCTTAGCTTTTTACACAAGTAATGTACTCGCAAAGATTTGCGAGCACATTTGTTTAAGCGTTAAAAGGATTACTTACTTGTAAAAGCTGGTCGGCCGTTGGTCTTCTGTGATAGTCTTTTAATAAACAGGTCTGTGTGAAGTTGTGAAATCGTTTTGACCACGCTTTCTTTGACTTTAACCTCGGTGGATCACTTCGGGGGATTAAAAAGAGCGCCCGCATCGGATGCATGTCACAAAGCGCTAAGAGAAAGAACGATAAGAAAAATGTGTAAACGTGTAAAAAAATGTGTAAAAATGTCATAAAAATGCAAATGCATGCCCCTGGTGACTGCAGTATATTTACAGAGGAATATCTTCTGTATTCATTAGCATGATATGAGCCTAAAACGCATCACTTCACTTAGTGCACGAAGGATACTTACGTGGGGCGGATTCCGCCATCTCAATAGCTGTGATACCAATTGACCAGAGATCACACTAAATGCAAAAACAGATTGTCTTTTGCATACTCTAGTTATCGATATAGCTACTTGTTAGCTGTTCAGGTTTTGACCTGATTTTTATCGTAAAAAGAGGAAGGAAGATTATAATTTCTGATTGGATAAATATTACCAGAGATAAATTACATTTCACCACGCTGAAATGTTCAGCGGCTTCTCTACGTACATATGTACTCACCCTATTGTCGTATGTTGCATCCGGTTGCTCGTCGCAGACGATTACCTCTGGTGCCATCCTGAACACACAGAATAACAACAAATAAGTTAAATGAACTCTATTTAAACACATCAGCCTCAAACTGTCATGGTGTTAGTGAGTCCCAAAATTTAGGGACGGGTGAATGTTTACCACTTAAAACTACTTTAATAATGCATAAACATAGGAATAAGACGAAAAGAATAATTATATAAACACTTTATAGACTAACTAAGTAAGATTAAGGTCGACGAGTAAGTCTCCCTATAAAACGATGTAGCTACACTATATACACGACAGGAACACAGTTCGTACTTCCGTACGTAGCTATCTTATTCAATATTTTAGGTCCATTACATCTTTTTAGAACTCATTTTAGGTTTCGGAATGTAAAGCTTTCTCAAAGATTCTTACAAATGGTAATAATAAATGCATGGCGTTATATCAAAAACTCATCCTCGTTTTGTTTTAGTCCCTATTTTGGGGTGCATATACTGTACTGCAAGTACACAAGTTACATATTATATAAACAGCCTTACCAATACGGTGTTCCAATGAACGTGTTACGTCTTCCAATCGTTCTGTCTAGTTGAGCACTTACCCCAAAGTCAACTAAAATGAACCGAAACTTCAGAAACTCATTACATATTCACCGTGTACATTCGCTACATTTGCTGAAAGATTATATATCCTCTCGATTACTGTACTATAGTATCGTCTTTACGACGAGAATATGGGATGCGTGCTCTTTAATCGCATACGCTAGGATCAAAATCGTATACGACTAATCGTATATAGCGTAACAGGACCAAAAATACTGTAGCTCTTGCACGAGATTCTTTTTCAGACTTTAAATGGAGGCTAGGGTGTTAACAATATTACCGAGAAACCGACATGCGGGACCAAAAAGAAGGCTGTGGCTTTCATAACAGTAATGCCAGCATGTAAACGTTCTCTTACCAAGTTTGACTTCAGCGTTATCTGTAAGCAGAACATTTTGTCCCTTGATGTCTCTGTGGATAACTCGATTCTGATGCAGATGGCTAACACCCTGAAATAAAATAGATTGGTATGAGACAGGTGCTTACCAGAACAGCCTAATTTTGAGCCGTATATATATATATGTACTGCATGTATATTCTAGATCTATTAAGTTGATGTTACTTAATCGCAAGTTAACTGCATGCATTCAAAACTATACAGATCGTGCATAAAACATAACGTGCGAAATACTATTGAAATCTCATGCATGAGAACTAAACAGTAAACTACACAATACTTGTTATACAATATATGCATGTATATCACGGTCTTGCTATCTTATAGAATTGCAATGTCAGTACATACATGTGCGCGTATATATACTATATTTTATACAGACTATACTTACATTTAAAACCTCTCTGCATATAAATGCTATCCATTCCTCTTTGAGCGTCTTGTTTTTGCTCGCTAGAATGCACACATATAGTAAATTAGCAATGAATAGGACTCTAAAAAAGTAAAACAACTCAGTGCTATTTAAACAAGGATTTTGAACGTACTTTTGACAAGATCAGTAATTGAACCCGCGCCACAAAACTCCATCACAAGCTAAAAAATAAAAAAGATTGTGTAAGCACTGCATATACTATTAAAATGTCAAAAACACTTCTTGACGTTTCGACAAAATGGCCTTCGTCTAGTTAGGCAAGTTGTTACCACATGCATGCACATGATGCAAAGTTATTAGGAGACACTGCTCCGAGTTAGTTTTATTGAAAAAAACTGTACGTCCCGTTGCGTCTACTTATTGTCCACTAACATTGTTTCTTTTAAAATACATATGTATAACGACAAATTAAGAGTAGAAATATGCGACAATAACAAATATGCCTACCCATAACTGATCCTCCTGTCCTGGAAAACCTTTCTTGATGAACGCACCGTAATAAGTAGCGATATTCCGGTGGTTGGAATACTGCAAAGCAAAATAAATATCGAAGTTATTCAACTAGTTCTCATAAAATAATCAGTATCACTGTACTTCTCAGGTTTTGAATGCAGTATAGCGCAATAAAATGTACCTTGGTACACTACATGCCATGTGTGAAATGCAACAGAAAAGAAAAAATTCTGATTTTTCTTAATCACCTTTCTAAGAACATTGATCTCCAATCTTATTTCTTCTTCTTCATCCTATCCAAGAGATAATAATCAGAATGATTATCCCCATTATCTTAACTCAAGAATGGTCATCTCATCGGAGATGCATGGTTTATTATTCCGAGTAATTAGTACTTCAATGGAAATAAAATTATTTTGTCGACGCAGCTCTTCATACCTCGGTGACGTCCATAATCTTGATTGCAGCGAGCTGCCCTGTCTTGTTGTGCCGCCCCTAGTAAAAAAACACATTGAACGTGTTCAACAGCACCGGCATATACTGTAATACTGCGGATTCAGGTAGACCGGCAATTGTGAACAGTTGTCTCGTTAATTTTAACGGTAGAGCTATGACGTTTGTAGGCACACATTGACACGTTCTAGGGTTAGGGTTAGGATAAAGCGTGGCTTTAACGTTCTGACATTTTCGGCATTCTATTTTAGTCACTTTTGTCAACTATTTTAGTCACTTGCCAACAAGACAAAAACTAACAAGAACGCACTGACTATAGTATACAAAGCGATATAAAATTAATATACACAGGCAAATTTTGCCATATAATTTCGCGAATTCTAAAAAATTTAATTTAGATCAAAACTTGGACGGCATCAGTGAATGACAGTGAACGCAATTCAACTTGTTTCGACAGTTTCGTATTTTTTTGCCCCACGTGGTCATACATCGCATCACATGAGCTATTCTGTGCATTTGATTGGTTGGGTGGCAAAAACAAATGGCCGACTATTTAAATCACTGAGTGATTTAATGATCTAAAAGAAGCTGGAAAGAACTTTAAAAATTGTTCTGGAGAAGGTATATCCTAAAAATACAGACCAAATCAACAAGATACGGAAAAAAATTCAAGTGGTGAGTAAAGCTGACAGCTTTTTCTGGGCTTGTATAACTATCAAATTAACCAAACTATTAAATTTTATACATAAAAGCGGAAAGCACCCAAAACAATGAAAATTAAATCAATAGAAAAGTTTTTCTTTGGGAAATTTTCAGTATTCTTGTGCTCTTTACAGTATGCTATCTCATCATAAATTGCTGTATTGACTGTAAAATGCTGTAGCTATAATTTAGACACTTTCCCACGATACCCTGTTATTAAAGCTGCTATAGAAGCTAGGATTTACATAGTTTTGCACACGCCTTTAGGCTTGAATATTAAACAGACCATTAAGATCCTTTTCAAGATTTTATCAGACTTATCAGTGTGATTTCATCTGGAAGTTATATAATCTATTAATTGGTAATGGCAAATTTTAAGGTCTGCTACCTACAAGCTTTAATCCACAACAGGGTTCCATTTTTTAAAAAAAGAAGCAGTAAAGCAATGAGTTAATTGTGTCACTCCAACTGCTACACGATATGTTCATCTATTGTTTAAAGGCATTCCCTATCACTTCACTTTTTAAGTGTTGGCACAAATTTTCAGCCCAGTCCTTACAAATGTATGATAGATGATTAAACAGCAATGCTGTCCAGCATAAATTGGAAATTCCAAATAGTAATAAAAAAAGCCAATACAATTACATTTGTTCGAAGTTTAACTCTTAAAAGTTTGTTTTACAAGACTAAGAGGCTAGAGATTCAAAACAGTCAATTTCTAATAACCTAGAAACACAAGGATGGTCATAGCACTTCCATTTTTCAAGACCTGAAAGTGCTGCAGAACTCTAGAAACATTGTAGGTACATATATGTAAAACGCAAAGAGAAAAACTGGTCGCAACTACCTAATACCAGTGTCATTCACAGAATGGCAGCTGAGGGAGTTGTCCTCTCAGAGAAAATTACACTAACCTAAAATTACTGTATTGACTGGGAATAAAGAGTCCCATTGCCAATGTGAACCTTAGGTTAAAATACCAAACCCAAAAATTCCTAGTTTAACCTGATCCTACACACTAGGTTTCAATGTCACAAATCACAACCAAATGACTTTGACTTTGTGTCCATCTGGAGTTAACAAAAATTGCCTTGTTTCAGCTTGTTTACCCAACTTTCACTAGCCTGTTCAGGCTAGTAGTAATGGCTTTCTTGAAATTCACACCAAATTGAAAATATTTGTGACACTAGATCAATATTCCAAGGTGACTAGCAGGACTACAGTATAATTATGATAAATCTCTTGTTCACACATGCTTACTTCCTATCAAAATCAATCATCTTTGTATTTGACAACTATGTAATTATTAACACACAACCATGTTAATAGAAAGCCAAGTTCTGTTTATAGAATTATGAAATGGAAAACATTTTAGAAGTGAAACATTTAGAAGTGACGTGATTAATAGTGACACCGCGATGTATTCCAATATATTTCAGTTATTAAAAATTCAAATCGCCTAAAATTCTTTCACTGAGAAAATTATTGCTAGATTTCACCTCAACATTAATTAACTTAAAACATTGGCGAGTAATGAAACGCCATATATTACTCTAATTCAAAAATCCGGGTAAAACAAAACGATAGAAATTTAGAACAAATGCGATAATAGGATGCAAATGCAATATAGTAAATGGACTGTAATGCTGTGAACAGTTTTGTATAAACAATTTAGCGACATACTGAAGTTTATAAACACATCGAGAAGTCTCATAAAAGTTCTTTCGCGACGAAAGCCGAGTTGAAAGCATGTATGTGGGCACTTGTCAAAGATAAGACCAAATTCAGACTTAGTTCATTAAACTATTGTGAGACATGCAAATGAACACCAGTTAAACACGACGTGAAGCAGGTAGACAATGCTGCCGCTTTATTTATGCTATCCTGATTTTAGAGACAGCATGTAAATTTCTGCCTTTAAAATCCAATCTTCAATAAGTTAAGTTTGCATTGCGTTTTATTTGTTCAAGTAGTGCCAGTAGAAATAGTCTGCTAGTTTGGAGAAGAAATCTAGGTGACTTGGCCTATAAAATTAGTTTTTGTTACTTTTTCTGAATAATAATAATGCAAACTTTATACTAATAATACCTTATGAACTTGGCCATACGTTCCATTGCCAACGACTTCGACCAGTTCAAAAATGCCGGCTGGATCCTAAAGATACAATAAATACAACTTTAAGGGATCGATTCTGAATGTAAAAGTATTAAAATGCGATATTATATATACATATATATATTATGCTCTGTCATGTATTCGATAACAACAAAGAACGCTTCTATCTCGATTTGACATGGTGGGATAAAAAATGACCATAGAATGAATCTCCCGACAATCAGAACACAATTTTATCCGATAATTCTTAGCATGGGGAAGAGCATGTCAAAGAGGATTCCAAAATAAAAATATTTACTCACAACCTCCATATAAATAGCTGAAGCTGAATTAACCCATCTTTCTACGGCTAAATAAAAACGACCGAAGGCGATGAAATATGATTATTTACCTTGAGCGTGGCCAAGTCGACATCGTCTAAGCCGAACGACATTGTTTTCTGTGATTGAGGGATATACAAGCGATCTCAGCTGTAGAAAGCTCTAATATTGCCTCGAGAGCCAACTCCGTGGGGTGATGTTTACAAGTTTTCAAAAGATGTTTCAAGGTGCCAGACACGTGAAAATGTCAGCCACTCTCGGCTATTCAAGAGCTCTTTCGTTCCAAGCAAACACGGATCGGGATTTTACATGCCTAAGCCTCCACAGCTCAAGAGCTTTGGTCCAATTTCGTTCAATTTAATGCCCCGAAACTGGGCGAGAATGTATCAAAAAGCATTAAGAATTTCCAACCAAAACATCTCAGGAGATGACGAGCATGCGGGGAATTGTGGGCTGTACTAAACCGGAAATAGCGCAAGCGAAGCGGAAGAGGCGAAGTTTGAATTCTTAATGCTTCCTGATTACGCAATGCTTGGTGAACTCAGTGGAAAAAGCCCACTAAAACGCTGTAGTGTATAACAAGATAACAAGATTTTTTTAAGAAAAATGCTAACGTATCGACATTATTAGCATTTATCGGTTAACGTTTTCAATTTTGAATGAAGACCGATAGTTAAGTCGGGGTAAAACAACTTTTTCTATTTAGTTAGTTATATTAATTTATTTTCCGTGTTATGGAAATACCGCCAAGTCCGTTGCCGCCTTGTCTGATGCGTTACAATTTAGCCAGTAGCCACATGATTATATTCACCAAGTACGATGAATTTAGTGCTATATTGTTTTTTAAAGCCCTAATACAGCGATAAACAACGCGAGATTGGGAGCACCAGAGCGGCTTCAGGGTACAATTATAGAATGCCCTGCTAGAGGATCAATTTTAGAGTATAGAATTGCCCCGTTCTTTAAAAATAGTGTTTATTCTTGTTCTCTGGAAGTCCAATTCATGCATTAGGAAACATAAATCCCTCCCTCAAATTTACGTGTTTTTTTGCGTAAATCAAGCACGGCATGAGATAAGGTACGAATTCCCGTTTGATGGAAAACTGATTGATTGATGATTAACTTGATGTAGATCTTTTGTGACGTGTATAGGTTTTTGATATTGGTTCAAACCAGTATGTTTTGCTTATCATATAAATTTACTTTATACTTTCATTATCGTAAGAGAAAATGATCTGCATGATTGTCGTACGCTAAATCTTGTATATTCGATCTAAACTATTAAAAGACAGGCGACTTGAACTTGTACAGTGGTCGGAATGTAGTGCAATGAAATTGACACGATGCATGGAGCCAAACGCTATAAACGTTTTTCCTGTTTCATAAACTGCAAAATTTCAGTCAAATGTACTCTATTGCAACCTCGTTCCCAGGGGATTTCTCTTGTGTCATTCCCTACCCTCCCCAATGACAAAAAGGGAATGCCCTGGGAACGAGGCTGATTCTACAGTATTGAGCTAAGAATAAGGATAAGAAGACTAAAAGATGGTGTGTTAAGCGAATGCAATATCGTGATGGGAACTCATTTGTGAGCAAAACATCGCTGCTGAAATTACAAATGCTTGGAGACTAACTGCTAGGATGTGAACCGCTTAATCATCGATCATTTTACCCGAATGCATTTTAAAAGTATAGCTATTTCCCAGGCAAGATGTCTTAGTTTGTGTAAGCCGTTCCGTCTTCACTGAATGCTTTCGATGATAGCTCGTTCCTTTTCTACTTCTTTCTTGCGTTCGGTATAGGCTAGGGTTTATAGGCAGGGGCATTGTCATATGATATACATCTATATAATTTATATAGCTTATAGTATAATAGTATACACCAGTGATTCGTCGCTGGCTTACGTAGTAATATTAAGGCACTAGTGATGAATCCGAAAACGAAAGCGAAACTGGTCATTCGCCATTTGTATGGATGAGAAGGCAAACCGAACCTAAAAATTTGCTTTTTTGCTGCCGTCTGAGCAATTAAGGCTCCTGTAAAAAAATCACACTATTATTTACAACATGAGCGGCCGTGTTGAATCGGATATGCAATCAAATATCAAACACGCAAAATTGTAAACATGCATCACTAAGAAATTCGGTGTTTTATCTGCAGGGCAAAAATTACTTCTATGTAATGCAACTTCTCAGTGGCAAGAGCATTGCACCGGTATCGCAAAAGCGTAGGTTCGATTCCTGCCGGAGGAACTATATATATAGTTGACTCATTTTTGCATCAACTGTTCCTGGCTTGAATTTGAAGTGTGTATAATTCCACTCGAAGTTAAGAAAACCTCTACTAGTCAGAATTTACTTCTATGTTATATGAATTTAAACCTTTAGCCCTAACCTTTAGCCCCAAATATTTCTCTCCCGCCCCTGAGAATATAACTGTTATCCAACAAATTTGTGGTGATTTTTTTTCATCTAAAAATTGATTTAATATTTGTTAGACATCTCTATTTATTTTCAATTCATATTGTTTGTTTCAAGAGTTCTGCTTTAACGTGTCTACTGCGAGCAAGCTTGTGGTTTTGGGCTGCCTTGGTAGGTCTCACAAATGAGCTTCACAAGATTATCCTGGGCTTCGTTCTGTATTTTGTCGGTATGCACGCCATTCAACGTTACCCAAGGGACATAGGTATGAGGTGGTTGTAGTGCATTTGTTTTCAAAGCCATCTCATGCTCCAATTTGTTGCCCAAAGGACCGTCGACACATGACTGAATTTGGGAGTAATCGAAGCCAAACTTTGATGCGCATTCTGGTGCGACGCTTCTTGGTAAAGAAGTCGATGATTCGATGCAGTAAATAAAAGGAAAATAGACCGTTGAATTGGGGTGATAGTGTATAGCGCATGTCTCAATAAGGTTCCCATAGCATTCTTGCTCCCCATGTTGACACTCGAATTGCCATCTGTCGCCCTGTTGTTGTTCCATTGCATTTCCATAAGGCACCAGGGCTAAATTCATAATACTACCGACGGCTTTGAAGGCAGGCCATAGCTGCTTGTTAATGAAATTTTTACAATCAGGGCAAAGGCTTTCTAGGTAAAGAGTGAAGTCGACGAGTTTTGCCTCTGATACGGGTACCAAATACGGCTCGCATTGCTTTTCAACGCCACAACTTTGAGCTACTTCACGCGATGAACACCAAACGCTCGGCGGTAGACGACAAGATTGTGAACGAACTCCAGAAAGAAATAGGGTAGCAAGAAATAAAGCCAATGTCAAGATTCTAGATGCCATTTTGTAAGTACTATTGAACTGACAATGACGGACGCGAGCAACTCGACATGCAAATTGCTATAAACTTGCTATAAAATTATATTGCGTAACAGTCACGAGATCATCACGCGTTATGTACCTCAATTTGAGTTACGTAACGAGGTTGATTGTCCATATATAAGGTACCGCTAAAGGCACCTGATTCAAACTTAACAAGCCAGATTCTACAAGAAAACCAGATCGCGACAGATTGCATGATGCGCAGAACTTTAATTGAATACGTTTGTTCTTATCATGGGGGTGCTTTTTTTGTATCTTGCCTTTTTGTATAAATAGGTATGTGCATGGTAAAAAGTATTGTATTTCATGCAGCGATAAAGTGAAGCTTAGGGACCAGGCAATGAGTATGTCAATACAGCTTTGATCAATAGATGCTTCATTGGTTCATGGATAGTCATATATGCATGGTGAAGATTATACCGTTGTATACAACACCTGCGCCCCATGTCTGTCTCTTCAATTCGGTTCTGTGAAAATATTAATGTATACTGATTAGAGCAGATCCTTAGCTAGCTGAGTCGCAAAAAAGCTGCCGGTACACGGGTACCACCCGGAGGAAGGTTTGCTTTGAATGAGGTTTGTGATGAAGGTTCAAAGTTGAACACTCTAATTGATCACATGAATGTACCGAAAAAACAAATATTTCTTTATGCTGGTTGCCACTTGACTCGGTGACGTAACGTTATTCATAAGGAAGGTTTTCAAAACTTGCCGGAAATCCTACCGGAGGAAGGTTGAACTCTATTTGCAACTCTGGTAGCTAGAATTAGCTTGATTTGAGGGGTTGGTGCATATTGATGTATTCGGCTTTCGCCCAACTGCATGCCTTCTTTTGAGAGCTATTGTTCATACAGAATGCAAACATTAATATTTAAATGTGCATCCTCCATAATTGAAGCGGTTTAGCTACAGCCCTGTGTCAGAGTGTCTATTTGAAATGCCCTGGACGATTGGGGACGATAAAAATTAAATGACTTCATAAAATATATAGAACGGCGGGAGGTTTTTCACATGAGTTTTTCAATCTGAAACTAAGACGCACACGAAGAATACAATGTAAACGTGGCTTGCCTAGAAGTAGTGATAATGACAAGCATGCTCTTCCCCATACTTGGACCAATTTTCTCAAAGAATACATAATACAATCAACGTGATTGACGTTTGACAAACTATATCCCTACAGATGTTAGTCGGATTTCTATTTGCGTAATTTCTTGCTTCAAATTATTTTTTTCTCCAGTTACCATGCAGGTAATTTCTTTGTAATTTTGTTCAATAGAAGTTAGATATTCTTTCCGAAAGATTCTATAATGTGCTAAATGTGAAAATGTCTTGAATATGAGAATTATGTTTTGAATCTCGCTCCTATATTTCGACGCAATCTTGAAAGAAAATGTAAACATATTACCTCCAAATTTTTCACGGCAATTTTTCACGTGTGAAGAATATCGTACGTCCAATCAAATTGCATGAAATTAATTTATCCAGTGAAATTTCTGAAACTTCATTCTGGTGTGGGTATATCGGCTCGATACACCTGCATATAATCGAACTTACAATGTATACATAACACAATCAAATATAAAACCTGCTTTATATGAGTGTTGTACCATAATGTAAAAAAGAATGAAGAAGGGAATTAATTCCGCGAAGAGAAAAGGAGTTATATTTTAATATTTGCACCTTCTGTGTTTGTCTCCATGACAGTGCCAATTGCTCTATAAATGAACAGTCTTTAAGCCTTCTCTCGTTTTATGATAACGCAAAATGAGGGCGAAAGCTTTCTTCCACCCTTAATTATTTTGGACCTCTGACGTCCCTTAGGCAAAGGCTCCTAAATTGTCCTATATTTGAATTGTTCCAGACCCCCGAAGTAAGTTACTTCTTTAGACTTTAGTCCCAAAAATTGCTTTCCCGAGCCACAGAAAAAAAGTTATTCAACAACTCTCTGTGCTATTCTTTTTATTATCTAAAAATGGATTTAAAATTTGTTAGGCACCTCTAATTATTTTGAATACATGCATTTTGTTTATTTCAAGGGCTCGGCATCAACGTGCTTTCTGTGAGCAAGCTTGAGGTTTTGGGCGGCCTTGATATGTATCACAAACGAGCTTCACAAGGTCATCCTGCGCTTCGTTCTGTATTTTGTCGGTATGCACGCCATTCAACGTAACCCAAGGAACATAGGTATGCGGTGGCTTCAAAGCATTTGCTTTCAAAGCCATCTCATGCTCCAATTTGTTGCCCAAAGGACCGTCGACACATGATTGAATTTGGGAGTAATCGAAGCCAAACTTTGATGCGCATTCTGGTGCGACGTTTCTTGGTAAAGAAGTCGATGATTCAATGCAGTAGATAAAAGGAAAATAGGCTGTTGAATTGGGATGATAGTGTATAGCGCATGTCTCAATAAGGTTCCCATAGCATTCCTCCTTCCCGTGTTGACAATGAAACCGCCATCTGTCGCCCCGTTGTTGTTCCATTGCATTTCCATAAGGCACCAGGGCTAAATTCATTATACTGCCGACGGCTTTGAAGGCAGGCCATAGCTGCTTGTTAATGAAATTTTTACAAAAAGGGCAACGGCTTTCTAAGTAGAGAGTAAAGTCGACGAGTTTTGCCTCTGATACGGGTACCAAATACGGCTCGCATTGCTTCTCAACGCCACAACTCCGAGCTACTTCACGCGATGAACACCAAACGCTCGGCGGTAGACGACAAGATTCTGAACGAACTCTGGAAAGAATTATGGTAGCAAGAAAGAAAGCCAATAACAAAGACAAGATTCCAGATGCCATTTTGTAAGTACAATTGAACAGACAATGATGGACGCGAGAAACTTCAACATGCAAATGCTATATATAGCCTAAAAGTCACGATATCATCACGCGATGACGTAACTCAAATTGGCCACATCATATGTAAGGTGCCAAAGGCGCCTGATTCAAGGTCCAAAGCCAGATTCTACACGAAACCAGTTTGCGACAGATTGCATTATTCGCTGAACTTTGAATGAGTTTGCTCAATATAATGAGTACTTATGTGTATCTTGCCATTTGCTTGAATAGGTAGCCTACTGTATGTGGAAAAAGTATTGTATTTTTGTGGCGATAAAGTGCAGCTTGGGGAAAAAAGCCAAGCAATGAGTATGTCAATACTCAATACAGCTTTATTTAACTTAGTCAATAGATGCTTCTGTCATGGATAGTCATGTAAGTGTCTTCACTTTTGTTTAACTACGCCTGCACTCCATGTCTATATCTCTTATTCAATTTGGTTCTGTGAAAATACAGTTCAAAGGAATCTTCATAATTTTACCTAAAAAATACCAATTTTTTCAACTGGCTTGTAGTGGAGGAAAGGCTGGTGGAGATGGCTTATATATATATATATATATATATATATATATATATTTATATATATATATATATTAATATATATTATATATATATATATATATATATATATTTATACATCTAAATATATATATATATATATATATATATATATATATTTAGATGTATAGTGATAGTGACACGCATGCTCTTCCCCATGCTTGGAACAAATTTCCTGAAAGAATACATAATACAATCAACGTGACTGACGTTTGTCAAACTACATCCCAACCGATGTTAGTCGGCATTTCTATTTGTGTAATTTCTTGCTTCAAATTTTTTTTTCTCTTGACTTTATCACACACAGAGAATTTTATTTGACTATCGCCAGCTGTGTACTTGTAAGTGTGAATCTATAATTATGTCGTTTTTATCTTTTTATGAAATATGATGCTTCTTATTTTATTACTTGAAATACAAATTTAACGGCGTTTAATTATGCTTCGGAAGCAAAGTAGTATTTTTTAAAGATTTCAATTAATTTGGAAATCAGCAGCTTAAAAAAGCTTGATTTATGATTCATATGGTAAAATTCAAGAAAAAAAAACAAATATCGTTTGATCCGAGCAATTGCATGGACGCAAGATTTTTGAAACAGATTGTATGCTTGTGTATTGGAAGATTTTATGGAGCTAATACAAAATGGATGTGATTATATATATCCAGCTATCACTTCTGTGTACTGTGAACGTATTTTTTACTGTCGTTGGAGTATTCCTGAATACGCTCGTTATACTTTGCCTTTTGAAATCTTCACAGCTTCAGAAGAAGTTGTGTTATTTCATGCTAATGGTGCTGTCGCTTTTTGACTTGTTTGCAGTTGTGACGAATCATCCTATGCTGATAATATATTCAATCGTTTGGATGATCGAAGACTACGAAAGATTGGGAACGTTGTACACGTATGTGGACATCACGGATATATTCCTTGGGTTTTCATTGCTTACGCTTTTGGTCATGAACCTCGATCGCTACCTCGCGATTGTTTACCCTCTTTTTCATAGAACCTCGGTGACTAGGCGTAGACTTGTTGTATTTCTGGCGATATTTCTTCTCTTCGAGGTAATCTTGGCAGGAATCTCCATAGACAACTTGGTCATCTCCGATGGGATGGCCACCTTGATTTTTGCTACCGTTGTCTCGCCTCCGCTATTCTTCATTAACTACAAGTTGTTTATCGTCGCCAGAAAGATTAGCAAGAGGACCGCTGCGTCTTCAGCTGGTTTAAGAAAGCCGGTTTGCTTGAAAAACATTTCAAGTTGTCTCCTGGCTGTGGCCTGCTTGCTCTGTCTCTACCTTCCTATGAGCGTCTACATTGCCTTAAGCATCGCAGAGAAATCAAAGCTGTCGCCTAAAGTGAAAATATCCTGGCTCTGGACAAAAACTATCATCGCTACGAATTCTACATTCAATTGTCTTATATTTTTCTGGAAAAACAAAATGTTGCGTTCTGAGGGATTGACGGTTTTAAAGTTACTGCTTGGGATGTGCACAAAACAATAGGAGTTGATTTTGTCGAAACTCATTTGAGACCAATCGTGAGCTTGCCTTAATTTTGTTTCCGCTGGTTAGGGCAATTTTATGGATCCGATCGAATAGCTATTCATTTGAAACACGAGCAAGTGAACTTCTGTTTAATAAACAAACTGTAATAAATTGAAAGAGTTTTATTAGTTTTGTTAATCGATCGGCCCTTCAGAACTGCCGCATTGTATTTACACTACATGGCCGGCGATATAATGGACTCAGTAAGTTAAAACTCCAATCACAATCTATGTTTTCACATAAAGGAAATGTGAAACGAAAATTGCGGAACGAAAATTTTGGCAAGAAAAAGCGCCACAGAAGGCTTCGAAGATTTACTAATGAATTAAAGAGTCGTATGTAGCTTAACAAACCAAGGGTAAATGTTATCTATTTGTATATATATAATAACATTTTGTCGAAATTTTGGAAATATCATGTGTACATATATACGTGCGTTAAAATTCTATTATCGAAAACAAACCAAACGTCGCCAAACCATGCATCTTTGGATTTGACCAGTTTTCTAAAACATGAGGAAAAAACTCCTGGGGCCGGTTGTATCAAGCCCTTTATATACATATATAGCTTAAACGGTGGATAAAAGAAACTTTCATCCACTGAATATGCAGTGGCAAACAGTATTGTTGGTTGAAACATTTGTTTTGCTTGTTATAGCTATAAAACGATAGAGAATTGTTTATCTCATTCACTGAATATAGTTGCATGTAAACAGTATTGTTGCATGGTTAAAACATTTGTTTTACTTGACCTAACCCTTTCTGAAAATGATGTTCTCACTTTATAAGTATTAAAAATAAAAAAATATGGTTAATAGGGATTCAACAGACGGGTAAGCTAAACACGGGCTTCATACAACCGGGCACCTCCGAGGAGACGAGAATAATAATAATAATAATAATAATAATAATAATAATAATAATAATAATAATAATAATAATAATAATAATAATAATAATAATAATAATAATAATAATAATAATATAATAATAATAATAATAATAAATATAATAATAAAATAATAATAATAATAATAAAATAATAATAATAATAATAATAATAATAATAATAATAATAATAATAAACTTTATTTAAAGAGAGTTACAATAGTACATTTTTACCTAAGCGGTATTCTTCCAAATGGCTCTCATTATGATACATATAAATAGTTTATGCGGTCATTATATACAGGAATGGCATTAGAGGATTATATACAACACAATTAATGAACGGAACTACAGGGTGTATCAAAAAAAAGGAGACCTTTAGAAATCAAGCTATTGTTAAAATTTGAATGCTTTTTCAATTGCATTTGCACATATGCTAAACCTTAGTGCGTGAAATATTGATGGCATGCATGCATACATTAGAAAAAGGAGACCTTTAGAAAATGAATTGACGTTTGTACACAAGATTGTCTGCTCCTGGGAATTTGAAAATAACTTTAATAACATAAGGAAAAATAACGACCCAAAAATATTCAAATGACTAAGCACAAACGACTAAGCACAAAAGCGATAACAGTATGCGTGGTAAATTGCTTTAGCTGGTCCTTCAAAACATGAACAAATCATTTGTTCATTATTTTTTAACACTGCGTGCGAGCATTAGGGCTGTTCACATGCGTTAGAATTGACTTTGAATCCGGAATGGCTCAGCATCCCATTTTACAAACTCTGCCTATTAAAATGTTTACATGAGTCAGGAATGAATTACAACTTGATCTGACACAGATTCACTTGACATTTCGATCCGGATTGAAAATTACTGATAAATTGAACATCAAAAGAACTGAATGTCATGGACCATGACCTCCAACGTGGCCTCCATTTCTCTCAACATAAACTACCGTACGCTTGTGCATATCGCGAACTGCTTTTCTGATGACGGCTGGCTGGGTATAAGTTAAGACTACAAAAACTCCTTGCTCCGAAGTCAGTTGAACCATTTTTGTTCTGGTAGTGTGCTTCGTCATTTGAATATTTTTGGGTCGTTATTTTTCCTTATGCTATTAAAGTTATTTTCAAATTCCCAGGAGCAGACAATTTTGTGTACAAACGTCAATTCATTTTCTAATGTATGCATGCATGCCATCAATATTTAACGCACTACGGTTCAGCATATGTGCAAATGCAATTGAAAAGGCATTCAAATTTTAACAATAGCTTGATTTCTAAAGGTCTCCTTTTTTTTGATACACCCTGTATATGTACAAAGGAAAAAATATTATGTATACGTATATATAAAACACAAAGACTATACACAACACAATATATAATATGTACGAGACAACATAAACTGACAAAAGAAATATTGAATAGTTTGAGATAAAAGTAGAATGAATATTGAATAGATTGAGAGAAAAGTAGAACAAGTGAAAAGTCAATAAGTGTAACATATACACTTAACAATGTTAGTACATGAAGAGCAAGAAAAATGTTCAAGATGGTCAACTTCATAATTTAAATCTCGAAAGAACTTTTTTAGTTTAAACTTGTAGGCTGAAGGGGAGTAGTCATGGACCATTTTTAGGTCATTCGGCAAAGAGTTAAACAGCAAAACTCCACTGTATGAGAGTTTAGTTTTAGCCAGCTCAGATTTGACTAAGGGTACCCTTAGATCGATTAGGGAACGTCGAGTATGGACATTATACATCTCACCAGATATATGAAACAGATTGCGAAGCTCACTTGGTGACGAGCTACGCAGGGTGTTGACAACTAACAGTATTTTCCTCATCTTAATCAAGTTATTGATGGGAATCCAATTAAGTTTACGAAAAAGATCGACAGAAGGGGTTGACATACTCTCATCCAAAGTTAATCTTGCAGCTCTTTTTTGAAGTTTTAGCAGCGGATCAATAAGCTCGCGGCGTGCATTTCCCCACACAGTGATGCCATATAAGAGATGAGGATATATAAAGGCATAATAAAACTGAATTCTACACTTCACTGGAAGGGATGAACAAATACGCTTAAATAGATATAGTCGAGAATTTAGCAGTTTGAAGATTTTATCCACTTGGTAGCCCCATGCAAGTAAGATTTTTATCAAGAATTATTCCAAGTAGTTTACCGGAATTAATTTCCTCTATCGTAAATTCCTCGTGTAATATGCTGACACAGTCGAGCATTGGATACTTTCGCTTTGAATATATTTTCATGAATTTGGTTTTACTAAAGTTTAAGGCCATATTGTTATGTCTAGCCCATTGGGAGGTAATACACAGATCGGTTGATAATGCTGTTTTGATCATTGATAGTTCACTATTATGGGTTAAGAGGGTGGAATCATCAGCGAAAAGTGAGGGATGTGTGGTGTTTAAAAATGATGGTAGATCATTTATAAATAACAAGAAGAGTAACGGACCGAGAATAGATCCTTGGGGGACCCTGGTTTTTATTGTTAAGGGGTCTGACAAATGGTGGCTTACTTGGACTTGTTGAGTTCGCCCTTCTAGGTATGATGTGAACCATTTCAGAGTTAGATCAGTAGCTCCGTATGCGCGGATTTTTTGAAGCAAAATAGTATGATAGAATAGCGGGCAATAGCTAATAATTATAGAAAAAAAGCAAATCTATCGAAGGCCATGCATCGACGCAAAGGTACAACATTTGAGCTTTACAAACGAAGCGACTGTAAATATATTGAGTGAACGAAATATTACCGCGGTAGAAAGGCAGACAAAGACGCTATAGAAGTGAAGATCGACGAAGTTCACGGGTTGAGGGTAGAAATCCAAGAATTAAAAATCGAAAAAGACAACGGAGCAGAAGAAAATCGGGAGTGGAGTGTGACAAACTTGAGGCATTAAGAGCGCTTGTTTCTGAGCTAAAAACATTAGAACGGGAGATCAAATGTGACGAGCAGAAAGTCGCAGAGAAGCTGGCTTCAGAGGAATTTACAAATCGGACAACAAGAATCAACAGAGTGTGTCTTTATTGCATGCAGCAGGCCATCGATCGACCGAGTATATAAAAGGATTGTGGCAGAAACAGATCGGCGAAAGATACTATATAGGGGAAAAGCAGCTGTGTTTTAATTGAGCCGCATGGTCAAAGACAAGGCCGCGAATTGCCGTAGTCAACAATTAAGTTGCCAGTGCAAGAGGTGCATGACATCACTCGTCCATCTGTTCAAAGAAACCAAGCGACCAAGATAAAAAAATAATGAGGGTGGGCACTGAGATACTGATATAGGCAAGAGAGAGAAAGAGAGCAAACTGATCGTGGTCTAGCTAGGTTGAAGGAATTACTTGCCGTGCAGCACACGGGAGCGCGGGAAGTTCTATATGCATCGAAGAAACAACCATGCAGTGAAGAAAGAGTATATAAGAAGATAGAAATGATGATGCGTCTACTGGCAGAATGATTGAAGTCATCAGGTGACAGTCAACTACTGGTTTGGTAGAGAAGTTCTAGCTAAAAACAAAGTCACCATGCAAGGTCGACCAAAGCAATTTGCTCTGCATGTGCATGTGGACAACGCAAGGTACAGGCGATTGGTTAGCCACTTTAACCACCTGGGGCCGGTTGTATCAAGCCCGTTTAGCTTAAACGGTGGTTAAGTTCAAAATTAAATAGCACTCCTACATCTCTCTTGAGTGAGTCAACTTGAATATTATGCACTGAATAGGTAGTTGTAAACTGTATCTTTATTGTATTAAAATATTTAGTTTGCTTGTTGAATAAAACGATAGACTTGATTTCTATTTTGAACTTAACCACCGTTTAAGCTAAACGGGCTTAATTGTTGTTCAAAGCTGGGAAAGCGCTAACCCTGGGTAAAATCTTACTATGCTCTTTTAGCCGGTTTATATGATTGCTTCTCCACCGCTGTTTGTTTCAAAACTTTACAAAATAAGACTTCTATTGATCCACAAAATATTTATGAAAAAACATGTTCAACTGCATAAACAAGCGATTGAAAAAAATTGATGTGAAAACTTGAGTGAACCCTGGGTTAAACTAACCGGCTTTTGAACAACCGGCCCCTGAACAACCGGCCCCTGAAGGCAATCACAATGGCTGATGTTGATGACAAACGTACCACAACTCCAAATACACCTGATAGTAAATAGTAATTAGGTGTTAGTAAGTATATGCATAAATTAAAATTGCAACAGAGCCTCGAGTTGGTCAACCTGGTGAGCCATTGGCAGAATATACAAGTTTCGGCTGGACTTTTTAACGATTTGTTTGAAAGAGAAATAACGGCATAAAGTTTTGTAATCAAAATGATTGAAGTCACCCAATATCATAACTCCTGCGTTAGGATGGACTAATCGTTTATCTGCGGTAGAAATGAAATATTTTGCTAGTGGGGGGTGGTAAATATCTGCTAGTGGTGGGTGGTGAATCACACAAACAAAAATGCAGGATTTTTGCGCGGTAATCGGTACGGTATAACTATAAGCTTCAGCCACACACTTTCAACATCAGGGACGCGCTTAATCAGGAAGGGTGCATGGAAAATGGTGTAGCAGACTTGATATACGCCTCCGCCTCGTTTGCCGTTCTCGCGATTATTTCGAACAATAGAGTACTTTGGGAGGGGTAATGATGGATCGTCAGTGATGTTCGAGTTTAACCAGGTTTCGGTTATTGCAACAACATCTACGGTGACAACCGGCCATGTACATGTTCCTATTAATTTTCAAGGCAAGGCGTACAGGTAAGGGTTGGTATATAGGAATTTTTTAAAAATGTCACAACACTAACGGGTTTTTGTGCGATTTTCACACCCTGCATGGTATATGTTATTGAGTATTTTAACACTGTAGTTTACCTAGCTACTTCGCCACGCGCTTATTCAACTGTGGACATCCTCAGTGACATACGCTAATACGCTCGAAGTAGAAGTCGTAAGTAAAAGTAAAAATCGCCTGTGTTCTGTCACGGTAATTAAGCCACTGACAGCTTAACTGTCTTCCACTGCTTTCGCTTTGCCCGCGCGGACGAAGCTGCTTTTGAAAATATGCTCGTCGTCGTGGAGAGACGCGGCGGGCTAATTGACAAACAAAGCACGCTTCGGCTGATAGGTAATCATGCGATTATAATTATCGATTACTAGGGGATTTTCTCAAAATTTGACATGCAACTGCGAGATCGACTTCTATATTTCGAGAACAATTTTAATCATTTGAAGTTTTTAATTAATTCTCAACTATGCAAACCAAGATTTTTTGAATACCCAATATTTTCAATGTAAATTGTCAAAATTTCCGAAGGGGAAGATCAGTCCTGCCGGTTTGGGTTCTAGACTTCGAGTTCCGTCTGGGTTGTCTTATTTGTATGCAAATATACGTTTCCACTTTTTCTGCTATTTTAGCCAATCAGCATCGAGTATTTTATCGTTTTGATAATAACAATAACAATTTCAACAACTTTTTAGAGGAATTTCAGCATTAGCTACATAGGCTATTCAAGAGCTGTGTCGGCTTCATAGATTGCATGTAGCCAAACAAACATCATGTATATCATTGCAGTGAAAAAAGAAAACATATAGGTTTTGACCTGGGGAACTATTCCCATCCCGATAAAGAGAATACATAATTAATAAATAACAATGCACCCGCAACTTACACAGGAATTTAATTTCTACTAACTTGAATTTAGATCTTTCATGCTCAGCAGTGGTTTGCTTGATCTATACATTGACATAGGTAAATACTAACAATTGTATATAATTCAGTTTCACTTATTTCTTTTTTTTCCCAATCGTTTCCATAGTTTTACAAAGGGAAAATATAAGCACACCTGTCTCCGCATATTAAACATTAATGTTTTACTGCGTAATAATTCCTAAAACAACGAGAACTGTACGCATATTTCTTTGCCAGTCAAAATCGTTCCGTGATAAAAACAACGCTTACTCCAACGGCAAACAACAGGTATAAGCTCGGCAACGCAAACCATGGCCTTTTTAAAGAAAACTACATTTGTCTGTCTCGTATATCTCTTTATAAACAGCTTGTTTTCACATACGGCACATAGCGATGAATGTTTCTATGACTCGAGCTGCTCGGCTTCATACACTGGGTGGTACTACACGAAAAGGTATTGCTGCAAAAGAAAGTATCCCGAAAGTAACGTTTGCCGGACTAGTTGTATTGGCCAGTCTTGTTCCATTAATTCCGACTGCGCGACGAAGGAATGTTGCAATTCCAGGAAGAAATGTGCCACGATATGCGATGAGTGCCTTTCTCATTCTGGCTGTTCTTCATACTGGAACAGGGGAGAGTATTGCTGTAAAAGAAAAGATCCTGAAATTAATGTTTGTCGGACAAATTGCATTGGCGAGTCTTGTGACGTCAATAGCGACTGCGCGTCTGACGAACATTGTTGTAAATATAATTCGAAATGTGCTTCGGATTGTGGTTGGGAAAAATGGATTATTCCAGTGATTGTCATCAGCACACTCTTAAGCATCCTCCTTTTTATGGGATTTTTTATTCGTATTAGTCGTAAATTTTCAAGACGTCGGGTGAACACTGGAACTATTCTTGTGCCACCGCCCGCCACAGCATTAACAAGACTACCTTCAAGCGATCCACAACAACCACAACAACAACAGCCACAGCAGCATCCTCCTCAACAGTCCTCAGTAGCAGAACCTAGAGTATTTTTCAACCGACAAAAGGGAACAACGCATTACGAAACGCAACTAGAGCGAGACCAGGTTCCTGGTTATTAATTCAACAGCATATCTCCATATCACTGGTCTATATCCACCATTGGCAATAGCTTTAATGTCACAGTTTTCACCGTCAGCTAACATAGTCTTCGAGCATAGTTCATACACATGCACATGCACATAAAAAATATCTGACTACTACTAGTACCTGTTCTTAAATGAATACCGCGTAATACATCTTGTTACTTTAATCATCAACTAGCCTAATACTTAACATATGCACAATCAACTTGTCGAATTTTTCGATAGCTGTAACATCTCTCAGACAATGTCGATTTCTCGCTGGACTGGGTACGACGGTCGTAGATTATGCATGCATGGTCTATTCGACTGACGTTCTTCTCACTGAGTCTAAAACCAGTTTAGATTTGACTTTGTTTCGGACCTAAATTGAAAAGTTTGTCAAGATTTCTAGTAGGTTTCTAACCCAAATATATTTGATTCGTAATTCGATGTACTACATGAAACTGTGCACGGGGGAGCGAGGAAATTATCAATAACTGGCAAATTCGACCTGCAGCATTGTCTGGTAGGAATGTTGCCAATGTTCAACACGTGACAGATCATCATTTGGATCATCATTGGGTTTATGGGGTCGGAATTCCGGCATCCGAGTATGCTAGTATTCGTATCAACTACAATTACTACCATACCCGGAATTACAACCCCATGATGATGACCCACTGACATAGAATTGTCATTACTCATTAATCTGGGAAATATAGTCATACATTACTATTAGAGGCATACAAATTGTGTTGCAATCTTTTTATACTCCGTGCAATTTCATTAGGGATTTTATGTAAAACGTTAGATCCAGAGAAGTGATGTGTTTTGCTTATGGAACTAAGAAGAAACTAAGAAATGTAGTGATCGGATTGTTTTTCTTGTTCGGTGGCATCGAATACGGTTGGTATTGTTGGTATTAGCTACAAAAATTTGTACCATCCTTGCCCTTGGCGATGTTTACATTCCACATGTGACACTGAAATTCACGCGTACGCTACAGCCTTTTAGTTACCTCACTTTAAGTATCATAACCATCTTCAGTAACAAAGTGACAGTCCCATTTATGTAACAAGGAAACCACATGAAGTCTGAGGGTTTTGTAATATATTTAACATCATTCAATTTTGCTTGCTGCAGACTATATATTATATACGTAATAGTACTAATAGAATTAATGTATGGTTTATATGATCATGGTGATCCAAGCAGAGTGGAAAGTGTGCAAATTGGTGTTGGCAGATTTTCAAAAATATCATAGTTTAATTTAATTAAATGATAAACATCAATATTATGAGTCTCAATATTAGACCTACCATATAGACTGGTAAATGATATTTTCCTGTACAATGAAGTAAAATATTCCTCTATTACAGTTCATAAGCTAGTACCTGGTTTATTATTTGCCAGTCAACAGCTGTTAATTATCATACAGATGTACAATTTCTTGTTAGTTGTCTTACTGTAGCCAAATGAATTTTCATGATGCTGGTACATAGCCTATTTAATTTGCCTTTGTTTGCAGAGAAGATTGAACAAAACTACTTTTACCTCAATCCTGTCTTTAAACAGAAGGTTGGTCAGGACCAAAACTACTGTTATAATTGTGAATATATAAAAGTGAATATATTCTTATATTCTGTTCTGCCTGTTGGATTTCTTAAATTGGAAACATATGTAATATTATGTCTACATGTAAACACATATAAATGATAAACATCAATGTTATGCAATATATTGGTTGCATGATACATGCACTAGAGTCTCAATATTAGACCTAGCATATAGACTGGTAATATTTTGCTGTTCAATGATTATATTTAGTAAAATAATTTCCTCTATTACAGTTCATAAGCTAGTGGTTTAATATTTAATTGCCATTCAACAGCTGTTACCATACAGATGTATAATTTCTTGCTAATTGTCTCACTGCAGCGAAATAATTTTTCATGATACAGGTACATAGCCTGTTTAATGTGCCTTTGGTTGCAGAGAAGGTTAAACAAAGCTACTTTTACCTCAATCCTGTCTTTAAAACTCAACAGGTTGGCCTGGACCGAAACTATTGTCTGATAATTCGGGGGAGGGGGAATATTCATATACATATATTCTATTTGGTCTGTTGGATTGAACACATGTATACAGATGTAGCCTATATAACAATATTAATTAAAATAATTACTATCAGGAAATTTCATTAATTATGTAATTCCCAAATCTCTTAATAATTATATCAATTATATCACAAATTATTTATTTGAAATGGCACGTATCCTTACTTTACTGAAAATTACGTATACCGGCCTGTGCTATTGTTTTACTTGGCAATGTCCTATCAGTTTATGTGGGCCGCTTAGCTAGGTTGCTGACAATGTTGATTTTCTGTAATTCGACGCACGAATAAAAGGTGCGCGTCTGCGCGACGCTCGAAAAATAGCGTGAGGCGCGAAACAAACGTGACGCGCAAGATGGGTGCGAAACCTTTTTGAAGAACCTTCATGTTTTTGCCCAGAACCTCAGCAATAATAACATCCTAAAAGCAAAAATTGATCTGGTCTGTATGAAACATATCCCGGGAATTAGAAATTCTGTCTTGATGCAAACACATTGATGTTTGTTTGCCGTGAACTCGCAGTGTTTTGAGCGCAAAAGAATTGGGTCCAGCATCTATTCACTGCAGTTGTTTATAGCCCTTGATTTTTCATAATGCAGTCAAACTACACTTCCCTAGTATATGTGTATTCCGCGGACACCCCGGGCAATACTATTAGGAATATCTTATTCCAATTTCCAAATATCAACGACTACAGTAGTTTTATTTCCCATTTTTATGAAGGCAACCACCGAATGCTGTTGTGTTGCCATAGTGCTTGAGTTCAGAACATTCCAAAGCAACATGACTTATTGAAATAATATAAGGCATGTGCACGAGTTCTCAGCACGTAGAACTCTAACTGTGCTCAAATTCTAGTTTTTCAAGAAGTAGGCTATTCAAGCATTCTAAATATGGATTTGATTCAGGGTTGAGTGCATGCAGTTGGCTTGATTAATGGCAGGGCAGGAATTATTTCATTTGAACAGGGCTCCGTTTAGCTTTTGACGTATATAACTATCTATTATGGAATCGTTATATATATGTTCTACCAAATATTGCGCAATTTTGGACCGCCTATGGTTCTACATACTTCGATTGAGATCCTTTAGGTTTGAAATCAGGCAGTGCAAATCAGTTTTTTGCAATTACAAAATAATGGCGAAGCCGTCGCTTCCGCGCGTTATTTTTACGATTAACCTTTTCTTAACGTAGGTATGGTCTCATTATCAGTGCCAGAAAACATATGTATTGAGCCTTAGAGGGTGCATGGCCTTGATTGGATCCAAATCACTGGTTCCATATACTATATTATATCAATTATTTCCAATTATGTGATTTATAGCTATAATCTATCTTCATTTCGGCTACGCTCGGACTTACCTACACTATTCTATTGCTGATATTCTCAAAAAAAAGTTCTCCACGCCGTCTCCTGTGTTTTGTAATAGAATTATTCACTTTCATCCGAAACGTGGACAAATTGAGCCCGCTACTGCAGCCAATTTATATAGTTAAGGGGAGGATTCTACCCGCTGTCCATTTGGGAAAAAGGGAAAAAGATATATTTTTCCAAGAATTTTTTTTCTTATTCTTTTTTCAGGTGTTATTATTCCAACATTGTGGTTGTTTTTGCAGCATACGTTTGGTGCAAATGAAGGATATTACTCCATTGTTCTATCAGCTTTCAGTTTCTCAAGCTTGATAGCTAGTCCATTCTTTGGAGCATGGATAGACTTCACCCGTAAGACCAAGATAACGCTTTTCGTTGGTCTCTTCTTTGAAATTGGAGGTTAGAACTTTATTACTTCAACAATGGTACCGGTATATATAGATATGGTATATGCGGAAAGTCCACAGTTTTGTGGAAAGCATAATGGGCGAACAAATTATATGGTGCATGAGTGTTCTGGGCCGCTTGGGTTGACAGCCATGTGGGGTAGGTTTTGTCGATATACAAAAACAAATGTTTTTGACCGTGTAATGATTCATTGAATTTTCCACTCCATAAAAGCGCCATTTGGGTGAGTGCATCCATTGGGAATGGACGAATATATGATTAAGTGAAATGTAGCTACATACCAGCTTAAGCGTGCATTGCATTACCAGGTATTCGACGGAACATATTGTATACACTGTTTTCCGGTATATACAGTAAGAGAAAGAAATACGTTTCCACATTACCAGAGAGCCGCGTGGAATGCAGCGTCTTCAAACAACGTCGCAGCGAATGGCATTTCGAAACCTGTTCTCAATGCCTGAGTGTTCCTAATGCGACAGCTTAGATATACAAGTTCCTAATGCCCACATCTTGCCTACCTCTTTCCCACCTCTTGCCAATCTAGAATGCTGTTTTAATTATTTTTATTAACGCATTACAGTATACATGCTGTATATCTGTAGTGACTATATAGTGACTATTGTGCTTTGTAGGGAATTTTCTGTATTTCTCAGCATCGTCAAAGTATCTTCTCTTGGCCGCTCGAGTACTTTGTGGTATGTGTCGTATCAACTTCGCAAGCCAGGCTTTTCTACCTAAATTTGCTTTGATGTTCAACAGCAGTACAGCACGTTTTATGAAGGATATTCATTTTTTCTTCAGGGGTAGGGGATGGCGTTGGCTCTGTTTTATTCGCACAAGTTGTCAGGACTTCTTCAGTTGAAGAACGTACCTCAGTGCTATCGATGGCAATGGCTGCAAGACAGATTGGACTTGTCCTTGGTAGGTGATGCTTCCAGTAGATGAACCGTTCACGTATAATTTCCATGAATTTTGTTAAAGGTATCAAAGTTAGATCGTACTTGTTCATATAAGCACATGTACAGCATGCACTTGATCATTTTGATGGGAAAAAACCCGATTAAATTATATTGTTGAAGTGTAGCAATGAAATGAAGGTTGCAAAACGATGAAATAATTGCTATCAAATGATGACAATTATGATGATCAAATGATTATTGAAAAACAATAATATGATGGTTGAAAAAGCGTGTCTTAACATCTTGATGGGGGAGAAGGGAGGGGGGTGCGCCTAAAATTTGGTTGTTATTGGTAAATCAGCCAATGAGGCATGGTTACAGAGAATTGAATGCATGTTGCGTATGGTATAATGTACACACATTCACTCGACAGAGCCTACGAAAGTACACATAAATGACGATAAAAATTATTCTTGATGTACTATAACGTTAAGGCCTAAACGTAAAAATATCATGTTGTCAATATTTTGAGTTACCTTTGTTTTGTGTCTTTGTATGTACCAAATGTACCAAGATTTCCCTCTGTAATCAGTGGAACATGTTTTTGCATTGAAATATATTTTGGCTCAAGCCTGAATTACTTGCATATAACAATATATCAGTCATAGCGTGTAACGGTAGACTTGTTGTACGTCGTCTTTTTAAAAACCCACTTGGCCTGGCATTTACATGTGTACAACATCCACTTATTGACTTTTGTCCAAATCGCGTTTACAGCAAGACGTTTTACTAAAAGCTAGCCTATACTTCAGATTAGTATTTAAATTATGATACAGTGTTCATCGCTGTGGTATCAAAAAGCATGACCAGTTGGTCCTTACTTTTTCAATTATTTCTTTTCTTTCCAGGTCCTGCATTAAATCTTATCACTAAAAGCAGCGACTTCTATATAGGGCCGTTCTTGGTAAACAATTACAGATCACCAGGGGTAAATCCTTCGTTGATGGAAATAATTGTTATATTTGTTTATTTTCTTCTCTCTTCGTATAATCTTACATATTTTTAGATCTTGATGTGCGTTATTTGGTCCCTGATGTTCATACTTGTAAGCATATGCTACTATGATTTGCCAACTGATAACATTAAAGAAGCTAAACCGAGAGCAATAAATGACAGCTACACGGGTAGCGTAGAAAATGGTGATTCCGTGTCTCGGATGAAAACAATTAACAGACGACCTAGCATTGTTGATAAGTTGGTGTTATGGAAAGGTATGAGTGCATGGTAACCATTGTTCCGTATCATGATTTCCGGCATATTTTTCCATCGCTTTTCTTTAAAATGTTCATGCCTACATTTTGTAAAATTTCAAGTAATCTTTTTTTGTTTAATATAGAATTTTTTATTTTTAGAATTGCTTAATGAAGAAGTCATTGTGATACTAATGACGCAGTTTATTGTCTTCTTCGAATTATGTTCATTTGAGGTAAGCTAGCTGTTATTAGGGCCACGACTCGATAAATGGTAAGCAAATAAGAACATAGTTGCATGCAATTTCTCTGCGCGTGCGCCAGAAGATTGTCGAAAAAACAAGATTGCTGCAGTGTGAGAGTTAGATTATTTCACAGTACCAGGACTTGTGGCCAAAAATAAAAATGTTACCGGGATTTACTATACTAATCCCCGAGCCGGTGCGAAGCACCGGGCGAGGGTACTAATTCCGCCCGGAGATTTTAATTACGCCCGGGAATGCAAATGCGAAATGAAAGTTGTCCGCCATTATGTCATGGACGTTGGGCGTTTTTGTAAGTTATGCGCATGCGTGAGTATAAGACGAGTTAAAACTGGTAACTAGCAAACGTTTACAAACATGCTATTGGCTAAATTAAAATTTGGGTTCACGTCAGCATAACTGATATTTTGAAATATAAAACTTTTTTTAAATAACATTTTTCATTTGAATGGTCTTAAAAATATACGAAAAATTGACTCGTAAAATTGATTAAAATATAATGTAAAAGATACCTTTGGATAGAAAAATTTTCATTCAAAGGGATGGTAAAAAATCTACGATTGATGATAAATGGGTAGATTTTGTATTTTAAAGCATACAAGTATTTTGTATGTTTAATATGTGGATTTATCAACAAATGTATGACACCTCTTTGAATTTATTCGTCAATTTCGTTGAAATGATTTTGATTTGGAAAGTATTTATTTTTAAAGGTGAATTTGTTTAAAAAGTAATCGAAATTTCGTTAAAAATTGTAGTATTTAAAACTATTCGTCGCACAATTATGACTATAGTCGAATTTGATAGCTCGAGAGTCGACTTTATAATTGAACTTGATGGAAATATAAGCTTTATTGCTTCAGGCGAGGGGACTTTGCATGCAATGTATTTCTAGTAATGAAATTAATTCTATAGAGTAGATTGGTAGTATATTAAGCTAAATCCTTGGTTTTTTGCAGGCGTTATTTGCCCCGCTGATGGAGCGTTTATTGGGTTGGCAAGAAACCCGAATTAGTTACATCTATACCGCCATTGGGATAGAGGTGAATCGATGTATTCATATGATAATTGTATAGCGGTGTAAGCATTGAGATACATTCCGTCCACTAAATCGCTGTTATTTTTGTAGTCAATAATCGTTTATGCAATAGTAGGCAGAGTTAGTAAACGAATTGCTGATAGGTAAGTGTATTGCCTGAGCTAATGGAAAAAAGTGTGCGTAATTTATGTATTTCAAACTCATGGGGGTAAAATAATCGTCACTGACGCGTTTACATTATTTTTTCCTTTGTTATAACAAATAATATTTTTTTTCTTATTTTTCAGATGGTTAATGGTATTTGGAGTTCTTTTAGAATCAGCAGTACTCATTCTATATGTCGCTGTTTTAGCTCCGGCTCAGCCATGTAAGTAAATGCATTCTGTTTTGAAATTTTCTTGCAATATTAAATGTTCCACAATGCTACTGTACTCTGTGCATGTGTAGATTGTAGCGTAAAAGATGTAATTACATTAGACCTTACAACAGTATATCAAGTCATATGCATTTGGTATAAATCGATTAAGTGCACTTGTGTTTGTTTACAGATGACCCTACTATATTCCCAACTATATGTGTTGGCACATTCGGAATTGTTCTGGGTCTTCCGTTTCTTGCTGCAGGCGGGGTGTCCCTGTACTCTAAACTAACTCATGAGCGAACACAAGGTAACCATACTCGCGGGTGGTCAAATATTTTATCTCAAACCTGGCGAACTATCATATATATAATAGTTATATCGTTATCTAATTTTAGGTTTCCTCCAGGGTGTTCGTCGTTCTTTCCTCGGAATAGGCACAATCTTGGGTGCCCTCTGGGGTGGATCACTATTCCGTCATTTGTACATACTTCTTGGCGTCTTGGTCGGTTTATTTATCATAGCTGAGGTAGAATAAAAAATACTTGATACGAATTCAATTCCTTCGGGCTTTTGGTATTTTACTGTAAAATAATCACAATGGTAATACATGATTGCGAAACCAAATCCTGAGTAAACCTTATATAGGGAACATTATCGCAAACATAAGTAAATAGTATTGCCTAAGTAAATCTGCTGTTAGCCTGCGGTTTGCGTCTCCCGCGAATTTTAAGGCAGGCGAAACGAAGGTCTGTGTTCAGACTGATCTGCAGTTGTGCCACGCCTGTGAAAATAGATTATGCTTGTTGCCAAATTCGCTCTGGAATTGCCGTCGCTGTCTGAAGAGCTTGTATACTTTTATATAAAGGCTTTTCTCGGCTGTGGACAATTGTCCTTCAATCATGCGAAAACATTCGTTAATGGTTTTCTGGAAAGAAAAGGCATGCATCCCTTCGTTCTCCTGAAACCCATCAATATTCAATTTTATATGTACGCGCGTAGTGTGTAATACCTAATCTATATGTATTCTTTCCAGATTATGATGGTTCTGTCTTTTCGCCGATTGCGTGATCCAGGTAAGACCAAAGAGAAGCAGGAATCGACGAGCGAGGAGCGGCAACCTTTGTTGACGTGAAGACATTCAATGAATCACCAACTGTAGTCGGTTGAAAAATAAGATGTCCAGATAAGTGACGTTAAAAAGATTTTACAATTAATAGCAAATTATTTAATGAATCTCTACACGCATCTCACCTAATGTATCTTCCGTATATAGCTTATACGTGGTCGCCGGCCGATAATTGAAAAGCACTTAAGGCGCATAATTCTCACAAGCGAAACAAGCCCCTTTTACATATATCGGTGCTCATAATGTAATTGTTAATCTTAATAATAATCTTTATTTGTGCATTTTGCATCTACCTAATTTTATAGTAGAATAGAATGAAACTAACAATAAAAAATTGATTTACAACATTCGCCCTAGAATGTTAATAGTATTTATTGTTTTAGAGTGCGCACATTTTCCATATGACACTCTTCGGGGTTTCGTAACGAGAAATGGCGGGAAAATGGCTTCTTTACAGTGAATTTAGACGATAATCGATATTGGAAATTCTCGCGGCAAAAAAGCAAAAAATTGAGGGTACTGGAACATTCAAAGAATAATTTCGGGTGTCGTATAACGAGAAATGGCAGCAAAATTGATGTTCATGAATTCGAAATGGCTTCCTCACAGTCACTTATATTTTTCTGTTGATTTAAGGAAATTGTCAAACATTTTGAAAAACTCCATGAAAATCCTCTTGCTTCCTGTAGCCGTTTTTTGCACTGACCAATCAATTTTTGCTTTTCAATTCAGGGCTGTTTATGCTATCGAGTCGTACGCAAATGTTTTATCAGTATATTAGGCTATATTTCGGCAATTTAAATTGTTCTTGCTTTCTTTATAACAAGTTTTATTCTAAATTTTAATACATAATAAATGCCGGGGCCGCCTATGGTGAATTCAGGTTTGCAGAGCTTTCGGTCGGTGAGCCCGTTAAACCATCATCAGTGCAAATAAAACTAGAAAGAAACGAAGTTTCTTTTCTAAATATCCGAGCTCTGTATGGACCTAACGTTAACTATCATCAATCTACCGGTTTCACCCCTTCATAGGATAGCAGGAATGGTTTTTATATTAAACTTTTCTTAGCTCTTCGTGTGCAAGCGCGATAATTAAGCATTTGCGAACGCTTTTTGAGCTGACGTGATACGTATTGCACGCATGTTGGAAGACATGATTAATGACGTCACAACTTAATTATTTAATTACGTTCAAGAAGAACGGCCACTGGCCTGCCGTAAGAGCACGTTACGGCGATGTCATGCGGTTTACCGAATGGTTTTGTCGAACTTGAAGAGCTGGTTCATCGTGACGGAGTTCGGGACGAATGGGAGGAGACAGCGCGATGGATTACGCTCGAGGAGACTGTAGAATCGGATCGCTGGAGTAAACCACACGTGCCATGTTTATCCTTACACGGCCTGCAAAATGTTCGGGAGATTCTCGAAACTTGTCCGATAGTAACAGATCTTGCCGAGACGGAGATGACGGCGATCGTGGAAGCGTTGGTAGAAGAGATGGTGCGTTTTGGAACATTGGATGAAGGTCTTCGCGACTCCATTGTAAGGTTACTGTTGTTAAATCATCGCCATAAAAATCAGACGAAGGCCACACCGCTTACGCGTCGTCTCGACCGACATTTCACCGTTGACGTGCCGGAAGAGGATAAAGATACAACACCTAAAGACCAGGATTCCGTTACGTTTTCACGTTTCTCGTGAGTTGAACTCTATAATTTTATCAATTCGTCCCTAGTCGACCAAGATTTTGTTTCGAAACTCGGAAAAAGGCTTTGTTCAATCTGCGTGTTCATGTTTATGCAAGTTTTTTAAGGAGGAGACTTTTTTACTTGACTTAGGTTGTCTCAGGCAATCATTAAATGCTCAATACGGGCGCTGATATATAAACACTGTCACTGATATACCAATATGACCGCTCATCATGCAAACACCGCAGTAACCGCACTGCTGTGAAAATACGTGCTACGCCACGCTAATTTATCTGGTATTCTCTCTTGTGCTGTGGGGAACAAATTTGTATACAAGATTTTTATTCTCGCTAGGTGTCCATGTCTGTGTTTTCAAGTATGCCACAAGAACAGGATAGAACCTGGAAGTCCCAGGCGCTCAAATAACAAACAGGTAGCCGTGGATGATATGGATCTTGCCGAGTTTCGACTTCCCGAAAAATCGGAATCCACCACAGTCTTAGTTGGCTCTGTAAACTATTTGAAACACCCTATTTCGATATTTGCTCGTCTGGCCGAGGGTTGCCTTCTGGGCAATCTGATGGAAGTCAATGTTCCTGTCCGTTTTTTGTTTGTGTTGCTTGGACCCGAAGATGAACAGAATAAATATCATGAAACTGGTCGTTCAATTGCTGCCATGATGTCTGATAAATTCTTCCTTTCTCTTGTTTATAACTTCCAGGTAGGCTTTTAGTATAGTTATTTTCTATATAGAGTGACACATCGTGAGGATCATTAATTGAATATGTTGTGCTTAGAACAAGTCCTAGTCCTAGCCAAATAAAGTTACACTAAGCGTAACCTTACCTGGTCCACTAGGGACTTAAGGAATAACTCCGAGTCGGATCTTCTCTTCGGATCCATTGTTTTTCGATTTTTTTCATGAAGTTTCTTGGAAAGAACAATAATGACTGGGGAAATTACTGGCCAGTCTTTGCTTTTGCTTGTCTGAGTGTAACAGATTGTATGAACATAATATATATGATATATATTGAATCTGGCCAATGATTTCTGCATTTTTCCGAAAAAGAGCTACGTTGCACCGCTGGGTAGTCCTTCTGGTCCGCATAGCCATATAAATCTTTTTATTCCCTCGATCATTTTGTTTTATTCATCATGTTGACTTTCGTGAGTTTTATGGTGCGCTTTTTTGAAAATCAATTTCTACATTTCATTGTGTTTTATTGTTATCATCAACAAATAGCAAAGTTAATTCGAATAGGTGGATACCGACTCACTCGTATCGGGTCGCTGCAAGATTTAAGTAGATCTTACTCAGTGAATATATAAACTGTTTTAGGAACGTGAAGCTCTTTTACGAACAATTGACGAATTCCTTAACTGCTGTGTTGTTATACCACCGGGAGAATGGGACAGACAGATATTGTTGCAGACGATTCCGGTGCTGGAAAGTCAAAGCCAAAAGATGTTTCAGATTCGCAGACGAAAAAAAAGCGATGTACAGGAAGAAGATATAAACCAAGTACAAGGTCCCGTGGAGGACCCTTTGCAGCGAACTGGACGCTTTTGTGGTGGACTTGTCAGAGACATAAAACGACGTCTTCCTAATTACATCAGTGATTTCACTGATGCTTTTGATATCCACTGCCTTGCTGCCATCGTGTTCGTTTACATCGCCTCACTAGCACCGGCGATAACATTTGGTGGAATACTTAGCGAAAAAACTGGAGGTTGGATCGGAGTGTCGGAAACCATCTCAGCCACCGGTCTTGCTGGCATAATATTTGCGTTACTGGGCGGTCAACCGCTTACAATCATTTCCTTCACTGGTCCGCTGGTGGTCTTCGAGAAGAGTACCTACGAGTTGTCGGAGAACTTGAATATCGAGTACCTACCGTTTCGGGCCTGGATCGGGATTTGGGTTATGTTTATCTGTTTCGTGATCGTAGCTTTTGAGGGATGTTTCTTAGTCCGTTATTTCACGCGGTTCACCGAAGAAATCTTCGCCTGTCTTATAGCTTTCACGTTTGTCTATGATGCTATAGTCATCGTTGTTGATGAATACGATAATCCTATCGCAGTTAATACAACCATATCCAACATCACGACTACCACCACTACTAGTTCTTCGTCATCTGGCCACCTGGCGCTGCTGTTGGTTCTCGGGACGTTCATAATTTCCTACCTATTCCGCCGGTTTCGCCATTCCCATTTTCTCGATCATCTCATACGGCGAATTGTCAGCGATTTCGGAGTCCTCATAGCCATTTTATCAATGGTGGCGTATTACAACCTCGATGACGATACATCAGTTTCGCAGCTCATTGTGCCGGACGGTTTCGACAAGACGAAAACAGAGAGAATCGGTTGGTTCGTGAATCCTATGGGAAGTGGCAACAGTATGGACGTTTCGAGTATCCTTAGCGCCATGATACCGGCCATCCTCGTCAGTATCCTGATCTTCATGGAGGTTGAACTGACCGGCCTTATTCTTGATAAGAAGGAGTTCAAATTGAAGAAAGGCACTGGTTACAATCTGGATCTCATCGTGGTTGGTCTTATAGTTGGGCTGTGCTCTTTGCTTGGCTTCCCGTGGCTCTGTGCTTCGCCGATACACTCCATGTCCCATCTTCACGCGCTCATGGTGTTCAACAACAACCAGGCACCAGGAGAACGACCGGTGCTCATGGAAGTCAAGGAACAGAGGGTGACGAACATTGTCATCCACATCCTTATTGGACTATCGGCATTCCTCGCTCCGGCCTTACGCGCTGTTCCCATTCCAGTCCTCGCGGGAGTGTTGCTCTACCTCGGCGTCTGTTCGCTCTCACATATACAGCTGTGTGAACGTATCCAAATGTTATTCATTCCACCCAACCACCACCCGGATGTCTCGTACGTACTCAAAGTACAAACCAAAAAGATGCACACGTTTACCATAATCCAATTCGTATGTGTTTGTATCGTCATCCTAATCAAGCTAACCGTCTTAGCTCCAGCATTTCCGTTCTTTGTGTTGTGTTTGATTCCACTGCGCAAGTCACTAGAATATTTCTTCAACGAGGAAGAGCTTGAGTTGCTAGACAATGAAGCTGAGGAACTCAATGAAGACGAGTATGATGAGTTTGATGCTGTCCATGTACCGATATGAATATTTCTATAGAATTGCCTCAAAAACACTTATAAGATACGAATTCATTAAGGTCTCACTTGTATGCATTTTATGAATAAATCACGCGTATACTCTATAACGTTTGATCTTGCGCTCCGACAAAACTTGCATTTGCTGTGCACCTGTTATTTTCGTATTATTAGATCACTCCTGTGCACAGAACTGGCGAGCGAGCAATGACGCAGCGCGTCTAAAGCACGTTTTCCACTAGGCGAATTTCAATTCTCTCCTAACTACCTCGGCCCCTGAAACATGACAAAGAAATCAAACATACTAGGCTACATTTAATTCGTAACGGCACATTTATATATTTAAACTGTGCAAATAGCTTTTTCAAAGAATGTGTAGACTGCACAATTCATTCAGGTGGAGGATTAATGAAATATAAAATGCGTTATCATCTATTGTTTGATGTGTTAGTACATGTGAAAATTTGGACGTTTGATGAGACTTATGCCTGGTTCACACATGTCGTAAGAATCTGGGATTCCCTTTGTCTGAGGTCACTGGTACGCAAAATGCTTTGTCTATCGGCAAATAATACAATGGATCCCCGACTCTTAAGAACTAGTGTGAATCAGGCCTTATATATGACATTGCTGCTAGTTTTGGAGACTCCCCTATCCAGGTCTAAGGATTACTTTTAATTATATTTCATAATATGCAGGTTGCGTAATTTATCGAGATACAATATCTTATTGGACGATTGTTTCATTACGTATGAAATCCATTGTTTTCATCGTGCACAATTATTTCAAACTTATTTAGGCACACATCTCATTCAGAATAAAACAAAGTTCGCATTAACATGAAAAAAAATGGCGGCACAAAAACACGTCAGCTCAGATTTAGTTGATTGATGCATCATGCATATTAAGGTTGTATAGACTATATGCGACCAGATTAAGTTAAGGCTTGTCAAATAAATCATAGTGAGAGACAGTGGCCTTCACGGTTGGCATTCGAATGTCCCGGAAATCGTCGATATAAGTTATATTTATAGCTAATACTGTAAATTAAAATAATTGCATATGCATGTCTGTCTAAAGAAAAACGGTATTTATATTAGCATTTTATTACGGGATTATTTTGTGCACAAGAACGACAGTTTGCTCTTTTTAATATTTTCCTTGCGGCTAAATTATCGATTGCGAAAGTTTTTTATTGATCTATGTTGAAATTTTGGTTTAACTTGCCTGGTTTCGTATAGACCATATGTATATTCAACAAGACTTATATATCATTTCACGCTTCGTCATCCTCGGGTACAAGCGAGGCAAACGGCCCTTAATTGCATTTAACTGCATCTTTATGATGAAAATTATTGCAAAAGCATGCTTCCTATGGCCATTACGGTACTTGACTTTTGTCTTCAGAGGTTAAGAGCGATAATATTATTAAAGGAGCCTTTCGAACTACCAAGACATCATGTCCATAAATTCTATGATTATATCTATATAATTATTTCGAATTTTATGTCCTCCATTTATTTAATTATTTCAAAAATAACCTGTGGTACTCGGCAATGACCATGTATGCGATCAATTCTTCGAGTTTTCAAAAACGAAAAATTTAAATTGTCGCTTGCAAGTGCACGAGTGTTCCGAAGGATAGACGTATGAATATCCAAATACTTGTCTGGAGCGTGCGCAAACATGAAAATTTGCTTCATTTGCATTTATCAACACACAAACCACGCATCAATATCGACGACGTTGCATGCGGAGAGGAAGATGGCGGTTGAATGGCACCGATCAAACAGCTACGAAAATGCCTTGGCCGACGACTGTGCCCTTGCTACTGAGAAACTCTGCCCTTCCGTAACCACAGTATGTCGTGTTTCAAAGTCCAAGAGCAATACAGTACGAATCTCGCCGGAACAGGATGTTTGGAAAGCTTGTACACGAGAATTATTCCTCGAGTTTATCAACCTTACGTACAAAGTAAAAGTGGCAAGATGTGGTAGGTCAACAAGATGCTTATGTTAAAATACGCTCGAATATTCTTCAACTGAAGTCTGAGCAGTCAAAACTTTATGTTATTTATTTTTGTTCTGCAAGTCCAACATGCGATATTTTACCGCGAACTTGCTTCGTTCTGCTTCGCGGGCTTCAATACAGAATTGTCTATTCGTTTGTGAATTATTATGTCGTCATAACATGAAACGATAGGAACGGTTGAACTAGGATGGCGTTTACGAAACTTTCGTCGTCTCAACGCATTTTTCTCGAACCTTGCAAAATGTACAACTGTACGATTTAAAGCGATCATTCGGGCGACAGGTACCGGGTCAGTTTTAAGCGTACAAATTTCACCTAGAGAAGTTATAATTCATTCATTAGCTTGTTATCTTGGATATATTTCAAAACAATTTAAAATTCCATCGTTATGAAAAAAAGAAGTATCGAAACAGCGGGTCTTGTGCATTGAACACGGGCGAATCTTATTCTAATCCGATTTTTTAGAAGAAGCAGAAAACGTGTCCTGATGAACTCGCGTGACGTAACATGTAATCTGTTTAGGGAGCCATTGAGGATAACTGTAATTTAGTTTCGAACCGAGAGTGAGTCTTATATATATTTTTTCAGTCCACAAAGATTCGTGCGAAATGTGATGAAATATCATAAAGCTTTGAGCTCGGCGCAGCAACAAAACATGTCAGACCATGCTCGGTTGCGTTTCTGATATTGTGCAAACACACAACAGATTGAATTCTATAAATCCATACACTGCATGAATACGTATATATGCTGAGAATAATTCCAGTATAAAGCTTTAATTTAATAAGTCACTTGATGACTAAATTGTCATTACCTATATTTAGTGCATGGGTTAAAGGTGAGGTCGAATTGTACCGTAAATATAATTCGATTTGGGAAATTCTATTTTCCGTATATACATATATATAGTTATATAATTTATGACATAATGCATGTACGCGTGATTAAACGATATTCCTTTTGTCGTCTTGAACATTGAACAGCAATTGGTTTTTCTTTGTTTCATAATCTCAATCAACAGTGACATTTTCAGTGCAAACATTGGCGGCGTGTCAGGCTTAAGGTATATCTCTTCGAGCCTTCGGCTTAATTTGCACATGTAATACCAAGGCTTTGCCACCCGGGTGGCTAGCGACGAGGATGTCGAGAAAATGATTTCATCAATTTATCGTTTTAAAGGTGTCTCACGAGTCATTGCTTTATATAAATATATGATTCTAGCCAGACAAGCTATGGTAACAAAGATCTCAACATATGTATTTTACTGAGAGCTCGCTGAAGAATCGATATAAGCATGTCTGCGTTTCTATCCTCGTTGGTTTCAAATTACTGTTGATTAGTTTTTCAATTATAATAAGGATTGTTGATCTTTGACGATCTTGACTGGAATTTTTTTCCAGAAAATTTGAACAAAGAACGTTTAACTCATCGAATCAAAGCACCTTTTATCCTTTTCACATAAAATACGAAATTCGGTAGCCAATGGATTTCGACATCGCGCAGGTCAATGATTCAGAAACTGCAAAAGTCTTGATTCAACGCCGTACGTATATTACACGTGAATTAGACTTTGGACTGCTAAAACATGTATGTATATTAAAGATTAGGGTTAAGGTTAAATATATTCGCTTTTCGGGACCGATCACACAGCTACATTGCTTTTTTATGCCGTTGTCGAATTGATATAGGCATATAGTTTCGTACATGTATGTCCAAAATTTGTGACAAACACCATGATGGGTCCAGGGTGAATTAACGCAGTAGTTTTAGCTTCCTCGAATATTTCCGGCGATTACTTTAAAAAGCTATATTAACGCCGTGTTGGTTCGACATTTATAGTTATACTCTCAAACTACCTGCATTTGATTATAGCAACTTTCTCGGGATTGTATAACCGTTGGTATAAAGATACACCTTTCAATTGCTTGTCTATAATTAATATACACCCCAATGGCAAGCACATGGTAAAGTCTGATATAATCGTCGTTGACTCGATCCATGCATGTTGTTTTTTGCTTTCTTATCAAGATTTATCAACCTTTTATCTAAATCAGTGCTTTAAATAATCTTCTGTTCAGTTCAAGATATTAGCTAAATTTTTAGTAAATCTATATATATCCATGTTTATCTATGCACATGCAAATTGAAAGGTTAATATCCGATACTTTATTTTTTTGCTTTGTCTCTTAATTCCATACTTTGCATGCATGCGTGGCTAGTCTGCAGAACTCATGGTCGAAACATCTTAATTACCAGTAACAATTTTGTCTCTTGTTTTAATTGCTCAAAAATTAAGGTTACAATTATGGAGAAATAACCTCTAATAAGTGGAAGGAATGCATGAATCAAACATGTTTTGGTATTTAGATTTATAGGGCTTGCATGCGATGCCAAGTTTAATTGATGTACCATGGGGAACCCCGTGGAGATACCAGCGCCTATTTTAGCGTGCATTAGCTATATTGCACACTTTGATATTTATTGTGTATATATAATATTGAATGTGAATGTGTGTGGTGATGAAATTCGAAGAGTATCGTCTTAAAAAACCGATGTAAATATGATGAATAGAAACTATAGAGATCGATATGTAACAACTTGTTGACGATATAGCTACAGAGTGCTGAAATTGTTTTTACCCCCTTCCTCCCAAAACGAACGTGCAAGATGCATACGAAACCCAATCTACGTATATAGAGAGAGTCGATGTTTTCAATTATGGTTGCCTTTGCCCTCAGTCTCCCTGATTTTCTAATTTAAGGTGTACGGTATTGAGAATTCCTTAGAATAATAACACTACGGTTTGGACGGACTTGGTGCATTCTAAAAGTGACAAATGAAGTACAAGTATAACAAAAAACAGGAAGCTTTGACAAAGAGACTCGGCTAAGCACACAACTGAAAACTTAGACGATCAATATTTTGTCAAGAGAGATCGATAATAACAAGAATTCACTTTATAATTACAATTTCCGTTTATATAGTTGAGACCGAGAAAGACCTTTAAAAACCCACATATCTGCTTATCTCATTTGCATTTATATTTCTTTGTATTCTTTTTGTTTAACGTAAATATTATTCTTTAGAGTACAAACAAATTCTGCATGGTGTCTCAGGGCAATTTCGCACAGGAGAATTCATTGGCATTCTAGGACCTTCAGGTATCTGTACAACACGGCATATAGAATTAAATCATGACTATAACCATTACAATCATAATGTCGTTGGCCCTTCTCTAATTTTCGTTCGCGTACACTGCACATGCACACAGTGAAGAAATCACCATACACTTTTTTTATCGTCGAAAACCTTTCGACATAACACATGATTTGTTAGGAACAACCTCATGCATGACGTGACATGCACAACCTCATGATATGACATGACATTAATTTGCACAAACTTAATATTTTTTCTCTTAAGGTGCTGGGAAAACGACACTGGTGAATATTCTTGCCGGCTACAAGTACGCGCTATAAATTTCATTTAATAAACATCAACATACATACATATCTATTAGGATAGAATCTGATAAGCAGCGAAACCATGCATCGGCAACATTTCAAAAAATGGAACAAACAGTTATCTCAAAGTTGACCGAAATTGTACTGAAAATGCATGGAGCTCGTGACATATCTATATTCACAAATATACTCTATATATACTCTATATTTAGAAAATCATCAGTTTATAACTGATATGAATTTGCAATATTTAAAAAACATTGCTCGAGCTCGAACTCGAGCTTTTACGTTTTATCTGTTGTGTTTAAATCAAGTCTGCGTTTTAAGAAGTTATAATGACATAATATTATATTTCTTTTAATATTAGTATTCCATTTCATTCCTAAAACTAAAAAGGCTAGTCAGATCTAATCTTACTGATTTCCCGTCCGCGGTCCGCCCTGGTCCTGAAGGTGAAATGAGTCAAAAACAGTAGTGTTTGTTTCAGATTCGTCATCATTAAAAATTTCCTATCAATATTTATGCATGATAACGATAACGATACTTTTAGTTTGTGGTTAATAGCTGCAGACTATAATGACAGGGGGTGGGGATCCAAGTGACCAAATCGTCTGAGACTAATCTGGAATCAACTTTAGTCGTTTTTCGAATTCCATTCTTAATTTCGTTTTACAATGCACTGCTTTATTCTCTTCACCTTATGAAATGTATTTCTTTGATATTTTTACCCTCTCAACATCAGGAGTAATGAAGCCGATGGCACGGTACTTATCAACGGCAGACCAAGAGACTCGGATGAATTTCGCAAGTTATCATGTTTCATCATGCAAGACGACATTTTATTGCCTTATTTGACAGTACTGGAATCCATGATGGTATATATAATAGATTGATACAATCATACAAAAACTTATGAATGTGAATTGAAGTTCATTGGAGTAAAGTTTTATTGAACTGACTGGCTGCATAGCCATTTTGAGTGTCGTCGGTTCGGTTGGGCAAAAGGACCTTAGGCCGCGAATGCCTATAGGCGTTAATTCTTTCTGTCACTCTTATCTGTCACTATATATTTATTATATGCAAATTATATTAATTTGTTAGTTGTCATTCAAGAAAAAGCTAACAAAATGTTTAGAAATATATCACACTTTCATCGCGGTGATTCTTTCACTGTTCAAAATTGCATTCGAGAAGAAGAAATTCTATTATTGCATGCACACAATTTCATATAAATCATGGTTACTATAAGAGTATTCCATATAGCTATCCATTTTACCTTTTAAATCATATACGTTTTGCACGTTTTCAAACATGTGTTAGGCTACGTGTCTCCAGTAAATCATTGCAATATGGTTTTCACATCCTATCGATGCTTTAATATTAAAGACTGTGAATCAAGGCATTGCAAGGCTTGTATCAGGGTCCCACGATCACGATATACGATAAAATGTTACAATATCAGTGTTTGAATTTTTACGATGTCGTATGTACATTTAGGTCTCAGCTTCACTCCACCTGAAGAAAGATCTAAGACAAGATGAAAAACTGGCGATAGTGAGTTTGTATAAGCATGCATAATGATAGTATAAGAACAATTAATATACAATTTTCGTGCATTGGCCTAAAGGAAACTGAAATTTGCCACCCAATTTCATGCATCCACCATTCGTATAGACTATAATGGATTGCCTGACGTGTAAATAACGTGTAAAATAAATGGCAAGTACATTGTATGGTAGTTTAGTTTTAATGAAAGAAAATTAAGCTTGCGATATGTATTTAGGTACACAGCATACTCAATCAACTGGGCTTACTTGAGTTGTGCAATACACGATGCAACGATATTTCAGGGGGACAACGTAAGAGGCTGGCTATCGCCTTAGAACTGGTGAACAACCCCCCAGTTATTTTTCTTGATGAGCCAACTAGGTATGTAAATTACAAGTTGAATACCCTTGTAATTTTCTCGATTCTCTCTCTTTTTTCACCCACAGGTAGTATATCTTCCCAACCTTTGACCGACTACTGTCGACCGGTATCGGCAGTGTATACTTTGCTATATATATCTGCTTTCTGTTTATCATTTAACTTGTTTTCGTCGAGGATTCTATCATTCATCGTATATGTATTCGGTCCTCGGTTGATTTTCAATACTAAGTAACTCTCGTTTGCTTCTTTTCAGTGGCTTAGACAGCGTGTCTGCATTCCAGTGCATGAACTTACTCAAAACTCTCGCTTCGAACGGTCGTATTGTTGTGTGCACTATACATCAACCAAGTGCAAAGTTATTTGAAAGATTTGACAAAGTAAGTTTTGGTGTACACGAGTTGAATTCCAAGGTCAAGCCCGTTCGTATGTGCGTTTATCCTTATATAGGATCTTGCATGCGCATATGGCGGTTGAAACCTTTTCGATCCTCGGGTCCTGGGACTATAGATTATATAAAAAGGTAGTTAACTTTTAACTATCCTTGTTTTACCTATTAGCCAATGAGAATAATTTTTGCGTTACTAAAATTTAACTTGGCAAAATGTAGTTAAGATGCACGGATCCACTTGGACAAACTAGGGTTGAAACAGCGTGCATGCAAGATATATCTTAAGGCTCAAATAGTGTTTAATATGCAAAACACTAGAGATTTTTGAAGGATAGAGTAAAATCCAAAATCAGATGCTTTTAGGAAAGCTAAAAATAGTAATTGTAGATCTGATATGCCGTTTAAAAACTTTAAGTACAACCACACATACATTGTTTAATTTGTGAAAATGTTGCTTCTACTTTCAGCTATATTTGTTGGCTGAAGGTAACTGCTTATATCAGGGAACCGTTGATGGCCTGCTACCATATATGAAAAAGCAAGGTTTTCACTGTCCAAACTATCATAATCCAGCTGACTACGGTAATTATAGTGAAAAGATACTCTTCGTAACTCTAAATCACAATTCCGTTCTTTCAGTCAATGTCACAAATATCATGCTATATAGCACATGACTATATATTGCATTATAACTGCATGCAATGAAGTTTAGTGGTAATAAACCTCCATGAATCAGTATTATAAAGAGTAAACTCTCTATGTTTGATTTTTACTCTGTGAATGAAATACCGTCATTATCCGTACTTTTACTACTTTATATTGATATTGCCAATTTACAAGACTATCTTTTATTAGCTATATAAATGGGTTATTAAATGCCTGACTACAAGGCGTGAATTTGCCATACAGCGCACAGATTAAGATAATGCTCGACATACACTAATGGCTTATGAAACAAGTTTCTTTCAAAACATTCTTACATTTCGAAAGAATCATGCGTCTATGAAATAGGTAGGCTATACACAGATGCTTGACTGTAAATCGTATGGGACAACTTATCTCCTGGTTGCAGAGGGCTGGGTGTGTTGGAACACACTATTTTTGTCTTTTCCAAAAGAAAACATTTTATACTTTATCCCCATTTTATTTCACAGTTATTGAAGTTTCATCCGGTGAATATGGTGATGTAGTTCCACTTCTAGTAAAGGCATGGGACGCTCACGTTGCGGAAAATGTGTCCCAGGGAAGTTCGACGAGCAGCAGTTCGAGCTCGAATTTCAAACAGATGATGGTCTCGATGCTCCCTTGCACTATGAAAACTGAAAATAAAAGTATATTTGGCGGAGTAAGCCAACTTTCACAGGTATACGAAAGTAACACTGAGGAACATATTACACTGATTCCTGATCTTAGGAACAAATGGAAATGGTGCCTTAAATAGAGTCATAACCCTAAAAAGAACTGATATTTTGTCTAGTAATTTCGTGGTAAAGGGTGATCTTCAAATCAGTTTCCATTCACTTAATTTTTTAAATAGCCAAACATTGTCTTGCTCCTTATAGTTTGTCCAACCGGGCAAAGTTTGAATTGTGGTGTGCAAAGTTTGGTTTTGAACAGTGTATCGAACTTAATTTTTTTTGTAGTTCGTGGTTTTGTTCAAACGAGCTCTGCAATCCCTGATCAGAGACAGATTGTTCACTCACCTTCGTGTCGTCTCAATAACAGCAGTCGGCATCCTGATTGGTTTGTTATACCTTGGAATTGGTAACGATGGCAATAAGGTTTTCAACAATACTGGTTGCTTGTTCTTCTCTTTGCTGTTCCTGATGTTCACATCACTCATGCCTACGGTTCTCACATGTGAGTACACTCGGCAATCAGCATTATAATCTAATTAGCAAATAGATAACATTGAACCGTTGCCTGTTCAGTTATAGATACACCGTATGACGCCATTTGTGATAGGAACAAAACAAAGTGGCCACGAGCCTATTTGTTTTATATAATAAAATCGAAAAAATTCCGAAATTAAATAGGCAATTAAATGGTCTCCCTAACGCTTGGAAGATTGTCAAAGTAGAAAATTTGCAGATATCTCGCGTACATGATCTATAGGATTGACGAAACGCTATTGGCTAGCTAAGACACGTGCTAAAATGTGATTGGCTGACAAAATAAAACAAGAGATGACAGATTAAATTCGTTAAGAGTTCATCCCGTTAACAGTGCGTTCCTTATAGATCATGGCTCTCGACCAATAAGATTTCTTGAATTCCTAACGTTATTGTATAATTCTCAAATAGTACTAGCATGCTCATGATCATTATAATTAACAATTATACCACGAGCTCGAGTCATATATGAGCTGATAGCCGACAAGGTGCGTAGCACCTAATTTCGGTCAATTTCTCCTTTATTTACCTCAGCAAACCGGTCAGCCATTTTGCTTTTTCTTTGGTTTTACTACCCACCGTATATGGGCTGATATTCGGTGGGTAGCTCGACCAATCAGATTGCGGAATAGCTCATATACAGTGAGTAGCTAAAATTTATTATACTTATATATACATCCGGGAAGCTTAGCTAATACCTATTTAATATAATATCTCCTTGTCGGGTTTTTCTCAATCTGAATGAGCAAAGTGAGCTGTAAGACACGTTTATTTGTTATATGATTACCTCTATAATCACAATCCTGTAGGGAAATGCATTAAAACTTTATACTCCTACTTCACGAAACATGCAATTGTCTTCATACAGGACATTAAGATAGTTCATCACAATAAACGAATAGTACAAATGATTATTAGATTGATTATTACCTGATTGTCATCGACTTTTTTATTCCTTTATCTCGCATCAAATTCTTCATGCACCAACGAACTTTGATGGGTAAAAAGCCTTCATTTTATTTTGTTCAAAATTTTAGTTCCATCAGAAAAGCTGATATTTATCAGAGAACATCTTAACAACTGGTACAGTTTAAAGTCGTACTACTTAGCAAAAACAATGGCCGACCTCCCCTTTCAGGTATAGCTTTATAACTTTTGTTTTATTCGCGGGTGACGCATCCAAGAAATCATAGCAAGTGTAACAACAATAGTAAATGTTCTCAATCGTTTTCCATGCTGGTAATTCTGAACTTCATGTCGACACCGATTACCCATTCACTTGCAAGCATTAGGGAATCGATCGAGATTTTCCTTCAACACACGTTTTTTTACATTTTAGATCGTATTTCCTGTGATCTATTGCCCTATTGTGTATTTCATGACTGACCAACCGTATGAGGGAATGCGATACTGGCAGTTTTTGACTATAACCATACTGACGTGTCTTGTTGCACAATCTATTGGGTTGCTGATTGGAGCTGTTGCCCCCAGTTTGTCGGTGCGTATAACCAGAATAATTTTTTGTCATAGTGCATGCGTGATGACATAATATCTAATCATAGATATTTATTTTATCATATAATGATTATTGACCGAGCGTGAGGTCAGTTCTGTGAAATATCAGACCGAGGCTTTTTAGTGTGGACGGAGCGAAGGAGCGAGGTTCATGCAAAAAACCTCGGTCTGATATTTCACAGTACAGATCGAACAAGGGAGGTTATTATATGGCTGAATTACATGAGACATCCACCACGGTCCGGATATTGGTTTTTACGGACCGCTTGTCAACCAATCAGAATAGAGGATATTGAAAAGCCATATAGCTAATAATGAGTTTTAGTGCACGCGTTTTGCATTTTTCTTCGCGAAATAACTAGACTGTGCAACATGGCAATTGAGAGAAAAACCTTACCTTGACACGTAGCTACATTTACAATTCACGACCATTGAGCTGAAATAGATGATGGGCAACCTCAGAGTTTCAGACAAATTAGGACGACTTGATCAGACAAATACGTCTTCATGCTTACCCGAAACTCGGATCAGTAACAGTCTCGCATCTGGGGATCAAACGGCATATTTTAAAAATAGTTTTGTGTTTAGGGTATATCGACTTGTAGGCTCGTCTTCAGGTTTTACACAACTATAGCCACAATGCACTGTGATACGGAATATTAACAAGACGAGTTTTAGTATGGCATCCAATAATCATATCTAATTTTTTTTTCGAACCTTGTAGACTGCTGTTTTTGTCGCCCCGATAACGGGTATTCCAGTTCTTCTATTCAGTGGCTTTTTTGTGAACTTCGAGACAATCCCCAATTACATGCAGTGGTTGACGTATGTGTCTTACGCAAGATACAGTTGGGAAGGTATTATCGTCGTTATTTACGGCAACAACCGAGCACCACTCGACTGCGACGCAGCCCGGTGTATATTTCGGAACTGTTCCGATGTTCTGTCCACAATGGACGTAAAAGAGGACGCTTTGGAACTGAAGGGAGCAAAAATCTATTTAAATTGTGTTGTGTTGGGGGGATTTTTCTTAGTACTTCGTTTGGTTACATACTTTGTCCTACGGTTCAGATTATGGTCTCACAGGTGAAGCTATTTAGAAGTATAAGTTATTCACTTCATCGTCCATACCTCTAATTATATATATAGATATATAATTAGACTAAATGGTTGATTTACGCTATCAAATATTTCCACTCATTTTAGAAACTTTAGTTGAGAGTAATTAATCACAAAACCCCCATGATCTATATAAAGTTTTGATAGTATAAATCAGCCTGTGGGCTTTCCTTGTGATAAGACTGTGGTCGCATTTTTGAAGATGGGAATAATAGTAACAATTTGAGAAAATTTAAATTTTGAGAAAACGCAAGGGTTCGTATATAAGCACTTGATATTAATTCAAGTCTATTTGCATCCACCATTATTCTTTTAATGATTTTGAATGATTAACACTCCAGTCACAAAGCACGCTATGAGGGCTATGGTGAAGGGGAAGTGTAGTAAATCTATACAAGTTTGATCCTAGAGGAAGCATCGCGAATTCAACTTTCTTTCACTAGGGGTTTGGTCAAGCTTTCATGTGACCCATTTGGTCTTAACCATATATTTTTAATTTGGTGCACGTCACATTACGCCGACTGCTTTAGGAAAATGTTATTGTAGACCGTGACATTGGTGTCCATAGATCAAGGAACTTTTATCTCGGTTGCATGCATGACCACAGTCTTATTATCATTTGCCCATATCATATATCTTTTCCTATTTACAAACCGCGCTTAATCATATATGTTATACTGTATGAATATGTATCTAGAATTATAATCAAATATTATTGAGACTCAAAACAGCATATCAAATACCATTTGTACACGTATAGCGTCTATCAGGTCCGCTGCAAGCGTCGCATTTTTCATGTACCAAAGCATTACTTGCATGACAAAATGGCGGCAAAAAAATCTTGAAAAACCAACATGGCGGCCATGACTTGTTTGTTTGTTTGTTTGTCTCTTAGACAATGAGTATAATGTATCCAAGGCAACCGGATAATTGCTGAAGTTAGCCTATTAAAGAAATTATTACTTCATCGGGCGGCTTTGGTCTATTAAAACATATAGGTTCCTCAAACGATGGGAAAACAAGATTTTTAATTTAGCCGGTTCGTTATCACATGATGACACGCAGATACGTATGGGATCTACATAAACCCCCATTTCTGTGGTGTCAAATTCAAATTAAACTGCATAACAAAATTTTCATCGTGGTCCCAAATCAGAACCAGATTAATATTATCGCGATTAAAAGTGCGTTAAATTTCAGACAAGACTAGTTCCATTTACTCAGAATAGAAAATATATCGGTCGCCTCATGCATATCTTTCAGACAGCTACATCTCGTCGAATTAAACTTTTTTAAATGAAGTAAGCTAGTGCACAGTATCAACACGTGTGCCCAACAATTTTTTTATCGTCCCTGGAACATTGGGGCGCATGAAACCACTTAATTGCACTTGTTTTCGGAATGCTGAATTGTGAAACAGTCCCTGACTATTTTATTATTGTATTTAGACACACCAGACATAATCAAACACAACTCGCATATATTTGAAACAAGGAGTTTATTCTAAAAAATCACGCGACAATTTATGGTCTGACTTTTTATACGTCGAATGTTGTATACTTGAATTTTTAGTGTCGAATGTTATATATTCCTGTCCATTGGTGGTCTCTGTCATTGAAGCCAAGCACAGAAGAGCAATTTTTCCCACTACAATCTTCATACTAAGATTTTTACGTATATTATAAAACAAAACATGGCTCATATTTTTGAATCAGAAATATCGTGCGTGAAGAAAATTATTCTCCGAGGATATGATTGCTTGTCTGTGCATGGGTAACTAGCAAATTAAACTGATCAAAAAGAAATCATGAATCACTCAACAAATAAAAAGGGGGGTTCCCTGAATCAGTTCGTCTCTTTCGCTAAACTAAATATCATTAAGATGGTGATTAACAAACGCGGAGCTGAAATGTAATGTCCCAAGCTTGCTGGACGGCGCAAGGGTCGCCCAAGTTTCTTCAGTAAACGAGGGATGTCATCAACGTACAATCTTCCAGCTCCGTTATCAATCAAATTCTGAATCTTACCCTCCGAATCATCCAATTCTTTTTCACTGAATTTCATTTTGTATATGGTCCACGCTCCGTAACTAAATTCCTTTCCGTATTTCGTCTTGAACATCTCATAAGTATCATTTGAGTATTTGGCGTTGTTGTAAATATCATAATCCATATCGAGGCTGGAGGCACCGATTGCTTTAACCAATGCTGGTGTTTCCAAAATGAATTTTCCATATTCAGCATCTGATACATTTTTTACACAGTCCTTTACACCTGGAAGTTGTTCCAGATCCTTTTTAGACCCTTTCAAGAACTTCTCGCTTTTCCAGTAATTTTTGGTGAACAAAAAACATGTGTCTATTCCGCTAAGTTCCTTCCGAGCATGGTACAATTTGAATGGATCGAATGAGCTCATAACCACCTGCTTTTCGAGTCCCATTCTCTTCACCATCCTCGCAACCTCAATACCAGTCTGTCGGCTGTGGTTCAGATTATATGGCGGGTCGGATGGTTTCATCTCCAAGATCATGAGCATTCCAGAGCCATTCATCCACTTTAACAGATCTTCCAAAAGTGGTATCTTCTCGGTTTTTGAGTAGTTATACACACGATCTCCTTAAAACACCCGGAAAATTTAAAATTTAGATGTTGTAAAGCCATATTTGCAGCGTGAGATTTTTCAAACGGTATAATTCTTTGAAGAAGGTTCAAACGTCGGAAGTTATATGCCATGCCTTCGGCTGTTTCTGAACCACTAGATGATGGTTCAGCATGCAAGAAATGGGTAGATTGGATATAACCTTTTCTGCAAATGGATTGATTATAATGATAATAATAATATAAATTAAACAGTTTGCCTATATTTGCAAAATTTGTCCCAGTTCATTTGGATTCTGGATTCGGATACTGAAAGTTATATGATGTTGTTTAAACTTACTAACTGCAGTGCAGTTTTTTTATTTTGTTTATGTGAGAAACGTTTTTTGAAAAAGGACCCGAAAATTAGCTGCACCATAAATCATGCAATCTGTCGCTTGAGCCATCGGAACTAGGCTTTATTAAGGTCACAAGAAGTAGTAGATCAAATAATTTTACCGTATTTTATCTGTTTCTTTATGTCAAGTTTCTTTATTTCATCATACGTCATCTCCATGATATTGTGATCCTCTCCCGTTAGTGTCTGCGAATAATATAAAATAAAATAAAATGAAAGGAAAGAGTTTAAAGATATGGGGAAACACACCTTTATCCAGATTAGTCTCAGGCGATGGGGGGGGGGGGGGGGCAGAATTTAGTGAAAATTTATGTGTCGATGCATACAAGAGAATGTTGTGTTCTCGCTTTCGAAAGTGATTTAGATGTCTTCGAGTTTTTTACCAGACGACTGCATGTGCTTCCTGAAGCTCGTTAGCTGCGCTTTTACTTCAGAAATATACAATGTAATCCTTTAAAATGAAAAAGCATCTTTGCCACCCGCTGGTCAAAGGCAGGATGGCAGCTGAACCCTGTTCTGGCGGCGCTGAGTATGTGATAAGGCTAAAATTTGTAGGCAACATTACATGATCCCTCCCCTTTTATGCCTTGAATAAGGTATCATGTGTCAATATGTCAATTGGGGAATATTAAATTGCAGTTGAGGAGATTAAAGTTTCAAAAAATATAATTATGAGAAATTCTTTTTAGACGTTTTATTTCACCCTAGATATATAATTAATATTCATTCATTAATTAAAATCTAGTTGCTTTCTTTTGAGGGGAAAAGCAATAAAGCAATCCGCCTTTGTCAGATGTATCATTAATTTAACAATCGACGAATAATGCTACATGCATGTGAAATGTACCTTTAACAATATTACCTACAGCATTAATCGTGGTACGGGAGTAGTATTGTCTGGCTTGTACAGTGTAATTAAATATATACAATATGTCCATATTATATGTCGGTCCAGTGCCGTCCACATACCGTTGTGTTAACATCGTGAAACAACACCAATTTCTTATCCTTCGTTAAAAATATATCCGTCTCAAAGCCGTCGACATTTAGATCAAGTAAGCTCTTGTAACCATCCAGGGTGTTTTCTTGGTATAAAATCGGGTTTCCTCTATGGCCTATTACCAATGGTTTGGTTTTCGTGAAGAATAGATTATCTTTTGTCATCTTCGAAATGTCTCTCTTCGACGCCTCGCATGAGACCATACCTGCTGCATACGTCGAAGGAGCAGACAGCAATGCTAAGAGAAGGATCCCGGGGAATTGGTAGTGGCTTATCATAATTCAGGTCCTGTTGTATGGAAGATTTGTCCTCGTTCTCATGAAAAGATAGTGGAATAAGCGCTTGAAATAAGTCGCTAATACCTTAATACAATCGCGACGAAAGCCTGTTGAGTGGAAACTTGATATTTAAATTGATTTTATTTCCTGATGATGGACATTAAAGTTAATTATAAAATGCTGACGTCTAGGATGTGATCCCGGGAGATTATTTAACTGAGGTTAGCAAAATATTGCACAATATTTATCCTAGTGTATAGTGAGTGCTTCCTTGGTATATATTCGCACGTGAGGAAATTGGTCATTTCAAAAGCCTTGAAATGATTATATCTGAAATAATATAATATGAAACCCTCTTATAATGTAGCTTCAAGGCAACAATTTTTCACAGTGGCCGCGGAAAATCATTAAGTGGGCGGCTAATATTCATAGAACCGTGCAGGTTAGCAGACTGTAAATACAATCAATGTCAAAAGAAAACAATAATGCTGAACGTGAATATTTTAATATTAACCCCTCCCGCACTTGTAACGACCTTTGGCGGCCACGGTACCAAAAGCAACACGGAAATTTCTAGCTTGACAAAAACGAAAATCCACTTTGCACATCCCAGGAAATTTTTAATCAATAATGAAAAACCCACCTCTTAATTGCAGTCTTTGCGAAAATTATCATTTTACTTATTCTGTTCTTAGACTTCTCTTTTGAGTATTTCGATTTTTGATTGACTCAGTTTTTTTTATTGACGGATGTTCATCCTAATGGCGAATGCTTGTGAAACGTATATCCCGCCGCACACGAGAGCTATAGCTAAGCTAGAGACCTCGCGTGGCTGTTAGCTTAGCAAGTTACTCACGTGTGCGAATAGTTTTCGTGAGGAATTCGTCTCGAGGGACAAGTTTCTTTCATGTGCGGATGGTTTTCGGGCTGAGCTACCTGCCTCGCGAGGTCGTTAGCTCAGCCCGAAAACCATAAAAAAAGAACCAAAGACTGAAAGGAGAATTAAAAATTGTCTTGGATAAGGCCATAAAAATATGAAATCACAAATAGGGGGACTGAGTAAAAACATGCATGTTATGGGGTTCGTTGACGTCGGGACGTTTTACCAGCTAGAGCATTTCAGAATTGTGCGAAAAGCGATGAATTCTATAGACAGTCATAAAATATTTGAGTTCTATATATATATAATTATTATAACTTTTCTACGAATTTAGTCTACTTGTCAAGGATCTATAATTATTTTCTAAAAAATAATTTTTTTTGCACATACGACTTTATCGATGTTTTCGTCGTTGCATACAAAGTATACTATATGCATGCAAAGTATACGGTCATATAATAATACAAAGTTTGTTATATGTATGAAACTGATCAGAAAGAAATCATCACTCAAAAAATAAAAAGGGCTTTCTGAAATGATCTCCATGTTTTTCAATAAGTTTATCTCTTTCACTAAACTAAATATCATTAAGATGGTGATTACTAAACGGGGAACTGAAAATCTGAAATATATAATGCACCCAGCTTGCTGGACGGCGCAAGGGTCGCCCAAGTTTCTTCAGTAAACGAGGGATGTCATCAACGTACAATCTTCCAGCTCCGTTATCAATCAAATTCTGAATCTTACCCTCCGAATCGTCCAATTCTTTTTCGCTGAATTTCATTTGGTATAAGGTCCACGCTCCGTAACTAAATTCCTTTCCGGATTTCGTCTTGAACATCTCATAAGAATCATTTGAGTATTTGGCGTTGTTGTAAATATCATAATCCATATCGAGGCTGGAGGCACCGATTGCTTTAACTAATGCTGGTGTTTCCAAAATGAATTTTCCATATTCAGCATCTGATACATTTTTTACACAGTCCTTTACACCTGGAAGTTGTTCCAGATCCTTTTTAGACCCTTTCAAAAACCTCTCGCTTTTCCAGTAGTCTTTAGCGAACAGAAAACATGTGTTTATTCCGCTAAGTTCCTCCCGAGCATGGTACAATTTGAATGGATCGAATGAGCTCAAAACCACCTGCTTCTCGAGTCCCATTCTCTTCACCATCCTCGCAACCTCAATACCAGTCTGTCGGCTGTGCTTCAGATTATATGGCGGATCGGATGGTTTCATCTCCAAGATCATGAGCATTCCAGAGCCCTTCATCAACTTTAACAGATCTTCCAAAAGTGGTATTTTCTCGGTTTTTGAGTAGTTATACACACGATCACCTTAAAACACCGGGAAAATTTAAAATTTAGATGTTGTAAAGCCATATTTGCTGCTCAGGTTTTTTCGCGCGGAATAATATATATTTGAAATTTGAGGAAGGTTTCTAGGTTCATTCGTCAAAAATCCTATTCCATGCCTTTGGCTGTTGCTGAACCACTAGATGATGGTCGCAGCATGCAAGAAATAGGTAGATTGAGTAACCTTTTGCTGCAAATGAATTTATAATCGATAGCCAGTTCGCCTAATTGCAAAATTTGTCCCAGTTCGATGAAAATGAATCCGATTGAATCGGACAAAACAGAATTTTAACGTATATATATTTATATACTGATTTATTACATTTTACTATCTAGATCTTTTTACCATATTTTATCTGTTTCTTTATGTCAAGTTTCTTTATTTCAGCATATGTCATCTCCATAATATTGTGATCCTCTCCCGTTAGTGTCTGTGCATGAATAATATAAAATAACATAAAATGAAATAGTTAAATATCTGGGGAAACTACATAAACTACTGTGGGGAAAGATAAACTACAACAGAGTCCCTGGAAAAGAGCACTTGAAATAGTGAAGAAAGTTAAATAGTTGTCAGTGCACGATTGTGCCCCATGCACTTACTCTGCCTTTGGCGGGGATGTAGATTTAAGAAATTACGAATATGCTTGCAATTGTTTTAAAGAGTATGTGCAGGAACGGCCGGAATGATGCGATGGCAATGGCCGGGGGAGGGGAAGGAGCAGATTTTAGACAAAATTTCGGTGGCGGAGTTTTCAAAACATCGTCTGTTGAACTTCATTTCATTGTGTTTTCCCTTTGCAAAGTTTAGGTGTCTTGGAGTTTTTTTACCAGACGATTGTGCTATTCCTGAGGCTCGTTGGCTACATTTTTACTTGAGAAATGCGAGGGCTGCTTCATTTATTGTTCGGAGTACAAGATATCTGGAGAAGTAATGGAGCGAAACATGTCACGTGAAAGTCCGGAAATATTTCGTGCGCGTAACATGACGACAGTAGCCTAAAATCTGTAGACAAACAGTATACCTAGAACCCCCCCCCCCCTTTTTTATGCCTTGAATAAGGTATGTGTGAAAACGTCAATTACAGAATATTGAATTGCAGTTGAGGAAATTAAGTTTCAAAATATAATTATAAGAAACTTGAATTCCTCTTGGACATTGAATTTCGCCCTAGACATAAATAATATTCACATAGTATATAAAATCTTAATTAATGGCGCCGGTCTATTGAGCATCTCGGGTACGCGTTCCTTCCTTCGAGGTATGCTTTTCTGGCTCTTATCCTTGAGTGTTTGTTTGTTTGCTTTTTGTTTCCCTTCCACGTGCTGTCACTTCCAGTGATTCGCGTGTGACTGTGTAATCACGGGATGGAGAGGGTATATCGTTAAGGTCCAAGATGTGATGTGTTTGTCAAGACAGAGGACAAACACGTAGGATGTTCACATCAACGGGGCCTAGCTCGATCGCATCGCCAAGCACGTTCGCTACGTCGGCCATTATTAGTTAGTATAGGCTAGGTTGAATGCTCACTGAACCTGCAGTCCTCCTGTACGTTTGCGGCGGCTCGCCGTAGAGCTGTGTAAAGCATTCTTTGAGATCATCTATACTATTCTATACTATTAATCTCTAATTGCACGAGCAACATCGCATGATTATTAGTTTATTAACATAATAAAATCGTACAACTTTCCTAGCGAGTGAAATTTTTGGTGAATTTTCAATGCAAACACGATACTTTCCTGCAGTCAGCAAAAACAGTCCTGCTGGACCTTTATCCATAATTTTGCACTTTCGGCAGTATTTTCGTCTACTTTTCTGACCTGTTGCGAAGAACTTTCCGCTATTTTGTTTATTTCGGCAAAATCATTAATAGTAATGCAGTACAATTAATAATGGTAATTGCACTGAGTGGAGGGCAATTTGGTGTGAAATCAAACGCGTGCATGATTACAGTCACACTTATACATTGATTGTAACCAGAAGTTTGATTTCACACCAAAATTGCACGACACGAAGTGCAATTTCTCTTTTATTATTTTCATTTTGTATAACTATATTAACTGTACTATATAACTGAATGTGAGTAATTTTCATCTATTTTTGTCAAGAAATTTTGCGGGGTATTTAGAAATTCAAAATCATAAGATTTTGTGCCATTTTCCCCTGTAATTTGATTGGATAGTTATAGATACACTGAAATACCAAATCTGATTGCATTTTGTGGTGCAGAGCTTCAATCATATTGGCTTATAAATGATGTGATCAATGCTCAAAAATAGTGCGATTTGGGAATTATTCACACTATTTTTAACCAATCAGATTGCACGAAACACCATTGATTTCAATGAATATAATAAATGAAACAATTGTACTCCTCTGGACAAGCATCCAGTGGTTTTAGCAAATAATAACATGAATTATTTTAACCGACGAATAATGTAACTATGCGTGCAAGTGAAATGTATCCTGACAATATTACCTTCAGCTTTACTCGTGCTACAGTATTCTAAATCATTGTCTGCCTTGTACAGTGTAATAAAATAATATACACAATATGTCCCTTATTATTTATATGTCGGTCCACATACCATTGTGTTAACATCGTGAAACAACACCAATTTCTTATCCTTCGTTAAAAATATATCCGTCTCAAAGCCGTCGACATTTAGATCAAGTAAGCTCTTGTAACCATCCAGAGTGTTTTCTTGGTATAATATTGGGTTTCCTCTATGGCCTATTACCAATGGTTTGGTTTTCGTGAAGAATAGATTATCTTTTGTCATCTTTGAAATGTCTTTCTTCGACGCCTCGCATGAGACCATACCTGCATACGTCGAAGAAGCAGACAGCAATGCTAACAAGAGGATCCCGAGAAATTGGTAGTGGCTTATCATAATTAGGCTCTTGTTGTATGGACGATCGTTCGCAAGGATAGTGGCTGTGCAATATATTCAGTCGCTAATACAATCGTCGCGAAAGGCTGTGGGTAAAAATTTGATAATTTATTCACGCGGAGATTAAAGTTAAATGCTGACGTTTAGGGTGTGGTTGAAATTAATTAACTGATAAAAAGCTTCTTCGCGTGATATTGCACCCGTTTACACTGAGATATAGTGTATAGTGTAGGGTATTCGCACATGAGAAAATCAAAAGCCTTGAGATAATGTAACTCGTGTAAATAATACAATTTGAATCACTCACACTTATATATCATCAAAAGAATTTATATATTAATAGATCGAGGTTAGCAGACTGTAAAAACAATCAATTTCAAAGGAAACCAATAATGCTGAACGTGAATATATGAATATTTACCCCTCCCGCGCTTAACGACCTTCGGCGGCCACTGTACCAAACTGAGCAACACGGAAATTTCTAGCTTGATAGAATTCAATATTCTAACTCTTCAGTATTTCAATTTTTATTGACTCAGTTTCAACGTCCTCGTACCCGGCAGGGAATTATGTTTATCCTAATGGCGAATGCGGCATGCTTGGTAAACGCAGTGAACTGGGGAAACGTAACTTACGAATCATATAGATAGCCAGTGTTCAAATTAAGAACCAAAGGACGTAAAATAGTATTAAAAATTGTTTCGACCAAGGACAAAAAATAGCGGCATTCATATTTGAGACGGGAAACTCATTTTGTTTGTTTTCTCTTAGCCCGCCAGCCTTGTTCCGTCCTTGACCGGATATTTCAGAAATTCGCTCGAAAGAGGCGAGTCTCGTTTAGCGGGATGAAGACATTTTCATATAAACACTCCAAGGGGGCTGGCCCGGTTGCAGTGGAAAATCCCATTTTTATAATTTTTTATGTTTCTCAGCGTTTCTTTTTATAGTTTTGAACACTACATGATTAAAAACGAACACTCAGCGGTGGCCATTTATTTTAATAGATGCTGATACTAATGTGATATGAACTTCAAACGCAAAGCCAATAAAGGCGTTGTAAATCATCTCCATCCTGGCAAGCGGGATAAAATGCTCTCAAATAAACACAGGACAAGTTTATCCCGAGCCAGCCTGGCTCCCATATAAACAGCCGCTTGAGACGAGTTTCCCGTTCCCAATATGAATTCGGCTAATATGAAACCACAGACAGCAGGCACTCAATAATTGCAATGTTAGGGGTTTTATCACGTCGCGACATATTGCTCCGGGCTTCTTATCGTCATGGCGACGTCAAGCCAATGTATAATCAGATCCATTTCAGCATTTCAGAATTTTTTAAAAGTGCGAAAAGCCACGAATTCTAGACAGTTATCAAATTTTTGAGCATCATATATTAGATTTTACTTGTCAAGAATCTATAATCTATTTAACAGAAAATGCGCGTAGCGCGTATTGTCTTATTTTGCGATTCACGCAAGCCTATATAAAAGTTAAACTAAACAGCTTCTCGACGTTTCGAGCGAAGTCCCTTCGTCATATTGAAGTTGTACGAAGGTTCCCTTTGACGTTTCGAGCGAAAGACTCCTCGTAATTTAGAGTTTTCTAATAAACGATAATTAAGACTTTGCTCGAAAAGTCGAGATTTCATGTATTCAGTCGTATAAATTCCCAACAAGTAGGGCAAATAAATATTTCCATCAAGTAGGGCTGGAATTTCCATAGATTTAACAAAAATTTCACAAACAACATGTTTAAATTTCCATAAAATTTCCACGAGAGGAATCAAGAAGTGGCAGTATTTTTTGAGGCATTAAGGTTGTTTTCTTTAAGTTTCTAAGATCAATATTTAAGTTGTTTATTCACTTTCAAGTATGATGATTTTCTAAAATTTTCTAAAATTTGTTAACATGCTGAAAATGCCTTAAAATATTTACTAAGACAATATTTTTTCGCTTTTAAGCGCATTTGATTTGTTTTTTGAACATTAAAAATTCGTAAATTTCAACAAAAATTAACGATTTTTGAAAATTTTCTAAAATGCGTTACATGTTAAATTTTCTAAAAATGACTTCAACTGATTCACTAATGCTAATCTATTTCGTGTTTGAGCATATTTGTTTTGGAGCAATGGAAAATTCAAAACTATAATTTCGGCCAAAATAGTGACGGATACGTATCCTTACCATTTTGACGACTTTCGAAAATTTTCTGAAATGTCTCAACATGCCGAAAATGAATTCTATAGCCCTTACCATTTTGGCTGAAATTTTGAAGTTAATGGAAGATGGTGCAGATTTTTAATTTCCTAGCCCTGAATAAATATGCCCAATTTAATAAAATTAATAAACATTTACTAATCGTTGTTTCATAATGGAAACGAAGATGTTGTGGCGAGCGGATGGTACCGTGTAAACGCAGCTTAAGAGAAGTAGAGTTATTCAGTAATATCTGTTGCGTTATGTTGGAGATTTGGAGCACAATTTCAGCTGTCAAATAAGTGGCAAATGTTGAAACATTCTAATGAATCTGAATTACCATTTTCCTCAAATTTTAATTTATGACCAGTAAAATCAGACTTGACTTCATTAAAAATACAAAAAAATCGCACCGTGACCATTAGCTTCACCTTGGCCGCATATAACTAGCTTCATCATCATCAAAGTAAAATTATATAATTTTATGTAAAATCCTTCGAAAAAAGGGTGAGTAAAATAAAATAGTGTCGGTAGTAATTCGCCAGAAGTTCTGCTGTTCTAACGGTAAAGGCAATGCTCTCCCATTTTTCAAACTGGAGGTTCGAGTCCAAGCATGTCCGTTTTTCATTATGTCTTTCGAGAAAAGGATAAAGTAAATCAAAGAACCGTAGCCGTTCAGCACCAGATCTCGTAACTTAGTGGTGAAGACAATGGTCTCTCAAGTGGTAAATCGGTGGTTCGAATCCCAGCATAACCGTTTTTCATTATGAACTTGGTGAAAAGGATGAAGTAAATTAAATAACCATATTCTTTTAGTAGAAGATCTTGTAGTCTAGTGGCTAACACAACGGACTTCCAACCGGTAAATCGATGGTTCTAATCCTACCATAACCGTTTTTCATTATGAGCTTTGTGAAAAGGATAAAGTAAATTAAATAACCATAGACTTTCAGCAGAAGATCTTGTAGCCTAGTGGCTAACACAATGGACTCCCAAGTGGTAAATCGATGGTTCGAATCCTACCATAACCGTTTTTTCATTATGAACTTTGTGAAAAGGATAAAGTAAATTAAATAACCATAGACTTTCAGCGGAAGATCTTGTAGCCTAGTGGCTAACACAATGGGCTCCCAAGTGGTAAATCGATGGTTCGAATCCTACCATAACCGTTTTTCATTATGAACTTCGTAAAAAGGATAAAGTAAATTAAATAACCATAGCCTTTCAGAAGAGATCTGGTAGTCTAGTGGCGAGGACAATGATCTCCAAAGTGATAAATCGATGTTTCGAATCCTGCCATAACTGTTTTTCATTATGAACTTCGTAAAAAGGATAAAGTAAATTAAATAACCATAGCCATTCTGCACAAGATCTTGTAGTCTAGTGGTCAAGATGTTAGTCTCATGTGTCGACAGTCGAAGGTTCGAATCTCGTTTTAGATGAAAATTTTCGTTATTAATAAAACATTGTAAGGTGATGGTGAATAAGTTGGTGTAGGCTTCCAACAATCACCAATTAGCCTTGTGGTAAAGTCGTGGACTATCAAGTACAAGATAGAGGTATCAAGAACAGTGTGGGACGTTGTTCATGGCGCGAAAAAGAAAAAAAGAAAAAAAAAGAAAAAAACGGTAGGTATGTTGTTCTGGGGAGGTTTGTATACTCGGTTAATCTTTGAAAATCAAAGTTAATCTTTAGGGAAATTTAGGGAAACCAGGGGATAGGTAGGGTGAATGAGGGGTACATGAGTACAAAAAGACTTAGTAATTGGGCGGCAGGAGAGAGGGCATAGGTGAGAAAACACTATATAAAATGTTTAAGTCTTTTTGTACTCATTTAAACCTCTTTACCCCTATTTATCCTCCTATTTACTCCTATCTATCCTTACTTTAATCTATCCTCACATACCCCTAACTATCCCCTAACACAATTAAATGTTTGAAGAAAGCTTGCTTTGAAAGTCAGGAAAGCCGGGGGAAAGAGAACCCCCCTCAGTCTACTCCTCGCCCAAGGCGAGGGCATATTCGCCCTCTCGCTTTACTCCTCTCACACTCACAAATTCTCACTTTATTATACCTTGCTCTTTTTCCGGTTTATCCAGGGCTTGAACCATCGACTGTATACTTGGCAGATCATCGTCTTCACCACAACACCACCAGTTCTTGTGGTGTAAGCCTAGGGTTTTTTATTTTACTTAATCCTTTTTGGAAGGATCTTTGATGAAATAGAAGAAAAAAACATTCCCATCTGGGGCTCGAACCTTTGCCCTTACACTCGGAGAGCACTTCCTTTGCCAGTAGACCGCACGATCTTGCGATGAAAGGCTGTACTTTTTTATATTACTGAATACCTCATGGGTAGGATCTCAAATGAAATAACAATTTAAAGGAGTTCTTTTTAATGTTCATGATTTATTTTCTTGTCTAAAACACGCACACAATTGTATCTTATGCGTAGCTTGTAACCTAATAGTAGCCATTTGTGTTCTCGCTAAAATATCACATAGAGGTATGAAGTGCCGTAAAGCACTATTGTTTTCATAAGTTAGTTGTTATATGCGGCCCAAGTGAAGCTAATGGTCACGGTGCGATTGTTTTGTATTTTTAATGAAGTAGATTCCAAGTAAACGGTACAAGAATTAAGAAAAGCCGAATACTCATGTTACTGAGACTGGAAAGTTGATAGCCGTAAAAACCCGTCTGATTGCGTAATCATTGCGATAATATTTGTGTTTATTTTCCGTAGCCTTGTTCCGTCCTTGACCGTGCTGATATTTCTGAAACTCGTCTGATTTACTGATCCGTCTAAAGGCTAATTTCCACTCCAGAAAACGAGCAGCGGATCGGATCGGATCGGAACGAAAGATAATCCGCGCGTACGCCGTCTGTTGAAATTTTTGGCTTATATTGATCCGAAAGCGTCCGAGACCGGATAAAAAAAAGTTCAAATAGTTTCAACTTTTTTTATCCGATCCGAAATCACTTCATGGATCGGACCAGGCTCGGAAAAAAATCCGATCCGATCCGCTGCTCGTTTTCCGGAGTGGCTAATTTCCACTCAGGATAATTCTCTTTTGGATCGGACAGGACAGGAAACTGAGGAAAGATTCCTTTGTATAAACGCCGCCAGAGAACTCACCGACAAAGGAAATTTTCCTGTCCGTTCCGATCGAAAGGAGATTTTTTCTGAGTTTAAATGCGAATTTAAGACGAGTTTCTCTTCCAGACAGGATTCCCGTCTAACTTACCCGTGTGTTATGTATCTTTATTTTCTATTTACGCGAGGTAGGAGATCTTTACAAGGTTTTACTAAAGTTCACTAATGTCCTCTTCTTTCTCTGTTCTTCTCTTCTCTTCTTCAAATATTCGTCGTTGCTGTCCCTGTCTTTGGTCGTTGGTTTTGTAAGGTTGAGCTTCTCCAACGTTTCATATGCTTTTTACTCCGCTAGTCCACTGCCTTTAGTCCACTCTCGTGTTTAGTCTACTGACTATAGACTATATACTACTCTATAGACTTTCTATACTTCTACCCCACAAAAGTCCAATAATTCCATTTTACGGAATATACGATCTTACCATTGGCAAATATACCATATCCAGGTATATACGACCTTCATCATGGTCGAACCTTACTATGGACCTACCAAGGTCGAATATACCATATTCTGGTATATTTGACCATGGTCGAAATTACCATATTTGGGTTGTTTTAGTAAAATTGCAAAGGTGGTTATTGGAGAATGGTAAATCGACTCGGATTATTACGCGATAATGACATAAGCGAATTTTTCAAAATGGCGGCGGGTGGAAAAACTACTTTGTTAAACGCTTTTCAACTTTATTTTGCGAAAACATTGTTTTAATTCAATCGCTGTAAAAAGTGTGCAGATATTTTTTTAGGTTTGTAAAACGTGCATATCAAAGATATAAATTATATTTAATATATAGATGTTCACTGTAATGTTCATGATTTTATGATGTAGATGTTAGATTGATTTATCAACATTTTATCCGTAACTGCATGTTTACTAGATCAATGACAATGTTAAGTAAATTTATATTTGTTGTTAAATCGAGGCCGCGTGGGACTGCATTAAAAAAGATACTGTTACTGCACGTAAGCAATCTACGCTTGGGAAATAATGCACAGGTGAAAATTCTTAATCTGGAATTTGTGTATTTCAAAATCATCTGAAATTATACAAATATATAGAAATTAAATGTCAAGAAAAGAAGCAAAGTTCGAATAATATATTCGAATATCCTTATTATATATTCGAATATCTTTATTATGCGCAAAAAAGTGACACTATAGAATTTGTATGTCTGAGCGCTTTATGCATTTAATGCTCAGTACCCACGTGGTAAAACTGGGCATAGCAAAAATGTGTTTGTATTTCTGGAGCACATCCTTTTAACTGAACAAAAGGTTGCCATGCCTGTAAATGTTGAACATTTCCTTGCAATGATGAAGTAGATGCTCTCATGTAAATAATGTATATATATATATATATATATATATATATATATATATATTATATATATATATAATATATATTATATATATATATAATATAATATATATATAATATATATAATTATATATATATATAGAATACCATGCCATGCAACTTAATGTATATAAGTACTAATATGCTAATATTCTTAATTATTTGTAATTTTTGTTGCTATATCAATATATTTTTTATGATATATATTCTTGTTGATTTATTGTATAGGTGAAAACCTTGGAAAACATGGTCACTTGGACGCTTCTGCAAGAACCATTTAAAAATGGTCGTTTTAACCAATAAAATAAACCATTCTTTAATTGGTCATTTTAACCAGAAACAACTGGTCAACACAACCACAAAAATTGGTTGGTTTAACCATTTGTTAATTGTTAAAATGACCAATTAATAATTGGTTAATTCAATTGGTTAAAACGACCAATTTTAACTGGTTCTCTCAGATGCATCCAAGTGACCAATTTTTTTTCGTCATTTTGACCAATCAGTTTTTACAGTGTACGCTAAATCAATAGACGCATAGAAATCAGCTTCTTTAATTTTAAATAACTCCTATTAGAATAAAAGCCCACTTGCAATGAAATCATGGCTCACCTGACAAAACAGTCTTTGTAGAATAAAACGATTTCATTACTAAATTCCCTTGCGCGTAATCACGCGCGTGAGAGGCTTAAAAACAATGAGATAATGTCTATAGAGTCACACACTGTCCCCCTTTGCCATCTGTCCCCTTTGCCCTAAGAGACCGCCTGCCGTGCAGGCTACCTTTGCCCTCGTATCGTTATATCCCTGCGGACATTTTTTCTCTTGATAATAATGATAATTGATAGATACCTTTGGTAATTATTTGTGGTATACTATTTCTGGCATGTCGACGTGGCTTTTATTACGTATGCAAAATTGAACCCAGTGCCCGGACGACACCGCAACATTCATGCAATTGTTGTTTCTCTTCCGGCAGAAGGTTTAGGACACAACAAATTCGCCATGATTTCGCATAATGGTTCTTCAACAACTTGTAAGTATATTCATCTCGAGCTCATCGTTACTATTCAGATTATTTAAACGTATTTTCGTATCATCATTTAGCTGTCGCGTTATTGACTGCAACTTCATCCGGAATAAGCAAAGGAGTGAATGAGATCGGCGATGAAGACAGCTATCGTAACTTCTACATTGGTCTTGGATTGGCAGTTAGTTCGAGCGTCTTTATTGGCAGCAGCTTTATCATAAAAAAGAAAGGCCTCCTTCGTGTATCGCAATCCTCTGGAGTAAGAGCGGGTAATGTGAAAATCGGCGTATTATCATGTATTAGTTAGGCACCCTCGTGATAATACAAATTCAAAAAAATACAGTGCTTCCTCTGTATATATATTTATTAATCACATACTGTCAGATAGTATATTTACAGTATATTGCATAATATTATTAACATACATTCAACACTTATTACGACCGAGAAAATTTTTACTGTCTTGATTCTTAAATCCTACATCATATTATAAAAAGCATACCGCTATTATATGTACAATTAGCGTTTTGTTTCACTTTTATATTGGCCTATATTGCGACTTTTAATAATGTTCTAATGCCCAAATAATGCCCAATGAAATAATGCACACAATAATGGGGAATGAACTTGCATTGTATTGCCACCAGTTGTGTTTATATTACTTACTTTAATCTATTTTAGTGTTTATGGTTTGTGGTTCTGTAGGTTTAGAAAAATGTACTTAAGAGCATAATGAATCTTTGAGCATCTTATATGAAATTTATAAGTCAATTCTTTGAGCCTTTTGAGCTTATAGGAATAATTTTCTGAATATGTATTTTTCTACATGGATAATACACTGCAAAATTAATGTTCCACTATTACCAAGATGTTATAAGAAATCATAAGGCAAAAAGGGTTTTAATTAGGTACATGCAGCTATTATTCTGTTTTGTTTCGGAAGTTGAAGTGTCATCTTGCGAAATGATAGCAAATATTATCTATTTTTTACCATTGATACAAGTGGTTGGTGTTAATTAAGTTTTAATTAAATAGCTTGTTGTGTGTATTGGCCCTTCTTTAGTACTTCCATTTAATCCAGTTGATATTAATTGTTAGTAAAAGCATACTGCTAGAGGGTGAACTGAGGAACCATTGATAGGTAATAAAATGAAAAGAAACAAATTTTAAATGGAAAAATAATTTTATTTTAAGGCAGTGGTGGTTTTGCTTATCTAAAAGAATGGCTTTGGTGGACTGGGTTAATGCTAAGTAAGTTGTATAAACTTGTACAAGAATTTATTTAATACTTCACATGAATTTTGCTGTAAAATATACTCGTCACATTACTATCCCTTGATATGTTTTTGAGAATTGCTTCTTCCTCATGGCTACCACTCCTTTCATGTCAATATTCATGTAAGAATGATCGCAATGATTATCCCATATCCTCTGTGTTGAAATATGCACTTGGGATTACATAACTGGGATTACATTTCGCTTTATTAGAGGAAGGTTGAAACTCACCTTTTTAAAATATCTATATGTTTTGCAGAAATATATCACAATGCAGAAAATAGACAAACTGCCATATGTTTAATAAAAAATATATATATAGGTAACATTTTAAAATCAACATTAACTTTTTCCAACTACCCATACATTGTAAAACAGAAAGCTCTGCTAATTAAACAATGTGATGGTGGTTTTTTTTACCAATATATGGTGTTCATCATTTTTATTTCAGCAGCTTTAAAATATTTGGAGATGCCAATATATAATTGAATACAACAATATTCATTGCAAATAATTATTTGTTAAATATTTATAATATTTATTATGTATTTATTATAGATATGTTGGATTTTTAGTATGTTTCTAATACTGTATTGTCTGTGTGTGCAGTTCCTATTATGTAAGACCATTAGGTTTAAAAAGCCACAACTCAAGAATGGCTTAATGATAAAATAATGGAAATTTGCTTAACCTCAATCCCATGTTCAGCCCTTAAAGCCCAGTAGCCTAATCGCAAAAGAAAATTTATATATTCTTATTTATTGATCTTTTGATAGTGGTACTTGGTGAGATAGCAAACTTCACAGCTTATGCATTTGCACCAGCAGTTTTGGTAACACCACTTGGGGCACTAAGTGTCTTAGTAAGGTAAGCGATAGAAAAATTATATATATCGTTATCATTAAGGTTGTGCATATGTTAATATATATGTCTTGAACTTTATTCATGGTCTGAATGCTCATAATCTATTTTCAGTGCTATATTAGCTTCATATTTCCTTCAAGAAGACTTAAATATCCATGGCAAAATTGGCTGTTTCCTATCTCTTATTGGTTCAGTTGTGCTCGTAATTCACGCTCCTCAAGAAGAGTCAGTGGAGACAGTGGAAGAACTGGGCGCTAAGTTGACTGATGCAGGTACATGCCATGTGTATTTTTTCCTAATATTTTGTATGTGATTTAAGAACTTAACTTTAGGCTTCAAGCAAAGATGAGATCAAGGTTGATTTTGTAACAGTCAATAGGCGCCCCTTAGACTTTTTCTGCAAATGACGAATATTATCTCATTCAATAAAATGCGGCAACCGACGCACTCACCAGTGCTATGTTTGATTTCACTTTCAGGTCTTTTTAATGTCAAATAGCCGTTATTGCAATCCACTACCCGCAAATTCCACCATCTTGTGCTTTTAAAACCTTTTAAATAACCACTCATCTCCTTATCAATTTCTTCAAAGCCTAAACCTCCCTAAAAACAAGCACGTGATTTTCTATTCTCTTTAGCTTTTGTCGCCTACGCTTGCATAGTGTTAATCATTAGTGTCGTGTTAGTCTTTCATTACGGTCCTCGTTATGGCAAGGAAAATATACTCATCTACATTGCCATCTGCTCTTTGGTTGGTTCCCTGTCTGTTATGGGCTGTAAAGGTCTTGGAATTGTCCTCAAGCAAATGTTCAAGGGACAAAACGAGGTCAAGAATCCTGTTGCGTGGATGCTTTTGTTCGCGGTCGCAGGTTGCATTGTCACTCAGATGAACTACCTCAACAAGGCTTTGGATATATTCAATACTGCGTTAGTTACACCGATATATTACGTCATGTTCACAACGTTGACTATTATTGCGTCAGCAATTCTCTTCAAAGAATGGTCTAACAGGGATGCGAAAGACGTTTTAGGTGCTCTCGCTGGTTTACTCACAATTATCGTCGGAGTGTTTTTGCTACACGCTTTCAGAGATGTGAAATTTTCGTTTCATGATTTGCCTAGTATGTCGAAATTTGCAAGAACGTTAACTAATAGCAGACCCCGCACCGATGGCGCGGAGCAAGCTAACCTTATGCAAAATATGGCGAGAGGCGATTCAGATGAAGACAGTGAAGTAGAGATTAAAGTTGTCGGCAACTCCGTTGGGAACCACGCTTAGTTAAGTTTTTCTCAATTCATCTTCATCATGCCATATTTTTTGTGGAGCGCATTGATTGAATGTTGCATGGGATGACCAGATACTGTAAGAATATGCAAGTCCGATGACTGGAATGTTCGTCCATAGTTATTATTACAACTGAAGATTAATGAAAAAACAGTTGAACCAAAACCTATTAACTTTTTGCGTGGATATATAATTATTGTAGACCTATATCCAACGACATGGGTTAAAAAGAATTTTTTAGGTTGACACACTGCGTATATTGCAGATTTCAGGCAATTATAAATATTTTCCATAACAAGGCATTTTAGCTGAGTTTAATTAATGAATACAGTCAACGTATATCCGGATGCATGACTTTTTTATCGAATAACTGCATGCATGCAACATAAGCTAGGTTATGTTGACTGATCGAACATGCATGCCTTATTGCCATGTTGATTACACTGCACGGTAATGCAATGAAACCAATTCTCTGTATTAATTCAGCTGTTATGGATAATTTATAGGTAAAGATATTTATTGGAGCTAGTTACAAGAGAACATTATAATTATTAGCAATTTCAATTTAATTTTTAATGTAAAATTGTATTTAACGCATTCATATATTATTGGATTTTAAATCCTATAAAAGTTGTAAATAAGCGTTTCCTTTTTTTCGCTGTGAACACAAGTGTGAAATATCATTATGTTAATAGGATATCTTTACGCGGTATCCACAACGACTTTATAGGGCTCTTTTCTATTAAGACAGATAAATTTTGGCGTAACCATTCACACTCTAATAGATATAGCTGATGGTAACGAGTAGGCCGTTTTTGACCGCTTCTTTGAACTAAAGGAATAAATGATCGAATTTGTACATCTTATACGGGACCAATCAACTACAATTTCCAAAAGATCATAATATATAACATAGTTTGAAAATCCGTTTGAAGTGCGTGAAAAGTCATTGTGGTTTTGTTCAGCATTCGCGCAAAAAATGCTATGTAGTCCAGTGACTGATGTTGTTTTGGTTACGTGCTTGCGTTCTTTTGTGACAATCTCTGGGTTGAGTGAAAAAACGACCACTTATAACGACCACTAATATACTAAAAAAATACTAGATATATTTTTTCACTTATATTTGCGAATCGACTTGACAGATGGCTTCTCAAAAACCATTCGAACATGATTTTGGCTTATAGCGTAAGGCCTTATGCATAAAAAAAATTCAAAGTACAATGCGTAAAAAATATAATGGTTACAGTATAATGGTTACATAGAAATAATAAATGGAGGTAGAGACTACCGCAGAGAAGACATCGGCGCACGCTCCAAATTGTTAAAATATGGTGGGAAAGTTAAGTGTCAAATCTTCATACAAAACGTGAGAATTAATTGATCAGAGTTAAGCAATATATTATATAAAAAGAGTGAACTTAAGCATTCATTGAAAACGTTCCGGTGTTTGACTGTGGAATGAGATAAAAATGTTTTGTAAATTTGCTCAGAACAAAACTTCAAACCAAAAGGTTATTTGTTTTTTTTCCACTTATACTGCATTATATGTTACAGGTTTACATGCCAAAGTTCAATAATCGGACACGAACGGAATTTTTATATTCAGCGACATACTTCTTTTAGGACATGTGCGTAATGGCTAATGCGTTATATTTTAGAATAAAAGTCCGAAAACTATCGATGTTTTGCTCAAATCAATGAAAAAAATGTTTCACAAACTCCGCGTCGCAGTCTTCCCAACGACTGTGCATCTTGCGAAAGTCCCTGGGTACGAGGTTAAATGTTTCAGACGGTAAATTTGTTAACCGATTAATTTGTTATAACTCATGTTAGGTTCGACTTTCTGTAGCGTAAATATGGCTACAAAGTGACGCATGCATGTGTGTTGTGCACAATTAAGTCACCCTTTTATTGCTATTCCAAAACTTCGGAAGTCGAACATTTTTCCAATGCATGCAAGCAGGGGGGGGGGGGTGGCACATGCGCGACGTTTTCCCGCGATATTATTGTGCAGTTACATTAATCTAATGAGTAATGGTAAATATATATATATATACTCACGCAATGTCCTCGCGCTTGAGCTATAGCTACACTACCTATAAATATCAATTATCTGGAATAATCTTTGAAGCTCAATCATTGTCATGCATATTCTAAATGATAATGTAAAGCAAGTTAACACGCATATATTTACAGTAAACCAGCGCAATCGTAATGAAACCGAAAAGTGTTTTATATTCACTCACATGCATACAAATTCAGGGGCCAGTTGTTCAAAGTTGCATGGGATAGCGCTAACCCACGGTTAAATTTTAATCCACTGTTTTGGTGCTTCTGATGAGCCGCTGTTCGTTTTAAAACCTTACAAAATATGGCTTTTGTCGGTCCAGTGAATTTTTATGATATTCAACTGAAAAAATTGTTGTAAAGATTCGCTTTAACCCAGGGTTATATCAGCTAAGCCGCTTTTGAACAACCGGCCGCAGCTAGGTGTCTTTTGGAATTAATAAAAAATCAGGATTGAAGTAACTCAGTTTTGGCTGTACTCTTATAGGATATATAGTTACTCATTAAAAATAGCTAACTAGAAAGTTTTCAATCAGATTCGTACATCTACAATGTATTCTTGATCTGACAAGCTCTCTTTGTCCTTTTCACGGAGTACCTTTATATTCGTTGGCCGGTTTATTACGCTGCGCCGCTGCATCTGATCTCGGAGGTTTCCATGTCAAGGGTCTCAGTCCGTTGAGGATAACCAGAAGAAGACCAGCCAGATCAGCAACCACCGCCATCCAAAGCTGCACGTAACCCATTATCGCTACCAAAACGAAAACAAGTTTGAGAAAGATTGCCAGCACGATGTTCTCGATAATAAGACGGCGGCAAAATCGACTCAAGCAAATCATTTCAGGCACTTTCGACACGTTGTTGGTCATGATGGCAACCCCTGCTGCTTCCACGGCCAATGCGGACCCACCTGCCGCCATAGCAATGCCCACGTCGGCTGTTGCCAAGGCTGGCCCATCGTTAACGCCATCACCGACCATCCCGACCACCGGAATCTTTTGCTGAAAAGCAAATCAGCGTGAAATGTTGACGTGATCGATTTGTGAAGGTGACGGATTTTGAAGCCGCAATTGTGCGCACTATAGTGGATGATATGTTGCAAATAATCTTGCGCAAAGCAAATCTTGCATAAACTTGCGCAAATAATCAGGCCATTATATATAGGGTCATAGCGTTGCGTTTTACCATTGCGTTATGCATGATCTGCATGGGACATACAGCCAAGGATACCTTGTGTATGTCGTTGAGTTTGCTTCAAGAGCTTATAACTGATGTAACTTTACCTTCCGGCTTTTTTTCACTCTTCATATTACAGACAGTGCGCACAGATCTGAACGTACATGTGTACAATGTCCTTGTTATACATTCTTTCGAATATATTTCTTATCCTACTGATTTTAAATGCCTGTACAATACGCTATCCTCACAAGTGGTTATCTGTATTACCATTATTTCCTAGTTACTCCCATAACTCACCCCTCCACAACGGCGACTCTTGCTGTCAGTGTGTTCGAATTCCTCCCTAATATTCGTAATCCATTTAAGCTTTTCATCCGGTTTCATCTCCGAGATGCAAGAGTCTAATTTGAGTTGCTTCTGTACTGCCATTGCCGTCTCCTTTGAGTCACCGGTCAACATAGCCAGATGCACACCCAGATCTTGTAGCCATCTGATAGTGGTATGGGACTCTTCGCGTATGATATCGGCCAATGACATCATGAGCGCGAGTTCGCTGTCAACGCAGACGAACACAACAGTTTTGCTCTCACGGGACAGCCGGTCGTACTGGTTTTCTAACTCAGGAGTTAGCTTCACCTTCAGCTTCTTCAGCATTGCCTGGTTGCCAATGTCTATCATGTGACCTTCGACAATTCCAGATATACCTTGGCCTTCCATCGCGCCAAAATTGCTGACATTAGGCAGTTGAATCGCTTCAACATCATTCACGAAGTCGGCGATGCACTCTCCTGTGAACTTTGTTACGACGGCTGCCGCTAATGGATGACTCGACCTGCTCTCCAGCGCAGCCGCCCACCGCATCACCTCATGCTCTTCGTCTTTATTTACAGAGACAGCGTCAACAACCTTAGGATAAAAAATAAGGATGGTTGGCTTGATTCGCGCAACTAAAAATAACTTTTAATCTAAAGATTAGAATATTCGATCCTACTAATTTGCAATTTACACCCTAGTTCAATTGCTAAACAATATACAGTATATCGTTTATTAGTACAACTGTCCCCAATGCAAGAACAGCCAGTGCAAGAACGAGGCAAGTCTGACCCGTCGTTCTGACCGACCAATTTCCCGAGGAGCCTACTGACTTGTATATATTATTTCACCTGGACGTAATTATTGTTTCGCGAGAGGACACGCACAAAGCGACAGCCATGCGGGAACACGTGGCTGACCTCGATCACTCAGTTCAGATGAACTAGTGTTAACCTCCGCTGGTGACCGTCTGTCCGCATGGTGCTTCAATTGCGAAAGTAATTCACTTACGGCAAGCAACCGTATCCCAATGCTAACTAAATTAATGATTAAGAATGATCTTATTCATGCACCACAAACCTTGAATTTTCCTTCGGTAAGAGTTCCCGTTTTATCAAATGCAAGAAATTTGATTTGGGAGAGAGCTTCTAGAAACGTGCCTCCTTTAATCAGCGTCCCGAGTCGAGCGCCTCCACTTATTCCACAGATAACAACAACTGGAGTTGCCATTAGAAGGGCGCATGGACAGGCTGTGACCAACACTATGAGCGCTCGTTCCCCCCACGTTTCAATGCTTCCCGCGTATGCGCCGGAAAGATGTAATATAAAGGGTACGAGAAAGACTATGGCAGCAAGAAGCACAACCAGTGGAGTATAATAGCTGGCGAATTGATTCATCATTTGTTCGGTCGGTGAGACATTTAGTTGCGCTTCTTCAACCAGCGTAGCTATTTTTGAAATCGTCGATGATGTAGCCAAAGAGGTTGTCTCTAACTCAAGGTATCCATGTTGGATTACCGTGCCGCTGTACGCTTGGGACTTCAAAGTTTTTTCCACCGGCGCAGCTTCGCCGGAGATCGAGCTTTCGTCGACAGACGCGCTACCTTTCACCACTACCCCGTCCAGAGGAATGAGTTCACCTTGTCGGATCGCTATTATTGAACCTACACGAGAGGATGTATAATGGTATAATGTATAGTGTATAATGAAATTCAAATTGAGGAAGTGGTTGAATCGCATTTCCATCACAAAATTATTAATTATTTTGCATGAAATGTATGACTGAGGAAAATATAATACCACTTAATTGTGAAACCATACGGTTTAAAGGAGTTGACATCAGTTCCTCGTCACCAATACGTACCAATTGAAACATCTTCAATAGCAACTAGCTCTCCAGTGCACGCCATAACTGCTTTCGATGGCTGAGCGAGCATGAGACTTGAGATAGTATTGTGGACACGATAGAAACAATACTCCTGCAGAAGGTTTGCCAGAATAAAGATGAACACCACAGCCGCACCTTCGATCCACTGCCGAATACCCAGGATACCAATTACCGCCACAGTAATGAGGATATTCAAATCGATGTGCATCCGACTGACTGCGTGATAGCATTTTTTCAACACCGGCAACATCCCGAAACAGATCTGAGCGATTGCTACCCACATATACCAGGCCTTGTGAGAAAACATGGCTCCAAGTGCAATACTAAGCAGAACGGCTTGTACTGCTAGAATTACAAGGAGGATCTTCAACTCTTTTGGGAAGCCTTGCTTAATCTCTTTTTCTTCCCCTGCTTCCATAATGGAAGCCCCAAGGTGACGTTTGTTCAATGACTCCACCAGATCCATGGGTCGGACTTTGTCTGGATCGTGAGAAATATATGCCACACGACCTAGGGCATTTACTCGTATGGTATTGATTCCTGGAAGTTTGCCGAGCTCCTCCTGGACGATCCGCGCCTCTTTTTGACAGCAAATATTCTGCAATCGAACTTTCGTCGTCTGCAGCGTTGTCTCGTGGATAATCACGCCGTCGTTGCCCTTAACAACGAAATTGAGCTCTTCGGCGTCATCTAGCACGAATTCGAGATCTTCGTCAGGTTCTTGGCAAAAAATGTCCTTGCAGCCAACCTTGTTGTCTTTTTCACCGCCTGCCTGATGGTGGTATTCGTGTTTATGGTAATGTTTATGGTCGTGATGTGGTTCCACAAAGCAATGGTTTTTTATATTCTCAGGGAAGAAAGATGCTGTTTCCGCTTCCTTGTGCCAATTAAAGGCATGACGTTTAACATTAAAGTGGGGGAAATAAAACTTCTTCTCGCGCAGGGCAATCTGGTTGTGAGTGGGTATGGCAATAGGATGGGATGCGTTGGTTTCGAGAAATCTGGAATGCGTATGGATTTGTGGAATAACATTACTTTTTGGGCGCCTCTGTGGTTTATCATCGTTTTCGAAAGATGGCTGGACCTGATTGAAGCTTGTTTTATATTCGCCTTCAGTAAAAAGCGGAATTGGCATTTTTCTTTTTCTTTGAGCTAACGTGTTGCTGTAAAGAAAAACCCGGTAAAGTTAGGTGCTTTATTATAAGTTCGATACCTTGGTTGCGTTTTTTCATCATCCTCGGGAAAAAACTTCATCTTGGGTAGTAAAATCGTAATTTTGAGTAAAATCCACGATTTAAATTGTCCGCTTCTTTCGACCTTTCTTGTAATAAGTTTTGCATGTTAAGATGCGCGTATATTTTACCTTATCTCAGTCGGATTTTGTTTTAAACTAGCGCAATTTAAAACTATAAATAGCTATAGATATTTCGGTTTGTTGGTGTTGGCTGGTACTACTTATACAAAAACTTGTTTTCTTTCATTTCTCAAAATCATTTTATGCCATATTGCCAGGCAAGAGTTGTGTTTTTCCCAAGCCGGTGCGAAGCGCCGTGCGGGGGTACTAATGCCGCTCGGAGATTTAGAGTTACACCCGGGTATTGTGACAGAACATAGCGGAGTCCAAACTGGGGTTTTTCTTTTTCTTAGAAAAGCGATATAGACGTTTAATTAAACATGTATAACAAATAAATCAACCTCGTCCCAGAGTACGCGCGCTGAGCGAGGTACCCGCGTACACTGAGCTTTCTATATATTACATGGAGTAAGAGCATCTAAGACGAGATGGGTTCGGAACTCTCCCAAAGGTAGCCGTTGATTTCTTGCTGCGGCCTTATCACCCATCAAACGCTGAATTTCGATTTATGATTATATGATTTATGATAATTGATTTATGATTTACAAATCTTCTGTTACTGTCTATATAACACAACACAACACAACATAACATGATAACATAACATAACGTAACAAAAAATTATTCAAGGCACCTAGTATTACAAAGCCTTTGCAGGAGAAACCAGAGTAAGACCCTATAATTATTCGAATCCCCTTTTTACTGCGTCGCGCACTGCGCGAACGCAGTCTAAAATTGCCGTCGGCGTTTGTTTTTTTTCGTGTTTTTTACGTTTTCGACCCGATACTCGTATTTTGAACTCGTCTGATTTCGTATCGAAATATTTTCGTGCTAAACACACTTCAAATAGTAATCTCGAAAAGAAATTAAACCTGCGTATCACGAATATATTAATATTGCCCCCCCCCAATTATCGTTCTGGCTACGCCAGAGCATTTGCATATGTAGTTTTAGACTGTTCTTAAAGGTCTTAACATTGTCTACTTAAACTATACCCATGCAGCATGGCAAATGTAATTCCATAATCATGATTCTTACGAAAAAATTATACTTATAGCAATTTATTTTCGAAAATTTTGATACAATGCAATGTGTGCGCATGATTGGTTCTCGTAGCGTGATATTGTTTATACTCGATAACATCTGTAAATGTTATACCATTAAGGCCAAATACAGTTTTGTTACACATATTTAGAGATTCGGTTCTCTAAAGTGTATGACATTTCACCTCTTTCTGTTTCAGCGCTGATCTAGATGCACGCGCTCGTCATATTGTGCAACCCGGCGTTTTCATCGTTTTCATTTATCGATGAAGGCTTGTGGAATTTCAATGTTATATCTTATATGAGTGAGCATATATTTTCAAATCTCTTAGTTATAGCCGTATGAATCTGAGAATAACTCAAAGTCTGAAACACAAATTTTAAGCGAAAACGAAAAACTTATCCTCTGAACTGAATCTCTGATTTGAACTCGCCTATTACCCTCATGCATGATTTCTCCTTACGTCTTAGCTATATGGCAGGAATGTCAATGAAGTTGTTGATTTATAATTCGTACCAATCGCGAGCATATGCTATGATATAAATAATAATTTTCTTAATCCTACCAACCTTTGGTATAAATTTAAGTACAGTATGGAGTCCTGTCGTCGTTGCTTGAAAGTGGTAGCACTTTGTTGGTCTGTATAATTTTGCTTGTACCGGCCAAAATGGTCATCGAATCGTGAAAGAAACAGCTGGAAACTTAAGAAACTTCCTGATCGCCTTTGATTTTTTTTATTGAAACAAAAAAAAAACAATTATATGGTAATAATATTTGGCTAATTTATTCAGTAATCTGAATGGCAACCCTGCCTTAAACATGCATGTATGCGTGCTCAGCCAAGCGTATATGGTGATATATGTGTCTTAATTTTGTACTTCGCATTCATTATAAGGGTTGTATAAATACTGTTAAATAGTGTTAATGCTATAGCTTGTTGGTGTTCGTAGTAGGATTGGAATTAAGTATTGATGCATGTGTAAGATTTGTGTATTCCATGACCACATGCATGCAGTGTCTAAGATTAGTTTTTAGCAATAGTGTGTTCGCTGAAATTCTACATTGAATTTCTGTTCGCAACTTGCTGCGCAACAATAATTATATAACAGTTATTGTGCGAACTCGAGTCGTATATGAGCTGATCGGCCATATACGACGAGAGTGAGCAGAAAAACTATTTTATTATATACACAAACTTTGTCAGTCGCCCTTTCGGTGTATTTTGGTGTGCTATTATCAACTAAAACTTGGATTTCTATTTCACTTAACTCCCAAAATCTTTCAACCATTTTGTTTACTTTCTCTACTAGACAGATATCACCTTGTGTATATAATAATAACTAATAACTGATAACTCATATATAAATAGATATCGTAGGTGAAATAATATACTTAATATATGCTTCCGAGGGAAATAGTGAGTTTTATTTTCCCAAGAGTCTGAATGTTTCCCGAGACGAAGTCGAGGGAAACATTGAGACTCGAGGGAAAACATAACTCGCTATTTCCCGAGGTGGTGGTGTTTTGTTATATAGGAACAAAACAAATTCGATTTTCTCGTGCGTTATGGGAAACTAGTATCCTGACATTTGATCCTTATTTCCAACTTATCCCGCAACGTTATGGCATTGATAGTTTTGGTCCAGCACCCATTGATGTGTTTGGAATGAACAGTAGGACAGCTAGGTGGGTAGAGTTTGATAGCACATGTGTTGGCCTTAATACGAAATTTTGACTTCTCACCGTTTGACTCTGAGTGGTGAAGAAACGCAAGCGTGGGAAGATTAGAAATTCCAAATCATAAACATCAGCAATCGTTCCTTTTTGGCAGTTTTGCTTATCCGGACTTTCCACTAGGCTTTGAAAAACTCGTGCGGCGCCTAAAAAATGTGGAGCAGGGCCTCCATCAACAAGGTAAAGTTTGCTATTGTTTTCCCCCACAAACAAAGAGGACTTTCTCAAATATTCCAAGATAAGGGCTAAAACCTCTCTTCTCGGGCCACCCGCGTCAACCGCACCCTCTGATTGGCCTATATCGTCCATAGACTGGTGGTCGTGGTCGAGATAGGACGTGCTTAAATCGCTTCCGTTAAAAACAGTATATTGATCGATTCTCATACCATTGTTCGATATCTAATACGCCTTATGGTTTAAACATAATATAGCCGCTTTAGCCATATAACAATTCAAAAAATATAGCTTTACATCTGTGAACTGATCGTGATAACTCATCTCTCAAACTTGGTAATGGGGGATATGGCCTTCGCAAGAAGAAAGGTGGCCATGAGGGCGCGGCCGAATTTGATGAAATCAAACGCAAACTGGCAAATAGTCTGCTATCTAATACGTCCTTCACTGACAGGTTGATTCAATGTATTTCTTCCACGATTGTTGATACTTTGCTCAAGACAGAATCCTCTATGTCAACGCTTTCAAGCGAAGCAGCCTCGAAGCTTGGTAAAACCTCAAACTTCAAACAAGTACTTAAAGCTGAAATTGTTGATGACATTAAAGATAACGTAACACAAGAAGTTTACAAAGGAATACAATTTGATCATAGTAATCTGGCAGACGAAATAAATAATTTAAAACATAAGATGTCTCTACTGGAGAACGAGAATCAAACCATGCGCGACGGGCTGGACAGTTTGGAACAATATGGTCGAAGGAATTGCCTACTGATTCACGGCCTACCAGGAAAATCTGCTGGGAGCGTTGAAGATACTGATGAGGCAGTCATCAATGTTATACAAGAAAAGCTTAACGTTAAACTAAGCCTCGATGACATCGACAGATCACATCGCCTTATACGACGACGCTCCTTTACTTCGGCAAAACCAAGACCAATAATTGTAAAATTTGCGAGGTATAATAAACGCTCAGAAGTATTCCGACTGAAAAAACACCTGAAGGGTTCTGGAATTAGTATTTCGGAAAGCCTGACTCCCAAGCGTCAAGAGCTCCTAACTGCAGCTGACACCCATTCTGCAACTTTGACAGCCTGGTCTATGGATGGTCGAATAATTGCCCTTTTGCATGATGGTAGGAAAATCGTGCTGGATAAACAAAAAGATATCAGCTTCAAAGCTAAAGGGAAGTATTTACTTAGTATATTTTATTATTCAAATATTCAGTTGTCAGGTCAATATTCACGCTATATAAAATCATTATAAATGGCGTGTTAAATATTTTTTACAGTCTAGACTTTATAAGGCTGTGAAATTCTAATTTGGGTTTATATTACTTGTGCTTTTCGTCTAATCTTCTCTTGTCTCGTTATCTAATCGTCTTTTGTTTCGTTATTGTTTTTTATACAAGGTGTATAAAAAAAAAACGCAACCACTTAATATTCATGAATATCCTCTTTGTTCTACAACACAAAAGACGTTTGGCCCCTGGAATGCGAGAAAGCTTGTAATCATATTCTAGCGGCACAATCGTCGGTAAACAAAGTCGGGTGCGTAAACCAACGAGCTGAATTGAAAGTATTTAACGAGTAAAATTTTATTTACAATTTATTTTACAAGGTGGACAGTTAGCATTCAAGTTATCATGCACGACAATAAAAACTCGTTGTTCGGTTGTTAGCTGCACCATTATTAGTTTAGCTGATTTGACTATTAGCAGTTGAACTGTACGATTAGAAGCCATTTTAAAATCCCAGGGGCATAAAATCTATTGAGCTTATGAACAATATGAATTTTAGAATATTAAGTGGTTGCGTTTTTTTTGAGACACCCTGTATATTACCAAGTTCGTTAATTTTCACTCATTGTATTATATTACTTATATTGTTGTAATTTGCATGCTGCTCAGCTTTAATGACCAAAGAGCTGTGTATTGCATGCGCTAAATCCTTACGTTCAAATCAAAAAGCTGTTTATTGTGAAGTATGCAAAAACTGGGTTCATTTAAAATGCACTACTCTTAGTTATAGTGACTATAATTGAATTGAGTACAAGTCCCAATGACTGGTATTGTAGCTCTTGTATAGCAGATGCAATCCCATTCAGCCTCCTTTCAGATGACGACTTTCTGTTAGCACATCGTGAACTTGATTCCGGACTTAAGGCTGCTTTCCACTGATGCGTTTTTCATACGCACGTACACGCACGTAAAAGTCTAAATCCTCATACATGTTACCTTTGAAAAAACCAAGTGAATAAATCGAAGGAACTTAGTTTTCTGCATATTTTAGTATGCATTTGTTGACCTAGATGTTAAATAAAAAGAATTTAAAAGCATTTAAAATTTTTCGTACGTGTATGTGCGTATAAAAAACGCGTAAGTGGAAAGCAGCCTTTAGTCTCAACATAGATTCACTTAATAATTTATTATTCAATCCGTTCTCCTTGTGTTCTCAAATACCGAACCTAAATGATCTTGATCCAGACCAGCAATTCTTCAACAGCTGCGTATCTAATAATACCAAGTACTTACTTTAAGATGAATTTATAAGCTTGTATTCTGATAAGCATGACTCCTTCTCTTTTATCCATTTCAATGTCCGTAGTCTCCGACATAATTTCGATAAATTTACTGATTATCTACACCTTTTAAATTATCCATTTTCTATAATTGGATTAACGGAAACTTGGCTATCTGATGTTGATGTAGACCAATGTAAACTCGTAGATTATAATATTATTACGCGCAATCGTGCAAATCGCCAAGGTGGTGGAATTGCTCTTTAGATAACTTGAACTATAAAATACTTGATACCTTGGGAGTTAACGATGACAATATTTGTCAATCACTATTTGTTGAAATTGAATTAAATAACTCTAACGTTACTGTTGGCGTTATCTATAGGCCACCTCATGCTAACTTTGAACTGTTCAATGAATATATTGATAAAACACTTGCCATGCACGCTTAATAGATATAACAAACCAATTTACATAATGGGTGATTTTAATATCAATTTATTAAATCTTGACTCTAGTGGTGTCTCAAGAGATTTCTTTGAGACAATGATTTCCTATTCTCTATGTCCCACGATTTATAAACCAACTAGAATAACGTATCATACGGCCTCACTTATTGATAATTGTTTTACTAATAGTTTTGAAGGCGTTTCTAGTTCTGGTGTTCTAGTCACAGACATTTCTGACCATTTTCCTATATTTCACATCTCAGATCTTAATCTAAAACACTCAGTTAACTATCGTGGTAATTATACTAACATTTTGAAGAGGAAAATTAACCAAGATAGAATCAATAGTTTTAAAATGGATCTCCTTACAATAGACTGGCAACCTGTTTACGACTCATTGGATCCTTGCATCTCTTACGATATATTTTTGGACAAATTTAAATCTTCATATGACCAAAATTTTCCTACTAGAAAAACCAAACGTAAAATTGTGGCCCGTAAACCCTGGATTTCAAAGGGGTTATTGAAATCAATAAAAACGAAGAATAAATTATATAATATATTCTTACAGAAGAAAACTGATGCTAGCAAGCAAAACTTTAAATCCTACCGTGATAAGTTAACTCATCTCTTAAAGATTGCAAAAAGGCACCACTATTGTTGTAAATTTGATCTAGCTAGAAATGATCTCAAGCAAACTTGGACGATTCTTAAATAGAGCA